CCAACCTCAATGGTGAAGCCACTGTAAGCAGAGCAATAAAAAATTAACTTATTTACATTTTTGAAATATATTCGAGTACTCACGTTGATGAGGTGATCTTTGTTAAATCGTTGCCAATGGTTTCGATGACCCGTCGTCCCCACAGCCAGAGACCCACGGAGATGCCAATGCCACCGTAGATCAAAATATAAATGGGACTTTCGGCCTTCTGCATAACGGAGCCCTCGCGATAGATCATATAGAGGGCGATAAGTGGTCCGATGGCGTTGCTAACATCATTGCCGCCGTGCGCAAAGCTGCCAAAGGTGGCCGTCAGTATCTGCAGGAATGAGAAGAGCATGGACACCTCCTGCGTTTCCTCGTTGCTGCTGGCACGTCGTCCGGCCGCACGCTTAAACTCCTCCTCCTGCTCGTTGAGCGCTTCCTTGCTCTCGATGAGCGGCACCTTGCTGGAATTCGGTGACAAGGTGGTGCTGATCATTAGGTCCAGACTGCCAGCACTTTGCACAACTTGCAGATTGTTATTGGTGACGGTGGCATTTGGACTGGCGCTGGCATTTGGATTTGCACTGCCAGCGGCTGCAGCTGCATTCGCAGCCAGTTGCTGCGACTTGTGCTCCTCCTTGGGTGACTGGACACGCTTGAAGCACTCCTGAAGTTTGCGTCCGTTTTGCTGGTGCTGTAAATTCTGCTGCTCGTCGATGTAGTTTAAGCTGGTGACAGTCAGATCGGGATTATCGAGGCTGGCCTTGCCCAGCAGATCCTCAGCCTTGCGTATGATCTCCGGATCGATTTTGTAATCCTCGGCAGTCGCATTGTTGTTTTTGGCCGCGAGGCCGTAAGGCGCTAGCTTAAAGGTCTTCGGCGAATTGTCGCTAAGCGAGACCAGCTCGGTGATTTCGGCAATAGCCGGCAGTGGTTTACCCTCACTAACAAGCGAAAGCGGACGGCGCTGCTTCTTGGGGCTGCCGGACGGCGAGGATTCTATAAGATTGAACCAAGCGCTGAGTAATTGCTTTTGCTTTTGTGCTGTGGGTGCACACTTACCCACAGAGTCCTCGAAATTGAACTTGACCGGATTCTGTGCGCGTAGCTTTTTGGCAATGGAGCGCCGCTGCAGCGGCACCACCACCAGCTGCGTCAGCAGCGCCACCAGCAGGGACAAGCCCACGCTGACGGTCAACGCTATCCAAGTGGGAATGTTGTCCATATAAAGCACTGCAGAGGACGCACACAAATTGATTAAGTAGGAATTTAAGCAATTGCAATTAGCTTAGGCAGCTTCTACTTACACTTGGGACCGTCCAGAATCACGCTGATGACATTGATGAAGAATGTGACGCCGTAGAAGATGGGCAGCGAACGGAAGCCCGCCTTCAAGGGCTCCTGGGCGCGCAATATGAAACGGCGTATGGTCAGAAATAGTAGAATGCTCACCAAGCCGCTCAGCACCGGCGAAATGAACCACGAGACGACAATAGTGCACAGCGTTGTCCACTTTAGACCCTGGACGCCGCGTGCCACCAGCGAGAAGCCAATTGTCGACCCAACAATGCTGTGCGTGCCAGATATGGGCAACTTTAGAAACGTCGCCACCAGCAGCCATATGGCGCTGCTTGCCAATGCCGACATGCAGCCCAGCATAAGCACCTCCTCGGCGCCCTCGTACAGCGTCACCTCAAGTATGCCCTTTCGCATCGTATCGGACACCTTGTAGCCTGCAGGAATACACAATAAAAGTGGCTTAATTCCAGGAATATTAACTTGAATTATGCTTGAGTTATGCACTAGGCATTTGAATAACTTATTTTAGACTTGTTTTGGGCCTTACCAATCAAAACTGCGCCCGAAATTTCACAGACCGTGGCCAAAACGCACGCCTGACGTATGGTTAGAACGCCGGAGCCGACGCTGGTGCCAAAGGAGTTGGCCACATCGTTTGCTCCGATGCCGAAGGCCAGGACAAATGCAATTAGAAAGCCGATAATGACCATCCATAGCAAATCCGGCGAATAACTCTCCATAGTTGGTTAATTCAAATGTTGTACTTCTTAGAGAAAACTCACTTTAAACTAACAACAACAAACAACTGTCTGTCTGTCTGTCTGTCTGTTCGTCGAACCTTAACTTTTTGAACCGATTTGTGGTGCAGAGGAAATGAAATGTTTGGGCAAATTTGAGTGCAAAAGAAACTATAAAATACAATTCTACAATAATAATAAATTATAGACGAAACAAATCTTAATTATTAATAATTGAAAAATTCTTTTCAAATATTTTCTAAACAGCCATATTTGCGCTTAGACTTCATTGTTGTTATTTTCATAATGAAAATTAAAGTACAGTCGCGTTTATGGACACTAACAAATGCGCACGCACGATTCTAATCGTTGAAAAAAAAAAAACCAACCGAAAACTGTTCGTGTTGATGGAACCCCTAGGGTCTATTTGAGCCTCCCTCTCAAAGCTGAAGCAGTGCTCAGCTCGACTTGCCTAAAAGTATGCAATAAATTACGTAAGCCTAAACACAAAACAGTGTGCGACAACACTGGACACCAAATACTGACTCAGTGCGACAACACTGGACACTGAATACTGACTCAGTGTGACAACACTGCACACCAAATACTGACTCAGTGCAACAACACTGGACACTAAATACTGTTTAAAATATTAATAATAATAATAAGTTAATAAAATGATACTCTCTCGCTCTCTTCCCCTCTCCCTCTCACTCTCTCTCTCTCAACTGTTTACAGCTTGCAGCTGACCAAATTTCTAATTGGGAAAAACTTCTGATTGGGCAAATGTGAACTCCGCTTGTATGTTAAACCCCTTGATGCACTCGAATGAAAAGCTTCAATTGGGTTTTTCCTCTGGCAGCTGCAGTTGTTGCTCTTCTTCTTGTTGTAGCTGTAGTTGTTGTATTTGTTTGTTTTAGTTGCTGTTCGAGTTGTGGAGTTGGTGTTGTTGTTGCAGAGAAGTTTCTTGTTATGTTGAGTAGCAGCTGATGGTAGTCGACTTGGTAAACTGCAATTGGATTCGGTTAAAGTTCATGTTAAAATTTAAACTGAAGACTCTCTCACATACCTGACGTTTAGGACAGCTATATTGTTTCCACGTCAGAGAGATATTCACCATGTCTGCAAAAGAAATTGAATATCAATAAATGCACTTGAAAAATATTCAAATTAAAGTTAATTATCAGCACCAAATCAGAACGGACTACCCCTAATGCAGCTCGCGTTATAGAAAATCAAATGAAATGACAAAACACATTCGCATTTCATTGAATCTGGCCGCAACCAGTTCCGGCTTTGTTCTTGGTGTGCTTTTCAATTGGAAAGTAAATTGAAAAAAATTGCATATTGTTTAAATTGGCGCAATTTCGTTGTATATTTAGGCCGCGCCCCACGCCCCACTGAACACGCGCCACAAATACTTTGACCGGAATGGGCGGCCAGCATATATAATATATATATATCTGTATAAAGTTAATGTCAGGGCAATTCTAAAGAAATCGGCTATTCATGCTCGTAACTGCCTTTGTTCAAATAATACTGTGTTATTTTTAATGAGCCTTTAATGGATCAGATTAGATCATTTGTTTCTTTCATGCAAATCAGCAAAAGATTATAATTAAACACAGAAAATTCAAGGAATTAGAGCTCATCAAGTATTTCTAGAGTTGTAAGCACAAGCTAATATAGGCATTTCCAGGTAAAGTTCATCATGTGAAAATAGTAAGAAAATATTATTTTCTGACATAAGAATACTATTTTATATATTACCCGGCCTTGCTCGTGCCAATACAATTCACCCAATTCCCGAGCGTAGAAAACTTAAACGCAGTCATTATACCCTGTATATATATACCCTGTGTAATACCCTGTGTAACGCTTAGAAGGAGACATTTCCGAACCCATAAAGTATTCAAGTTCTAGATCAACACCAAAAGCCGAGTTAATGTCGTCCGTCTTGAAACTTTGCATAGATCCTTGTTTCTGTTGCAGGCAGTACAATTGTCGAAAACGGCCGAATCGGGCCACTATATCATATAGCTGCCATAGGAACAAATAGTCCCAAAATAGGTTCTGTATGAACAACTTTTTTGTTTATCAAGATATCTTGACCAAAGTGGACGTCTATAAGCTTCAGTATGCTTCCTACATATATGCAAAATCTTATCAGAATCGGACCACTATATCATATAGCTGCCATAGGAACAAACAGTCTATAAATAGGTTCTGTATGAACAACTTTTTTGTTCATCAAGATATCTTGACCAAAGTGGACGTCTATAAGCTTCAGTATGCTTCCTACATATATGCAAAATCTTATCAGAATCGGACCACTATATCATATAGCTTTCAGTAGAACAAACGGTCCTAAAGTAGATTCTTGTAAGAGCAAATTCTTTCTATGGTAAGATATCTTACCCAAGAAATGTTTGATACGCATTTTCCACTGAGCAAGAGTGGATTCTGCAAAAAGTGTGAATCCAATCTCAAATGAATGTTCATAAGAAAATTTCGCCAAATCTTTGAACCCCATTTCTACCAAAGAGAAAAGGATTTTCCGAAAACTGCGATTTTGAAGAGAGATCTTTGCAAAAATGTTTAAAGCCGATTAGTTAATAACAAAGAAATGTATTTCGGGTGGAATTTTCAAAGCCAGTCTCAGCACATAAGACAACTATAATGAAAAGTCCAGAAAAGTCTAGGGTTTGTGCTGTGCATTGATCACCAAAAGTTGTATATATAGAGAAACGAATTTATCGATATAAACCAAAAATTTGAAGAGAAAACTGGGCACAAGAAAAGTATCATAAAAAACGTATTTTCAGTTTGAAGAATGAATGATTATTGTATAAGCCCAACTAATGCGATTTCTTCGGGAATCGCGTAAAATATTCACAGTTCAAATTGTTAATTTGGTACGGTACATTATCTACGCAAAGTAAAGGGTATTAAAGTCGTGTGCTTGACACAGAAAGCCTTAAATAAAATATCGAAAATGCAAGCACCTTTCTCAGTTATTTTTATTTTATTGTCAATTTTTTCCTGTTCACGCGGAGAATACAAAACGACAAAATGGCCACGTAAGTAAACGAGCTGAGAAAGGAATATCGTAGAAATAAATAAAGTTGTTTGCGTTTTCGAATTGCCTTAGGTTATCCCAATAAATGGTGTCGCCTCAACTATGGACCATATCTCGGCGGCAGATGCTAAAACAAGCTCAACATGTTATTTACCAAGAAATGTATTTTATAACTGGATATGCTACATTCTTAGCTCATACCAATAAAATAATCCACAATCTATGGCATATGTGTGTGTGCCTATAAAAATTGAATACAACCCGAAGGAGTGACTAAATGTATCTAAACAATGGCGCTCCTCACACAAAGGACCTCTCTACCCCAAGCGGGCGGGGCAGGTGAGCGAGGGGCATGCGCTGGTAGCCCGGCCAGGACAATGCCTGTGCGCCTGCTCAAGGTCGTGACTTCGTTTAAGTTACGTTGACATATGCTCGCAAAATTTCCATAAGCGAACACCCTAGTTACGCCCCCGCCCCCGCCCCCTTGCCAGGCAGCAATTACGGCGAGAACTTTTCCATTACACTGATATAACCGAGGTTCAAAACACGTAAGAGTGCTCATACCTGAATGGGAGTGCCCGACTAGGAGATACCCTGTGCCCAACATTGAAATCAAACTTTATTCTATAGAAAAAAACATATGCATACTGCCTGTTACGCAGAGAGTGCGTCCACCTAGGTGGTAGAGCCAGACTTGGAGATACCCTGTACCCTTAACTGAGATTCCGTCAACACATCGAAACGTTCTCCTTTACATTAACATAGTATGTCTGTTACACAAGTGGCTCAAACACACATAAATGTGCTGCCACCTGGATGAGAGTGCCAGACTTGAAGATACCCTGTACCCAACACCGAGTTGCCGTCAACACATTGAAACTTTCTCCTATACAAAAAGAACATATACAAACACACTGCCTGTTATAAACGAGAAATGCGCCCACCAGAATGGGAGTGCTAGACTCGGAAATACCCTGTGCCCAGCACCGAGATGCCGTCAACACATTGAAACTTGCCCCTACACAAAAACGTATTCCTGTTATATAACTAGCTCAAAACACGTAAAAGTGCTCGTGCCTGAATGGTAGTGCCCGACTAGGAGATACCCTGTTCCCAACACCGAGAAGCCCTTAACTCAATGAAATTTCCATAGCTAAATTGTCTGTTACACACATTTAGCCAAGTCTTGTATACACCTTTTACTCAGCTTCAAAGGGTATCATAATAATTGGCAATTTATGGCGTATTTTGCAATCATTTGGCTAAAAATAAATACAAAACACGCAACATTTGCCGGTTTTAGCAGCACTGCAGTGCAGTCAGAACTGTTCAGAGGAGAAAGGGGCATAAATTCAATATTTGCCTGACGTCTCAAAAATAAACAAACAAAACAGATATGCAAACATGACTTTGATATATCCTGTATTTGCGGAAACCAGGTAAAGAATTGTGTTGAAACTAATTTCGATAATAAATGCAGAATTATAAAGCACATTATGTGCAATGAATTTATTTAGTTCAAAAACTCATATGCTTTATCTAAATCCAAGACGTTTACGGCTTTTTATCGAACACAGGGTATGGCATGGAACTAAAATAACACTGAGCATTATGACGATCCAATAAAACAGAAATAAAAAAACTGTTTCATACACACGCATTAGTCAGTATGGGGTATGCACAGTGTGTCGATGCCTATTTGCATTGAACCAAATCAAATTCAAGAAATTTCTAGATTTGTTATTCCGCACTTCAAATAAGAAAAGTATTAATACCCGTTAAATTGATAACTACCGCCATAATGTGGGCCAGTAAATACCAGAATATTGCCCAATTATGTGCGGAAATGACCTTTAATTGCCGAAATGTTGGCTAAATGTTTGACAATAAATGTCTAGAAGTTGACCAATATTTACTTGAATATTAGCCACTTAATTGGGGGAAAATGGCTAATAAGCGCCATGATATAGGCCAATTTTATGTCGCAACGATTTTAAGAAAAAATTCTTTAATTTGTTTGTCAAATTATTAACTTTTCACTCGAAAGATTTCTAATTTTATTAAAAATGTACTAATATCGAAAATGTATTACTTTGTTTGTTTTTCATATAAAAACCATGAATTTCTTATGATTATATTCCAGATTAAATAATTTTTATAGACCATTTTAATGTTGCATTACATAAGTAAAAATTGAAAATGTTCAAACTATTTTCTGCAACAATTTTAATATTCTCTAAGTTCTTTTTCACCAAAAATTAGTTGCTCAAAAAAAAAATGTGTAACTACAAATGATTCTACAATTAATTCAACAGAACTCGTTCCACTGTGCGTGTATAAATTACAGTTACTACCCTTTTTTTTTATGAAAACCATGAATTTCTAATGAATATAATCATAAAATAAATAAAAAAGTTGAAAATTCTCAAACTATTTTCCGCACCAATTTTAATACTCTAATACTTCAAGTTCTTTTTCACCAAAAATTTAGATGCTCAACAAAATATTTAAATACAAATCTTTCTACAATTAAATCATCAGAGCTCGTCCCACTGTGCGTGTATAAATTACAGCTATTTCACGTTTCATACGTTTCCCATTCGCATCTATGCAAATAATATTAACACTGAATTGAATTGTAGGCTTTCTGCACAACAGACGTCACACGTTTATTTTTGCGTGTCTGCGAAAATCTGATAGGGTGGCTAGGGGGGAGGGGGGTCAGTTACTGTCGCTGTCAGCCTTGACATTGCCAACGGGGAGAAGTGCAGCTAATTCAAATATATTGATTTAATTTGCCGCATTTCAGCAAGAAGGAATCTCCGCTTGTCCAGAAACCGGCTGCAGCGAGTCCCAGGTAAAGGCATTAACTCGTGCGTTTTTTTTTTTTTTTTGGATTGGGGGAGGTTTTATTTTTATTTATATTCTGTTCTTTTGGTGGTTGCAACTGCAAGTTCAAGGTCGTGTCGAAACCCTGGTTGCTTTCTTTTGTTTGTAATCAAAACAAAATTAAACTGGCAAGCAGCAGTCGCTCTCAAACTGTGCACAGTGAAGCGCATGCAAATCAATAATACAGAATTGGAAATGCTTTCATCTACGCCTGGCTGAGCTGCGCGAACTGTCTAAGTAATTAACAAGCACGTGCAACATAAAGTGCAACAACAACAACAACAACAACAGCTGTAAATGGGCCGAAGGCCTCGATTCAATTAAGTGGAAATTCTCCAGCGTGCAGCGAGCAGCAGCTCAAAGGGAATACGTACTTAAACAAGCCATATTTATTGGCCATCAGTTACATCAGTTTCTAAATTGAACGTGCTCGTCCATCAAATCAATTCGACTGAAGTTCAATAAGGTCTTCAATTTGCGAGTGCAACTCAACTGTTAAAAGGAGGAAAAAAAACGTTATCGAGCAGCCCAATTAAAAAAAACCCTCAGGTGAGTCAGACTTAAAACGTTCCCTTTATAGGAATACTTTTACCAAGAGTTGGTAATTTCCGCCCACTGTGCAGCGAATTAAAGGTATTTTAAAATATTGCCCTTCTATGCGATTCTCATAAGTTCATGTAAGCCTTACAGGTCGTTACGCGTTGATAGCATGTAAAGAGTTGATTTAACTTTCTTTCTCTCTCGCGCCATCTCTCTCTTTCTATCTATCTCTCCCTCTCTCTCTATCTCTCTCTCTCTCTCTCTCTCTCTCTCTCTCTCTCTCTCTCTGTCTCTCTCTCTCTCTCGGTCTCTCTCTCTCTCTCGGTCTCTCTCTCTCTGTCTCTCTCTCTCTCTGTCTCTCTCTCTCTCTCTATATATCTCTCTCTATCTCTCTCTCCCCCCTTCACTCTCCCTCTCTCTCTTTCTCTCTCTCTTTCCCTCACACTTTCTGTTTCTCTCTACTCCCTTTCTCTGTCCCATTTTACTCCTCTTTCCTTCCCCAGCTCTTATACTAACATTTGCCTTAAACTCTTATGATTGCGATATATGTTATCTTATATTTGTTCCGTTTTCTGCGCGGCATACACACGAGTTTATCGGCTGATATGAAAACGCGTGCGAAACCAAAGAACAAAACAACAACAAAAAAGGTTTATAGCAGCGTGCAAAAACAACAGCACAACAAAAAAGAAGGCAGCGACGCGGGCAGCATGCTAAACTTCTTATTGAAACTACATATATATATGTACACATACGCACACACACACACACGAACATACTGGCGAGTACCTAATCTTCATGCATAGAGGCAACAGCCTGGTAACAGCGAAAGCGTAGGCGGGGCAGAGCATAAGAGAAGAAACGAAAGCCAATACGAAATGAATTAAAAGTCTGTAGATGAAAGCCAGCGTAATTCAGATAGATCTAACCAATATCCGTTAGGTGCAAAGTATTCAGCAGAAGAGAGAGAGAGAGAGAGGCAGAACGAGGTGAGCATAACGAATGTTAACTGTACTTTGTCACTTTGTCAACAGTTTGAACTGCATCGGCAAAATTGAATTATGGTCTGTCCTTCTGCCAGCAATTGCCTGCGACCTTGTTGGGGTGGTTGCTGCTGCTGCTGCTGCTGCTGCGACGGCTGCTGCTGCCAATTGTTTTGTTTACTCGTGATATCATACGTGCAGAAATTATTACTTGTTTGCAATTGAAACTCATACTCACACACTCATACAAACATGTATATGTACACATGTATTCGTGTTTGACGCAAGCCAAAGGAAATTAATTTGAAATATTTCTTCTGTACACACACATGTGCGCATATACATATGTATGTGTTCAGCAACCAATAGACCAATACAGTTTTACAGCCACTGTTTCGGCAGCGTGTCGAACACATTTTGATGCCCGCCGCATGTTTGTCGCTCGTGTTTCATGTTTATATTGTTGTTTTTAGTTTTCTATACATTTAAAATTGTTTTGGTTGTGCTCAATCGTTAAGTGTGCACAGTTTGGGGTTTTGTGTGTACCAATTCGAAATGTCCAATAAGAAAATCTGTAACATTTTAAGAGCTCTGCAAGACAGAGCGGCACGCGTGATTCATGCCAACTAGTTCTGGGGTTTGGGTCGGGCGACAAGGGCTTAGCACAGGGATGACCAAATATTTTGCAGGCCAACGAAATTCATCTGATTGGAATATGTTAACTAGACAGGGACAGCGAGACAGGGCTGTGTTGTTGTTGTTGTTACAGCAGCTGCGACGCAACAATAAAACAACAACACACTTAAAAACAGCTGCACATGGCAACAGCGCATGTGGAACTGTAAGATTTGTGTATATGCTGCTCTACTGCCCGCAAGGACAATAACTGTACCAGAGATAACAATAAAAATGTGCAAATTTCATTAGATTTGCGATGCAAGAGGAAGAACAAAATCTATGGCTAACATTTTCTTGGTCTCGTGCCTTTCAATTTCTATATCATTTATTGATTTTTCCGGGGCAAACAAATGCAATTTAAATGTTAAAAACGAGTAGACGCCTAACTTTTTTTTTTTTTTTTGCTAATAAATGTAAGTATTTATGTATAAGCACAAACCCACACACATGCACGCAGTCTCCCACACACGACAGGAACACACACACACACACACACAGACAGTATGCACACGCGGGCTTATGAAAAAAGACACGCGGCGCCAGAAGGACTAAGCAAGGATACACAGGCGACTATATACATACACCCACTTATGTACACACACTTATTAAACTTATCCGCTACTCCGTTGGTCTTTGACAACAAAAATGTTTACTGGCTAGAGCGCTTGGCTGCAATCAAGTTGTTAATTATTTGCTTCTTTTCGGGTACTCACTTGAATAGCGACACTTTTTCAAATCACAATTTATTTGACGAGAAATTGAAGCGTGATGAACGCGCGCGCACAACTACGACCGCCGGCTTGCTAAAAATGACGATAGTTCTTCATTATCGATATGCTTATATCGAGAAAATGTTAACAGCAGAATTCATTCATTTAACAGAAAACTCCACCAACCGATATGTCGATTGCTAAAAATTTGTATATTAAATTGTGAATAGCTTACAAATCTTTACATATATATATATATATATGAATATGTGGTACGACGTTTTATCAATAGCTGCAATTCAATTCAAATGTCAGCGATATTTTTTCCAAATCAACCCTTGTGTCCGCTGTTAACACCAGTCAGCAACTATTGACGCTATTTTCACTGTTCTGTTAAATAACATTCTGTCGCACTTTGTTTTTATCACAACAAAAACAAATCGTGACATTACAAAAACTTTGGAAACACCAAACAAATTGATTATTTTGTTGTGTTCGAGCACAGCAAACTAAGTCGCAATGTTCCACTTTAGTGGCTTCAACATGATGTTCCCAGACGGAGGACGCAGCTTCCAAGCCACCTATAAATGCTTCTCAGTGTCCATGCTGCCGGGCAACGAGCGCTCTGATGTGGAAAAGGGTGGAAAAAGTAAGTAAGACTTACTAAAATCGATTGCTATTCAATGCAACTGCTTACAGTCATCATGCCGCCCTCGGCGCTGGATACACTGACACGCCTGAACGTCGAATATCCGATGCTCTTCAAGCTGACCAACAAGAAAAAGTCGCGCTCCTCGCACGCTGGCGTCTTGGAATTTGTGGCCGATGAGGGCAAATGCTATTTGCCGTATTGGATGATGGATAATCTGCTGCTGGAGGAGGGCGACATACTGAGCATTGAGAGCGTCTCGCTTCAAGTGGCCACCTTTTCCAAGTTTCAGCCACACAGCACCGATTTTCTGGACATCACCAATCCCAAGGCTGTGCTGGAAAATGCACTGCGCAATTTTGCATGCCTCACCAAGGGTGACGTCATTGCCATCAAGTACAACAAAAAGGTCTACGAGCTGTGCGTACTGGAGACCAAGCCGGGCAACGCTGTCAGCATCATTGAGTGCGACATGAACGTCGAGTTTGAGGCTCCGGTGGGCTACAAGGAGCACGGTGAGCAACAGCCGGCGGCCCAGTCAGGTGGACAGGGCGCGGGCGCCAACGAGGCAGCCGCAGGCGGTGCCGTTCACGAGGAAGTCGTCGAGACCTTCAAGGGCTCCGGCGTGCGTCTAGATGGCAAAAAGAAAAAGGACAGCCAACTGGAGACGCCAGTTCTCAAGAAGGTGCTGCCGCGCGGCGTGCCCGACTACGATTATCAATTTGGCCTGCTGCGTTTCGATCGCAGCATTAAGCCCATCAGCGATCGCACCCAAGAGGACGCCGAGGGCGCAACCGGCGAGGCCGGCATCGATGCGGACAGCTTCCATGGCACTGGCTTCTCCATGAAGAAATCGCGCAAATAGAATGTAACTTCCTAGTTGTTTAATGTTGCACATGGCTCATAGAAATAGATAAAAAATATGAAATGAAATTTCCACAACATCAAATTACAAGTTGAGCGTCATCCTGATCTCCTCCTCCTTAGGCAGGGGCGGCGACGATATCGTCGTCAAGGGCGGCAAGCGGCGTATCTTGCGTCCGTGTTTACCCTCCTTGCGTTTCCACAGGCCGGAACGGGGTCGATTGCCCAGCTCGCGCATGCGCTGCGCACTGCCCACATGCTCCTTGTTGTGCTCCACGTTGGAGAGACGTCCCACGGTGGCCATGCAAATGCGATCGAAGGCAAATTCCCGCTTGGAGGGCAACTGGACTACAACTTTGTCATCGAACTTGCGCAATATGGTGCCAAAGGTGCCGGCGGCGTGTATGAGATGGCAGGGCTGTCCGGGATTCTTCTCCAGGCAATGGATGCGCGTGCCCACGGGCAGGGCGCCCAATGGATAGGCGTCACCCTCGTTGGGTCGCACTAAAGCACACTCAAACGTTCAATACTCAATGCGGCAAAAACAGTTTGTTCCATCGACTTACCCGGTATGCGTGGAATTACGCGTGATGTTTTCAGTATGTCACCCTCGCGCATATTCTCCGTGGCCAGTATATACTTGAGCTCGTCGCCGACGGCGACCAGCGCCACTTTGGCTGTGCGACAACCGTCTCGCAGCAGCTCCACGACCCGTTCCTCCTGCGGCGCACCCTCGCTGGGGCCGTCGCGCACCCATTTGATCCAACGATATTGCTGCTTGATGCCGCCGCCAATGCCCTTGGCAACAATGCGACCCGTGACGGGATCACGGCCGGCGAGATGTGTGATTTTAAGCGGCGCAACCGTATATTGCTCGGGGAAGTGAACGATGCGTCGGAATTGTTGACCCGCGCCCGGCTTGGGTTTCTCGACGACCTTCGTTTTGGTGCGCAGCTGCTGCAGCATTGCCACTGCGCCGCGTTGTTGCGGCTGCAGCGTTAATGTGCAGTTACTGAGCAGGCGTACAAGGCTTTGCATTTTCACAGATAAATCGATTTAATAAATTTTTAACGATATTCTCATGCAGTTCGGTTACAAAACATATGCGTAACAGAATTTGTGCGCTCTGTTAAGAACAGCTGTGAACAACATGTGAGCAGAGTGTGACCAGTTTGGATGTATCAGTTGGTTAAATTTGGGGGCAAAAATGTACGGCACCAGGGCTGCAGAGAATGTCTGCTTCTTCTTTATCGTCACGTCGTGTGGGCAGCTGCTGCGGAGCGCGCTGCAAGCAAATAAGAATTGAAAACGGCATTAAACTTGTGAAAAGTGCACAAATTAAGTTAAAAGTAAGCTTAAATATAAGGTGAAAAGCAATTTGTTAAAAAAAAATTTATAAAAAAAAATACACAGCGAACAGCGGCAGTTAAAAAGGTACGAAAAAAAATAATAATAAACAAGGCGAACGAGCCGATAGAAAGAAAAATAATATACACACACAAACATGCTGTTGATACACACTCACGCACACAATCACACACACACGCTCAGTGGCGAACGAACTGCACGAAAAAACGTGTTGTGTGCTAAATTTTCTGTGCAAAAAATAGAAAACGCAAAAACAAAAAGTAGCTAAAGCGAAATAATAATAAAAAGCGAAAAACAAAAACAGTTGAGTTTGATAATCAATCGTAAGCCGAATGTAACAAAAATAAACAATAGTACGTATTAATTAATATGAAAAGAAGAATATTAGTAAAGCCAACAAAATATAAATAAAATGTATTTGTTATTTTGGAACATATTCAAGTGATGTACATATATTTCATATGTGTGTGTGTGTGTGTTGTGTATTTAGATGCATGTGGTTGTGTGTACCCTTAACTGTGTGTACATATTTTGGTGTTAGGTGGAAAAAAAGCGGGCGGCAAGTTTACGCAATCGCCAACGAACGAGCGAAGCAACATATATATATGTATGTACGTACATGTATACAAATGTATGATGTACATACAGCGTACGTTGTGAAAAGTGTGCTTTTTGTATGTTTACGGTTTTTGTCTGTCCTTTTGTCCGCAGTCGCCGAAATAAGTGAGAGACAAACAAGGCATGCATACATATTTATATTTTTCACATGCATACATACATACATAGATATGTACCTATGTATGCATGTATGTATAGGCAAGCAGGTGGAGTCGCGCCGACGTCGTTTGTTTTTGATTTTTTTGTTTTTTTCGGCTCCGTTGCTAGCTGAAAAATCAACGAGCGGCATTTTTACGCATTTTCAATATGCCTATATACATAAGTGTGTGAGTGCTTGTTTATGTATGTACGTACATGCGCGCGCTCTTTCTAATATGTGTGTGTGAGAATGTGTGTGTATATTTTGGTGTTTTTATTTATTTATTGTGTTTCTGTTTTGCTGATGCGAGCGAGGCAGCGGCAGCGGCAGCGTAGCAGTGACCTAACAACGTTCGTACGTACATGTTGTGTATGGGTGTGTGCAATTGTGTATGTGTGTTTGCTTTGTTGTATTTATTTTTATAGCATTTTATTTACGTTGTTTTCGTTAATTTTATTTTGGTTTCGTTTTGCATGTTCGCGCATGCAAGCTCGATCGATTGAATGGGAGCCATGTGGGGGCTAAACTGTCTCATTTGACATATGTATGTATGATAATACATACATAAATAAGTATTGTTTTCATTTATTTCCTAAGTGTATACATACCTATGTATGTAAATACATCCATTCATATGTACATATTTATGTGTGTAAGTACGTACATCTGATATTGTCTATGGGAGTAAAGAACAAATAAAGAAGCAAAGGGAACACGCTGTTGGCCAGTGTTGCCAACCGAGCTCAATACGCTTATTGGCAAAATTTAACTGTCAAATAGAGTTGTCGATTCATCACTTGGAAACGATTTGTCACTTATTTAAACAGTGAGTTTTAATAAGCCACACATTAATTATGTGACTCTAAGAATTAGATAAAATTCTTGTTTATTTTTAATTTCTTCAGTTTCAACAGTTGTTCTTTCAACAATAATAGTGGGCTATTCGAATGTAATATGTTAAAACAAAGTTAAATATGTGTTCTTGTAAAAATAATGCATGTTTAGTTTGGATATGCGTACAAGTGTGCAACTGTTCGTGTAATATGTGTGCATAAACTTAAGCACGTTTTCAATATTTTTGCACACTTGGCAACACTGGCGCCGCAGAAACCGCAAACACTGAGACTTGACAAATTGTCAGGCGTAAACACAGTGATGCTGCATTGAACGAATTGCGCGCGCGTTGAACAATAAAAAAATATCAATTTTATCTTAAAGCCCAGTTGCTGCTAGAGCTTTATTTATTTGTAGCTCTGCGACCGGCAGCTGCTCCAATTGAGAGCTCTTTGGGGATTCGGTTCTCTCTTTTGCTCTCTCCGGCCGCTGCCCGGGCAAACCGATGCCGCCGCATCAAGAGTGAGCGCACGCGCGCATAGCACATCTCCCAACGCATTGTGTTTTGCCATAAGCAATATCTACCCATATGTATTTGTGTGCGTGTTTCGTTACTCACGTAGTGAGTGCCGCAACGTAGTAGTAGTAGTGTTATTATTGTTGTGCGAGTTGTTATTGTTTTTGCTTGTTGCCGAGTGCGAGTCGAGTTAATATGTGTATGTGTATGTGCATGTGCATGTGTATGTATGCATGCGAACGGCGATGGTAGCAAAACATAAGCAAAGCAAAAACTGAAAAAGAAACGAAATGTAAGTACTTGTATGTGTTGTTTTTTTTTATTGTATGTATGTCGTTCTCTCTACAAAGTAGGAGACGGAGGCAAACTGCCTAAAGAGTGTCGTGTGTATGTACATATGTGTGTGTGCATATATGTATGTATGTGGATTTGGAAAATATTTTCTGTATGGTTTTAGCTTTAGCTGATGAAAAACCTTGAGCATAAAAAGTCTAAAAAACACGCGTGAAAAGCTACACAAATACATTTTTTTTTTTCTCTGTCGGTAAGCAACACGCGCTTTGTCAGTTTTATTTACAACAACTTTTAAGCGCGCCGCATACAGAAAAAGGCAAAGCAAAAGAAGACGAAAGAATAAAATGAAAAGAAAATAAACAATAAACAATGCGGTGCCAGTGTGTAGGTGTGTGTGTGTGCAATATTTTCTTGTTTATTTGCACTAATTATTTAAACGGAAGAACAATAATAGTAATTAATACAATTTTCAGTTTAATTAGAACAACAACAAAACAAGAACAACCACAACAGGCAGTGTGCAAGTGGATACCTCTCAATGGCCGCCACTACAACAACAACAACAACACTAGCAACAACCATCAATATAAGCAACAACCACAACAACAACAACAATCCCAGCAGCAACAGCAACAACAACAATCACATTGTAACGGTACACGCCGTTTTAAACACACCCACCTCCGCAGCAGCAGCAGCAGCAGCGAGCGCTGCAGACGCGGCAACTGTTGCCATAGCTAAGGACATGCTGCAGCTTCATCATGGCGCCGCTGCAGCGTTAAACAACAATAACAATAACAATAGCAGCGTCGAACTGGCCAGCAACAATCAAAATAACAACAACAACAACAATAACAACAACATCAACTCAGCAAACCACCCACCTGCCAATGTAGTCGTATCGAGTGGCATCAGCTCCAGCTCCCCGCCGACGAATGCTTACGGTGTGCTGCGCTTCAATGAGGACTTGCTCCATATAACGGACGAGGTGACCGTCATTGGACGCAATTCATCCACATCGCTGGTGCACTTCAACGTGGCCGAGAACAATTTGGTCTCTCGTAAACATTTCCAGGTGCTCTACGAACCCGAGCGGCGCGCCTTCTTTGTGCAGTGCCTCAGCAAGAATGGCATCTTCGTTGATGACTTTCTGCAGCGGCGCAATGTGGATCCACTGCGACTGCCCCAACGGTAGGCCAAATTGTGACCAATTGGCTAAGATCTTGCTTAATTAATGCATGTCCTCTTTGCAGCTGCTTCTTTCGATTTCCGAGCACCGAGATACGCATCGAATTCGAGAGCTTTGTAGCCGCACCGGCGGACATTACGCCGGAGGTAGCCCCAGTGTTGAGCAGTCCGGCAGCAGTTGGGACGGCGGGCGCTCATGTTATTATAACTCCACCGCCACGTGACGAACTGCACTCGCTGCAGGCGTCGCATCATCACAGCCAGCAGCAGCAGCAGCCAGCGCATCACTTGCAGCAGCAGCAGCAGCAGGCACAGCAACAACAACAACCGCTGCCGCCGCATCACCCACTCCCACACACACCACACCACCCGCTTCACCACACAACTCTGCAGCAGCAGCAGCGCCTACCAGGAGCACCGCCCACAGCATCCCAACTGTTGACAACCGGCGCTGATGGAGCTGCCATCTACTCACCGCTTAAGATTTCAATACCCAAGAAGGAGCAAAAGAGCCCCTATCTATCGCCAACCGGTAAGTGGATTCCAATTGGCGTCCAATTAGACACGGCGTGTAAAGGGTTACGTTAGAGATAGAACCAGATTCCTAGCTTAGCTACTTGTTCTAATCAACTGATCTTTGTTTTCATCTTTCTTTTGACAACAACTCAGCTGCAGCAGCTGTGCAAACGAAATGTTTCATTTCTATTCTGATCAAAATTATTTGTTCAGTAATTCCAAAGTGAGAAGCTCATTTTAATTTTGTTAAAGCACAATGATATTGTCCTGGGCGGCCACAGCTTACGTGCTGAGCTTTACGCAAAATCTGTTGCGTATACGGGAAAAAAAGAACAATCTTAAAACTGATGGCACAATCACGCCGCAACCTAATGCAGCTGAGGCAGCAGCCACCACCAGTTCCGGGCTAGTCAAGCAATCAGAATCCGTTAAGGACTCATCCAAGGAACTGCAATAACCCCCGGCCATGTACTAAACATATTTAATTGATCAAATTCAAATTTTAACATAGAACATTTTTTGCATATTCTATACTAACATAATAAATTATCGAGAGAACATAAAGTATTGTTATTGATTTAAATTAAAACTTTATTTATTACATATTTTGTCTCTATGCACACAGGTACAATCAGCGCTGCCAATAGTTGTCCGGCTAGTCCTCGTCAGGGTTTTCATCAGAATCAAACCAACAGCTACAACAATTATAGCAACAACAACACGGTAGGCATTGTGCAATAATAAAACTACACATTTCAAACTGTATTTTGTTTGCTTTTGCATTTGCAGCAGGATCTATTCCAGACACCGTCTACCGCCAGTTATAACCACAATGAGAAGCCGCCGTATAGCTACGCTCAGCTGATTGTCCAAGCCATATCTGCCGCTCCGGACAAGCAGCTGACACTCTCGGGCATTTATTCGTTCATTGTCAAGCATTATCCCTACTACCGCAAGGAGACAAACAAGGGCTGGCAGAATTCCATACGACATAATCTCAGTTTAAATAGGTTTGTCTACCATCTAATTTGAATTGAAAACTATGAGCACACTTTTAATCCGGCTTGTCCACTTGCAGGTATTTCATCAAGGTTGCGCGCTCGCAGGATGAGCCCGGCAAGGGCTCCTTCTGGCGCATCGATCCGGACAGCGGCGCCAAGTTGATCGATCACAGTTACAAGAAGCGTCGCCAGCGCAGCAGTCAGGGCTTCCGTCCGCCCTACGGCATGCCGCGCTCGGCGCCCGTCTCGCCCAGTCATATGGGTAAGTCCTATACATTAAGTATTCTCCAACCCTCATTCAAATAAGCCAACAAATCTTTGACTTTGCAGATAACTCACGCGAGAGCTCGCCGCTTCAGGACATTGTGCTGCAATCGGCGCCCGGCTCACCGGGCATGTCACTCGAGCAGCGTGCCGCCGATGCTGGTAAGCGGAAAGAAAGCTGCCAAAGCTAATTGCATAAGATTATGTTTTTAAGCAAGCGATGGGACTTAAACTTTAATTAAGTGAAGCTTGTAGCGTTTCTTTTTGTATAGTCTGATTTTGTATTCAGGCAAATTAGAAGCCCGCCAGAAAGTTAATAATTAACAGACATGTGTTAAATTAAATAATAAATAATAATTAAAAAACCAAATGGTTCAATTCACAACTCGATGTTTGAGAGAATCTCACAGTAGACTATTATCTAGGCAATACAAATACAAATTAGTTGTGTATAAGTTATATAGAAATACCATCTCATCGATCCACAAGGACTTGTAGTTAACAGTATTCGTCATGCTAATGTATTGTATTATATATTATTGCAGAAATCATCTACAACTCTCAAAATGCACACCAGCAACAGCAACAGCAGCAGCAACAACAACAGCAACAGCCGCCACAGACGATGGCCAATAATTCCAATCAATTCAAGTGGGTTTCTCGTCATTCGCTAATATGACATGATATCTGATCTAATATATATATTACAGTAGCGGCAGTCCGTACTATGTAACCAATCAAAATGCCGGCGTCAGTGTGCAGCAGGCGCATGTGGATGGGGTTGGCGGAGGCGCAGCCGGAGGAGTTGGCGCTTTGATTGCGCTTAAGCGAAATCATGTAATGGCCGTGTCGCATCCGGCGCCGGCGCCGCCAACGCTAAATCAGCAGCAGACGCAACAGCAGCCGCAGCAGCATCCTGAGATTATATACGAAGAGCTGCCGACCGATTATAGCGGTCACATTGAGGCGGCGGGCGAGGAGGAGTGCGTCTCAGCGGATGCCACCGCGGCCAAGCGTCCCAAGTACGTCTCCGAGGTGCTCTGATGCGTACGCATACAGAAGCAGAAACACAACAAAGGCAAATAATAATACGCAGAGAAAGAATCGCAGCTGTTGGAGCTGCAACCGCAGCAGCGTCAACGTCGCCGACGACGACGGAGGCGGAGGTGGAGGCGGCGGCGAGCAGATGAAGAAACTCAGAACCGTTAGAGAAAGCAAGCAAGAAATGCAAAACAAAGCCCACTTTAAGCAAATTTCTAGAAAGCAACAAAAAAAAAAAACTAAAACTAAAACAAAAACAAGAAGAAAAAGTATCTCCATCTTGTATATTGAATTTGCCAATCCCGAACATCAAGCGAGAATCCAAGCGGAAGCCCCAACAAAAATTGATACGAAAATGTTTATAAATAGAACTGTGAAATTGTGTTGTTTTAAGGTGTTGACCGTACAACGGTTAAACGGCATGCAAACACTTTCAAAAAAAAAAAGAAAGCCCCCATATTTACGACTTAACCCTTAGCTCTGACGAATTCAATATGCTCGATGACGCTACTCTCTAAGTACATATAATAAATATTAAGATTTAAATCGAAGTAATGCAAAAATAACACAAAAAGAAAAAAAGCAAAAAAAAAAATATTAAATATATATATATATATATATACCTAAACCTATATATATATATATATATATATATAGAATTATATACGATTGATTATTGTAATGATGTTTAAGATGTTATAGCTATGTGACCGAAACGAGAGAAAATAGGGGTAAAACCAAGCAACCAACCACACAAGTAACAAACAAACAAACAACAAACGGGCAAATGAATATTATTACCTATCTACATACCTTTACCTATATCGATTTAAATATAAATACAAATATATATCTATATATAAATATATATATATATATATATAAAGTATATACAAAATATTAAAAGTAAAATATCTACAAATTTACGGATACAAATACAAATACATAATAATGCAAACCATCTAAGTATAAAAAAAAAAACAAAAGCAAATCTAAAAAACAATTGCACTTTATTTCTTAATAATGAAGAAAATCCCATTTAAGTGTTTGGACATATTGTGTATTAAAACAAAAAAGCAAATGTCAATTTTTGTTCGTTTTATTCCCGAAAATCAATGCGTCTTATGCTATACTTTGATATAATCTATTTAATCTCTAAGTAATATAACTATCCTTTTAAAGCGCAGTTGCCTTTTCGCAGTTAAACAAAACAAGATGGATTCATTGTTATTTATTCATATTTTTCGTTCACATTGCTCGATATTGATTTAGTAGCACGTTTAAGCGACTAATACGACGACTTTGAATTTTATACAATATTTCGTATTTAGCTTCTTGTGTGAGGAACTTTGATTTGCCAGGACCCTCGTAGAACTCGTCGCCAGACATTTTCGTATAATTGATTGAGCCAAGCAGGTCCTGAACGTATGTTTCTTGATGCCTTTGGCAGTTTGGTTTCTCAGTTTCGGCATCAATGATTTCCATTTGCCCCTCATTTGTTTCGTCTTTCTTTAGACTATTATTATTATTTTCGAAATCTTCACTTTTCTTATCGACTGCTTCGCTTGCCATTGTGGACTCGTCCAGGAATCCATTCAATTCCAAATACTTTGCGATCATCTTATAACGTTCGATTTCCGTTTTCAATTTGGCGGTTACGGAAATATATTCGGAGAACGCATGATAGCTCAATTGCAGAACTTTGTCGCAAAATAGATACTTATAATGCTTAGCGGTCAGGACAGCGGACACCTCTTTAATAAGGCTCTTGCTATCGAAACTGTGGCCCAGTTCGAATAGATCAACCAAATCCTCCACCTTCATGGACTTGGCCCGTTCGATCAATATGTTCAGACACTCCTCAATTATGGAAGGCACCAGCCAACGATTTCCGCACACGAACAAATCGATTATGGTTTGCGTGGTGCACTCGTTCAGATTATTCTTATCATATGTGTATATATAGTCGCGGAATATCTTGAAGGTGGTCGCTGATATGTCCTCCAAGTATATTCGGCCGGACAGCGCTTCCTTGAAATCGCCCAGAAACATGCGCTTGAAAAACTCGGACGCATACGACAGTATAAGTTTGTGGCACTTGAATGTTGTGGCGCCGACAATAATAACGCAATCCGTAAAGCTGGAATCATTGCTCAGATTTTTGGAAGTATCCACCAACCTTAAAATAGATCAGTCAACATGAATAAATCTGGCGTACAAGTATCGCGGTCAAGCATACCATTTGCTCATGGTTTCAAAGAATAAGAAGAAATTCAAGAAAATATTAAAAACAGAATAGGAAATACTGTCTAAGGCCAAGATTAAAAGTCACATCCAAATTTATCGCAAAAGCTTACGAAAGTGCTGGAAAACGCCGAACTCCGCTTCGATAAATGCGAGATTGAGGTTAGAAATTTTGATCGTATAAAACCTTTTGCACCATAATTTGATAATAGCTCGATTGTAATTAAACGACCTTCAATTAATTTCGAGATTAATATAGGCTTATTTGCTTTAATAGAAGCTTATTTATTTTCTTTAATTTTATTTTCACAGCATTTGTTTTACAGCACTGAAAATTTCCTTAATTCCACCTCCTTAAAAAGTTCAGAAATTGGTGCGTATTAATTAAAAACGAAAACAATTAATTTTTGTTTTAAATGCAGCAAAACAAGTTGATAAAAACGTTTATTTAAAAGAAAATCTCAAAAATGATTGTTGCTTGATTTAAAAATCCTTAACTGAAATCATAAAATCACATGATATTTTACAATAATTATATGGGATTGGTTTCCTTCTTGAGCCAAGCCAAAGTGAAAGAGTCGTCGGATAACAAGGGGGAGAGCTTTTCCCAAACCAACTTATGATAGTCGTTGAGTAATTGAATTTCTTCCTTGGTCAGAAGCTCCTTGATTACCATTTTAGTCTGTTTGGGGCACATGGTGATGGTTTTGAAAGTCAGAGCACCGCGGTTGGCAAAATTGTGCTTTCCTTCGGCTGGAACAATTTGTACAATGTCCTCGATGCGTATGCCAAACTCTCCATCCTTATAGAAGCCGGGCTCGTTTGAAATGAACATGTTTTGCTGTAGGCCGGGGTCATCGGGCATTGGCCGAAAGCCGACACCCATTGGGCCTTCGTGCACGTTCAGGAAATGTCCAATGCCGTGGCCAGTTCCATGGCCATAGTCTAGGCCGACATCCCAGAGCGCCTTTCTGGCCAACACATCTAAAACCTGGCCCTTTGTCTTCGTGGGAAATACCGTTGAGCCGAAAGTTAGTTGACCCTTAAGAACACGCGTATAAGCTTCTTTTTGAAAGTCTGTGGGATTGCCAAAGTGAAAAGTGCGGGTTACATCAGTTGTGCCATCCAGGTACTGGGCGCCAGAGTCACATAGATAGATTTCCTTGTCGTTGATGGGCCGATTTGTCTCCTTCGCTGGATGATAGTGTATGACCGAACCGTTGGGACCCGAAGAACTGATCGTGGTAAAGCTGAGACCCATATAGTTGTCCTTGGTCTTTCGAAATGATTCCAATTTATCAGCTCCGGACATTTCATCGACATTCTCGCCCCGCGCCACGGCAGCTTCCAGCCAGGCATAGTACTGGCACAGCGCCACGCCATCGCGTATGTGGCTCTTGACAAATCCTTCGATTTCCTTATCGTTTTTGATCGCTTTAAATACGGCAATCGGCGTGATATCCTGATGTCGAGCCGATTTCGGCACGAGGCAATTTAGGTACAGGCTGCTCGTTGGCGATATCCAAATTTTGCCCTTAGTTTCGGCCGCAATTTGACGTACGCCATCACCAATTGATTCATACGGATGTATTAAGATCTTGACATTATTCTCACATAGATGAGCTTCAAAGTTATCTGGCAGCTTGCTGGAGTCGATATACAAGGCAATCTGATCATGTGTTACGATCATAAATGCAAAGAATACCGGATTGTAGGCAATATCCGAGCCGCGCATATTCAGGAACCAGGCAATCTCGTCCAATGCGCTGACAACCAAGGCGTTCGTGTTGTGCTGCTTCATTTGGTCACGAGTGCGTTCCCATTTCTTGGCTATTGGCTCGCCGGCAAAGGCCAAATTCAATGTGATGAGATTATTGGATGGACGCGGCGGTTGATCGGCAGCCCAAACCTGATCAATTAAATTTTGCTCGATGCCCACCAAATTACAATTGGCTGCACACAGATCCTTCTCAATGGTTTTCGCTGCACGAAAGGAGAACAAACGCGGATCAACGCCCACAGCGCTGCCTCTGGGCAGATTCTTGCCCAGCCATGTGCCAATCGAAGGCGTTGTCGCCAGTCCGTCTTTGACCAACTCCCAATTGGCGTCCAGCTGCTTCTCAGCCTGCTGATAATAGCGTCCGTCTGTCCAGAGCAGCGCCTTGTCCTGGGTTATCACTGCTGTTCCCGCCGATCCAGTGAAACCGCTAATAAATGCACGCCTCTCGTCGTGGGCACACTGATATTCGCTCTGATGGGCGTCATCTGATGGCACCACATAGGCACTTATACCGGCGGCTTCCGGTGCATTCGCGCATTGCATCAGCTCCCGGAGCTTTGACAATTTTTGGGTTGTCGCTTTCATTATGCCTTCTTACTGTTTCACTGAGCACGTTCGACACTTGAATAGCTATAAAAATATATAGCTGGGCAACTATGAGATAAGTGTTATAGTATCTGATAACAAGCTAATCGTAAATTATGAATTGTATACGACAACTGCTTACTTAGTATTTCGCAGCTGCTGCAGTCGTAAAATTTTGCTCTTTCTCGCCTGCTTTTTGCGTGTGCTCAATTTAAGTGTTGATAAACGCAACAACAAAAAGTTATCGATAACAAAAACTGCGGCAATTTTTGAAATTGTCGTTGGTATGAAAATATATATTAATTATTACGTTTGTTTGAGGAAGACAGTTGCCAGATGTAATAAAAATATATGTGTAGAAAATCACGTATTATAAAACTGTTTATTACGTATTCCTGCGTATTGTCAACATAAAGAATATATTTATTAAACATATATTGGTATTAATTCACTTAAAGCTTAATCGTCAAACAAATATTTTGCGTAGCTTCTTTTCCTGACAATTTTATATAGGGTTTCATATTTGGCTTGATATGTCAGCAACTCAGATTTTCCTGGACCATTGTAGAACTCCCTAACAGTCATTTTAGTATAGTCTATGGCAATAAGTAAAGATTTGACGAAATCAGCTTTAAGCTTTCCTTTAAGCTCGCTACTCGCTTTATCATTTTTTACTGGCGCTTTTTCGGTATCTGGTTCTATTTTCATATTTTCTGTTTTATTAATCAGTTCATCCACATTACTGTCCAAATGATTTACTTCATTTATTTCACGGTTTTCTTTATCGTTTATATCCTTCAGGAATCCGTTTATTTCCACGTATTTTTCAATCATCCTATAACGTTCAATTTCCGGTTTCATTTTGGCAACCGTGGTGATATATTGAATAAACACATCCGAACCAAGCAGAAGGACTCGTTTACATAGCAACTTATCGAAATGATGAGTCATCATAAGAGAAGTAATTGTCTGAATAAAGGACTTATTGTCGTAGTTGTGCGCAAACTCATAAAGCTCAATAAGTTCCTCCAGATTCATGGTTCTGGCACGTTCGGTCAGCACGCTCAGACAATCGGAGGTTATTGACGGTACCAGCCATTGATTGCCGGACTTGTACAGATCCATTAGGATAGCATTTTCATATCCATTGAGCGTTTCCTTGTTGTAGCTGTAAACATAGTTACGGAATTTTTCAAAAATCTCTGGCGTGACGTTCTGTAGGTAAATCTGACCCGAAATAGATTCTTTGAAATTGCCCAACAGCATGCCCTTAAAGAACTCCGAGGCACTGGACAAAATAATTTTATGGCACTCGAAAGTTGTGGAGCCTACGATAACACGACAATCCGAAAACTCCGTCGTTAAGCTACTGAGGACGGGCGACAACCTTCAATAGAACGATATTAGCATTCTTTACATTAAAAATGAGTAGAAGAGGTTACCATTTGTCCATTTCTTGCAGTTTTCTAGCTATACGAGTTTCTTCAAGAAGTTCTTGATACTCTGATCAGGTAATCTTAAAAACCAAAATTAAACAATAAAACGCAAAATTAATTGCGCCCGCGATCATGTCCTTGACATTGATATTAGGACGCGCCTTTTAGAATATTTAAACTACAAACTGCGCATACAATACTGGTTTATTGCGCATGGGTTTAATTGCGCAATATCCAAAACGACAGTTTTAAAAAGTGATATTTACATACACACCAAATATTCGGAGCACAGCCAAGTCTTTGGTTTAGACTATTAGTTCTGGGCACTTTTCTAGAATATATCGATAAGATTGTTTTCGTAAACGGCCGATAGGCTGTCTCCTTAACGACATTTAAATAAAGCGGTCAAGTTCAATCTACAATAACTATGCAGAGGTACGAAAAATTGTCAAAGAGACTGCTAAGCTTATTAATTGAATAATCAAACGTGTGGCTTGTTAATGGTGAAATGCATTGAATATGCATTGCATTGTATGGTTAGTGGTGAAAGCTAACAAACGACTCTTATCGATACTTTAATCGATAGCTTTTGTGCCCTACTAGTCAGCGACACTAAGCATTCCGTAGCTTGCTCTTCGCACGACAAGTTCAGTGGCTAAAATTGTTTATTTAATTATTTTTCTATATACGTTTCCGAATAAGCAAAACACAAAAATGGTGGTCAAAGCTGTATGCGTTATCAATGGCGATGCCAAGGGCACAGTTTTCTTCGAACAGGAGGTAAGAGACTGTATATTATCTGTTTTCAACTTGAAACAAATATGGCAGCCCACAAAAACTAAGGTCAATTAGCCGGCCACACCGCACCACACCGAGCTAATAAATATGTATGCTTGTGCATGAATGAAGAACTTTCATGTATATATATGTAATTGTGTGTGTATATGTGCATACATATGTGATTGTGGACTGTTGCGGCGCTACTTGAATTTCAATTGCGTTTAGTTTGTGCTGTGTCATCTGATAAATGCATAATTATATAAGCACAACAACATTGCACACATGCCAGAAATGCGCAAGTATGTGTGTACGGTTAAAGGCAAACGGCGAAAATTCAATTCGCCTTCTTATACCTCTCTTATACCGCATACACATTTACTCTTGGCTCTTCTTGAAAAGGGGATTAGAATATGACCTTAATTTCAAGCTACCTTTGCCCAGCTAAAATGTTTCTGTCATCATGGTTAGTTGATTCTGCTTATCAGCTTGTTCCTATCTTGTTTTAACCCTATGCGTATCTGTTTTCGATCCACTTCAACAGGGCGAGGGCTGCCCCGTGAAGGTTACCGGCGAGGTAACCGGCTTGGCAAAGGGTCAGCACGGCTTCCATGTGCATGAGTTCGGCGACAACACGAATGGCTGCATGTCATCGGGACCGCACTTCAATCCCTACCAGAAGGAGCATGGCGCACCGACCGACGAGAATCGCCACCTGGGCGATTTGGGCAACATCATCGCCAATGGCGATGGTCCCACGCCCGTGAACATCTGCGATTGCAAGATCACATTGCTCGGCGCCAATAGCATTATTGGACGCACCGTTGTGGTGCACGCTGATCCCGATGATCTGGGCAAGGGCGGACACGAGCTGAGCAAGACAACTGGCAACGCGGGAGCTCGCATTGGCTGCGGTGTCATCGGCATTGCCAAAATCTAAACAACTTTAGAGCCTAAAAGCATTTCAAGCAAATGCATACATATTAGCCCACATATATATATAAATATTGTATATGGATTTAATTTAGTGTATCCACGGCGCGTAATCACGGTTTAAACTTTCTATTGGATATATACGTACATAAAAGAGATTTTCCTTTGTTAGTTGTTTAAAAGCAACCTTTAAGGCAATAAATGGTGTTATCAAAATTAAACTTTCTCTCACTCGCAGCTAGAATTAATATTAGCAACGATTTTACGTACTAGTCCAAACATTTTATTGGTTTCCAAAATTGTTCGTAAACAATAATCTACGTATATAAATTAGTAATATTTACAATTCTTGAAATCCAATTGGTCAAAGCTATAAAACAATATCAACGGGTTGAGAAACAAAAACATGATTTCTAATTTAGAATATGGGTTTGGTGGCGAGTGCTTCTGTTGGCTTCCATTATGTCTTGTTGAAGTAGGACTGATAGACGATGCCCAGTGAAGAAGTCGCAAAGAGCGTAAAGTAGCTCCACCAGGTGGCGAAGCCCAGAAAGCCCTTGTACACTTCCGTGGAGAACACCTGAAGGGCACAAAAAGCTTAGGTAAAAAATAACTATTTGATATGAAAACTCTTACATTTTTCAAACTAGCAAATGAGGCCTGCAGCGATTGCGCAGATTCCAGAATATTAAACTCGGCCTCCTCAACATTGGTGTCTTTGGGTGTTGTGGCCAATTCTCCATCGGCGGCACATTCATGCTGCAGCACAGCCGTCTCCTTGAAGATGCCTGTCCACGTAAAGCCGCCCAGGCTCTTGTACATGAGCGTCAGATAAAGGCACAAAATTAGCGGTGCAGCAAATTGCAACGTAACAACACAGAGATAATAGAAAATTGACGAGATCTGCCAGGCAAAGACAATAAATATATCAATCGTCAATTATCCAAAGCTGCTTCTCAGGCTTGCCTTCTTTTGGAACTCCACGTTGGTGATGCGTCCAGCCTCCTTGCGCAGATCAAGTATCCTGTCGTAGGCCAAGTTCAGATACGATTGCAAATAGATGGGCATCAGGGCAAAGCGCACAATGACCACAACGACCACCAGCAGCAGGCGCAAAGTTTCAAAAACATGTGGCTTGAGTCTGAAAAAAAAAAAACAGAACAAGAAAGAGATTCAATCAATTTGTAGTGGTGCTCCTGGAGGATCTGGTCACTTACAGCGGCTGCTGCATGCCCTGGAAAACGCGCACCGTCAAATAGTCGCGACTAATGGGTCTAATCCACAATATGACTAGTATAAAGGGCAGCACAAAACTAACATTTAGTAAAACTTGCAGCAAGCGATTGCCGCGACAATATTTCAGCGAATTCCAATGCATTTTGGCCATGCGCAGGCCGGGAAATGTGAACAGGGAGCCGAGCACACCGCAGCTCAACGCCAGAAAGAATTTGACAACAATTTTCGAAGCTGGACCACTGCAAAAATGAGAAAAGTTATTAATCAATTCAACTGGGTACTTAGATGCTTAAACGCACGACGAGGGCAGACCCTGCTCGGTGAGAAATTTCGATGCGCTGGCATTAAAGCTGGCATAGGCATCCTCCAGGCCCGTCTCCAGTATGCGCTCATCAATGATGAGGACAATCATGGCAATTAGTAAATAAACCAGACAGGCCACTATCACCATGGAGCGCTCCCCGATCGATTCCTCGCTTTGGAAATACAGCACAGTCAGCGAGGACAACAGCTTGATGGCAAAGAAGATGACCAGCAGGCACCAGACCATGCTCAGATTGATTTCCTGCTTGAGCGGATAAAAGTAGTGAAACAGCTCCGAGATGATGTACACAATGGCAGCATAGACGCTGAAGTCCAGCAGCCATTGGTATTCCGTAAAGTAACGCAAATGTATCACGTCCCGCTCCACCACAGGCAGCGTCTCCAGCTCCACTTCGATGCTGCGCGGTATGTGGAACTGTTGCGAGGCGCTGCCATTGCTCAAGCCGTTTGGCTGCTTGTGCTTGCCCTTGGCGGGCCGATCCTTTGGCACGCCGCCCTTGGTGCGCAGCTCGTCGTCCGTGGGATGCAGATAGCGGAACAGCCCGGTGCGGCAGAGTATCCATTTGGCAAAGGAATAATGCGGACTTAATTTCTGTATGACGCTGACCATTACCAGCGTAATGACTAATTGGGCGCCCAGTATGGCCTAGAAGCATATAATTATCATTAACTATCACAGCCAACAATTGTTTCTGTCATATATATAAATATTTTTGGGTCAATTCTATTTTTGGTCAATTATTATGTACATTTCATTTTTCCGGGCAAACGTTGCCCTTTAGTTTTGTGGTTCGCGCAATTACTTACCATGATTTTGTGCTGCAATGTGTTATGTGTCGTATGTAGATGCGGGCATGTAACGAAACGTGCTAATTGATGTTTTAATTAATTCATGTTTCCTAATTAAAAGAAGTAATGTCAATCGAGTTGTGTTTTACCGAATCGCTTGGAACTTTTTGGATCGGACGACCACTTCAAATGAACTGATAGCTGGTTCCCATTGTTGCACTGCTTGCTGAATGTTATGTTGGCGGCAACTTAACTTTCAATCTATGTTAAGGCCATGTAACGAAACATGCTTATTAATATTTTCCTTAAATCATGTTTCCTAATTAAAAGAAGTAGTAATGTGAATCGAGTTGTGTTTTACCGAGTCGCTTAAAACTTCAAATGAACTGATAGCTGGCTCCCACTGTTTCCACTGCTTGCTGAATGTTATGTTGCCGGCAGCTTAACATTTCAATGTATGTTAAGACCAGTATGTACTGCTACTATCGATATATTTCAATTAATTTTTACCTGTAAACATATCGATACATCAATGTGTTTATACATCCCTGATTGATGCACGTTTTTCAATGCCGGCACAAATAAAAGTAAAGATTAATAGAAAATTATGTTTATGAATGCAAATCTTTTTGAGCCGGGCAAATCGAAGCCGGAACGCAGCTTTATACAGGGTGCAGTTAAGCAGAACACCCGTTTCGATGGCCGCAAATCAAACGAATTTCGTGACGTCAAACTTACCTTCGGCGCCGACTGGGGCACTGTCGCGGTGTCCATTGGTGAAACAAAGGTGTTGGCACAGGTGAGCTGTGACATTGGTACGCCGTCAAGTGCGCGAGCCAACGAGGGCACGTTGTTTCTGAATGTGGACATCAAGGGCGTGGCATTTCTGGACGAAGCTCAGGCGACACATGATCAGCGCTTCCTAACACTTAACTCCCTTTTGGAGCGGACGTTCAAGAGTTCGCGTTGCCTGGACCTGGAGTCGCTATGCATCGCTGTTGAGCAGAGTGTGTGGTGTGTGCGAGTGGATATCAATGTGCTAAACCACGACGGCAATCTTTATGGTGCGTAAAATTAGCTGACATGATTAAAACGATATTCAAATGCTTCAATTGTAGATGCCAGTACCATTGCGGCGCTGGCCGCGCTCATGCACTTTCGCCGGCCTGAGGTCTCCTACGTGGAGGAGGAAATTCGCACGTTTAGCGAAAGAGAGCGCGAGCTGTTGCCGTTGCTCTTCCTGCACTATCCTGTGAGTGTCACCTATTGCGTATACAAAAGCAGCTCGCAGCCATTGGTGGATCCAACGCTGCTGGAGGAAAACGCCGCGGACTCGGTCATTGTATTGAGCTTTAACTCCTATCAGGAGCTGTGCACGCTCAACGCTGGCGGCACCGCGCCCACCAATGTGCGAACCATCATGCAGTGTGCACGCAGCGCAGCCAGCCGCTCCAAGGCCCTGGTGCAGTTCATACGCAAAGCTCTGGAGTTAGATGCGGAGCGTCGCCAGCAGCCCAATCAAGTGGCCGGTTTAGTGGATCTCCTAAATGAAAGCGCACCCCAGTTGAGCTTTAAGCATCTGATGGAAGAGCAAGTGCATACGGAAGAGAGCAAGGCAGACCAAATAAGTGGTGATGAACCCATGCAGCTACAAGAAACAGTTGCCGAGGAACAGACCACAGAAACGTCCACACAGAAGATACCAGGTAAAGCCTTAGCAGATTATGCCCAGGCCATATTGATTATTCTCCGTTTCACATTGCACAGAGACTCAAATAGATGATAGCAGCTGGCTGCCACAGGAGCAAAATCTCGCGGAGGAGCAACAGGTGGACGGCGTACAGTTGAGCTTAAAGCAAGAAGTGCCGACAACTGCCAAGGCGGGCAAGTCTAAGCCCAATCGGGGCAAAAACAAGCTTGGCAAGAAGCAGCCACCGACACCAAGAAAACAAAGTACGAAGCACTTTTATTATGCCTTATCTTATTATAAATCTTAAAAACTATTTGCAGATCAAAGCGATTCGGAGGAGGAAGTCACGCAAATCATTTGATAGATAGTTTCGTGCTCATATAAATAAAATTTTTACGTTATATACGCTTAAGACAAAACTTAATATAAGTATATCTTTAGATAATTTAGTTAAAATATATACAAAGTTTAATGTATCAGAATCAAGCCAGCCGTAGTATATGGAGCAGCCTCATAATAATTGACAACAATTGTAGCTATGATGCTCGGGGGAGATTGTGTTAAAAAAGATGAAGAAATAAATAAGCTGGCAAGAGCTAAAGCTAAATGTGGCAGTTCCTGGACTTTGCCAGGTTTCCCAGGTCATTTATATATAGATATATACTATGTACAGATCGCAATTATTGGTAAAGATCTTAGAGTTGCGCCCATTGCCCAGCAAAATTCTAGATAGATTTTGAGTGAGTGAGAAAAAAAATACATATATCCATTTTTATTCATGCCAGTGCATAAGTCAAATACTTTACTATAGGCCAAGCGAGTAAGATCGTCTCTGATCGGATCAAGATTTCAGTTCCGAATTATATGCAACTAACTATTACCTGTATTTCCTGTAGTACCTTGCACCGCCATTTTTTTACCACGAAATGGACCTTCCAATTGTTAAACTTTTAAAAAAGATGAAGCTGTCTTAGTTGACATGTTGTCAGAAGAGTTCTGCGCGTTAACAACAAGATGTCAAAGAGTTTAGATTCTTGTTAAAGTTGCCTCGTTTTGGAAAACAATTTCTCAATTGTGCTCAAAATGTTCATTTTTATATAAAATTGTCATGTAGTCTCACAGGTTAATAGTAAAAACATTTAACTAGGCCAAAGAAGCTTTTACATTTAATTCTTCTTTGTGGATAAGCCGGGCGAATAATCAAGTTGCACCAGTTGTTTCCCCTCCAGCAGCGTTTCAGCTTCGGAGTGGGCGCAATTGTTGTCGGAACAGGAGTCGTCGAAGGAGCATGAGTTGTCGTTGTCGTTGTCGGAGCAACTGTTGTTGTCGTTGGAGCAACTGTTGTCGGAGCAACTGTTGTTGTCGTCGGAGCAACTGTTGTCGTCGTAGGAGCAACTGTTGTCGTCGTAGGAGCAACTGTTGTTGTCGTCGGAGCTGCTGTTGTACTCTGAGCCGACACCACCTGAATAAAGGCTAAAGCCATCAGCGCGAAGACCACAAAGTATTTCATTTTTTAATAGTTGGGTTATTGGTGTTGCTTGTGTTATGATATTTTAAAACATGACTCTGCTCTTTTATAGGGATTTTGATTAGGAACCGAGATTGTATTTATTATTATTTATTTATTTTACGACAAGTGTGCGAAGCAAATAAGGCCTAGTTCAAGGTGTTTGAGCTAAGTTAATTTTGTTTAAATAACGCTTGACTTGTAAATGTTTGACAGCAAGAATTCTGTTTTTCAGCAATGCTGTGCAAATATAGTAGAATTTGTGGGATAGACATCGTTTATATACATTAGGTAGGTATACAATTCCTATTGCCCAATGCGGAATACTATACTATTTCGGGGCTTCGCCTTGAAGTATGCTCTACTTTTTTTCGAACTGTCTTGATGGGATTTTGAATTCTGTTGTCAAAGAGTCAGACATGCTTTTCATTATAATTCCATCGCTAACTTTTTCACATTAAAAACCAAAATACAAAATTCCAGAAGAAAAAAAAAGAATATGGGAACAAACGCACAGTGCCTTACACCCAAGATCCTCGATCTGGGCAAATGGGATTCAAGGGCAATTAAGCACTACAGTACTTTGCCACGCATTCAGAAGCAATTGCGCAGGGGCAACTGGACGTACATACAGGAACATCCAGAGGTAATTTTCGATATTAGCCTCAATCTGATCTAACTGCACATTGATTTCCTTTAAAGATACGCGCCATCATACGTGTCATAATTCAGCACGTGATCAATGCCAATCCGGATAATGTACGGGCGTGTATAGCCAATTTCTTCAATTGCGGCCGCACCCCTTTGCTGGTGCCTATGGTAATTTGGTTCGTCTTGAAAATGTTCCGGAATCTAATGACAACTCCTTAGATAAACACGCAATTAAAGTACGTGAAGGAGCAGCTGCAGCGCGGACGCTGGAGCAAGTTTGATGCGGAAACGTTGTTCATGGAGAGTCCCTCCACCCATTCGCTCTTATCGGCAGCCTCGACTGACTTCAATGTGCATCCCGTGCTCACCTATGCCCTGGTGTTCAAGAAACCCGACGAATGTGGCATTGATAAGCCGCCTTACTGACAATTCTTTCAATCGAGTGTGTCAAATCACATGCATATATCTAAGATTATTTTTATGGCTGCATTTCGGCAAATTTCTCAAAAATAAATATGGCTTATAAGTTCGGTCTAGTTCGATTTGTGTAGTAAATGATAACTAGTCCTCTGACAGTTATTGTTGTTGAAATTTAAGAGCATTTTTTTTTGTTTTTAATGTTCATATATTTTTCAAATTTTCAAGTTAATAGTAAAAACATTTCACGCGGCCAAAGAAGCTTTTACATTTCATTCTTCTTTGTGGATAGGTCGGGCGAATAATCAAGTTGCACCAGTTGTTTCCCCTCCAGCAGCGTTTCAGCTTCGGAGTGGGCGCAATTGTTGGCGCATGAGTAGTTGTCGTAGGAGCAACTGTTGTTGTCGTCGGAGCAACTGTTGTTGTCGTAGGAGCAACTGTTGTTGTCGTCGGAGCAGCTGTTGTCGTCGGAGCAACTGTTGTCGTCGTCGGAGCAACTGTTGTTGTCGTCGGAGCTGCTGTCGTACTCTGGGCCGACACCACCTGAATAAAGGCTAAGGCCATCAGCGCGAAGACCACAAAGTATTTCATTTTTAATAGTTGGGATCTTGGTGTTGCTTGTGTTATGATATTTTGAAACATGACTCTGCTCTTTTATAGGGATTTTGATTAGGAACCGAGATTGTATTTATTATTATTTATTTATTTTACGACAAGTGTGCGAAGCAAATAATGCCCAGTTCAAGGTGTTTGAGCTAAGTTTATTTTGTTTAAATAACGCTTGACTTGTAAATGTTTGACAGTAAGAATTCTGTTTTTCATCAATGCTGTGCAAATATAGTAGAATTTGTGGGATAGACATCGTTTATATACATTAGGTAGGTATACAATTCCTATATTTAAAAAATTATTTATTTAACAATAATGCCCATTGCGGAATACTATTTCGGAGCTTCGCCTAGAAGTATGCTTTACCTTGTCACACCCTGAACCCATTAAAAATGGGTAAGAAGGGTATAATGTTTTTGTGCAAATGTATGTAACAGGCAGAAGGTAGCATCTCCGACCCCATAAAGTATATATATTCTTGATCAGCATCAACAGCCGTGTTGATTTAGCTATGTCCGTCTGTCCGTGTATGGAGCTAGAGATTTTAGCTGTAGGTCCTCCTAGTCCATGCGCAGATCGAGTTTCCGATTATCGATAACTTACTCCGTTTCCAAGCAATCGATAAAAATCGATATTGATATACCGTTTTTTTTAGCAAATTGGCTATATATGAAGAGCTATAGTCACCAAACTTGATATGTTGCCTCTAGAATATTATATATATATAAAGTATCTTTCATTTCATACCTATCGCCACCTTTACGCTACCACCTCATAGCTATAAATCAAGTTAATAACCCAACTTATTGTCCACCAACTTAAGCAACAATTTTAATGCAATTGACTTTTTGAGAATACACAAATATTCTATGGTACAATAAGATATACTGTAGAAAATTTCATTAGGATCGGTTGGGGCAGCTAGCGAAAACTTAAAGAATTTCTGTATATATACACACACACATTCATGCGCGTCTACTTCGCATTCTATCAATTGCGATTGGTTTCTCTGCTGGCATTTTAATTCGTTTTTTTCTCAATGATATACAATTATTGGTGTGGTTGTTGAGTAGAGGCAGTGGCAAGTGGTGCGGGTCTGCCGCGAGTTCGAGCCCTACCGAGGAAACAGTTTTTCTTTTTTTTTTGGCTGGTATTACTCTTGAGTAGAGTCGTCAGCAAGTAATGCGGTCAGTTGCGAGTTCAAGGGAATTTTTTTTTTTTAATTTATCTTTATTACTTCAAACGAGCGCGTTGCGCGAATTGCTTTGGGTGTTAGAATAAGAGGGTTCAGGGTATTCCCTAGGCGGGAGCTTCCGACTAGAACCTCTTGTTTAATATTTTAATGTCAAATTTTCAGGTAGTCTTGCAAATTAAAAGTGAAAACATTTGACTCGTCCAAAGAAACGTTTGCATTTCATTCTTCTTTGCGGACGTGGCGGGCGAACAACTAGGTTGCACCAGTTGTTTCCCCTCCAGCAGCGTTTCATCTTCGGAGTGGGCGCAATTGTTGGCGCATGATTTGTTGTCGTTGGAGCATTAGTTGTTGTCGTCGGAGCAACTGTTGTCGTCGTTGGAGCAACTATTATTGTCGTCGGAGCAACTGTTGTCGTCGTTGGAGCAACGGTTGTCGTCGTTGGAGCAACGGTTGTTGTCGTCGGAGCAACTGTTGTCGTCGTTGGAGCAACTGTTGTCGTCGTCGGAGCAACTGTTGTTGTCGTTGGAGCAACTGTTGTTGTCGTCGGAGCAACTGTTGTCGTCGTTGGAGCAACTGTTGTCGTCGTCGGAGCAACTGTTGTGGTCGTTGGAGCAACTGTTGTCGTCGTTGGAGCAACTGTTGTCGTCGTTGGAGCAACTGTTGTCGTCGTCGGAGCAACTGTTGTGGTCGTTGGAGCAACTGTTGTCGTCGTTGGAGCAACTGTTGTCGTCGTTGGAGCTGCTGTTGTCGTTGTTGTTCTCCTCTGAGCCGACACCGTCTGAGTTAAGGCTAAAATCATCAGTGTGGAGACTATAAAGTATTTCATTTTGAATAGTTGGGATATTGGTGTTGCTTTACAAATGATTGCAAAGTTGTGATATGATATTTTGTGACGTGACACTTCTCTTTTATAGTGTTTTGGCTTCCGAATGATGCGGTATTTTATATTTATTTTATGACAAGTGTTCGGAAGTAGCTGTTTTAAAGTATGTCAAATCTTTTGGTTTTGCTTAAAATTGAATATTACTACAGGTTATTGAAATTGTTTGCCATCAGCAAATAGGCGCTCTTATGCAGACATATGTTATACAAAATGATGACAAGTTGAGATTAGTCTCAGTTGAATAAATATCTATGCAGCAAACTCTTAAGAATGTATGTAAATGACCTTAAATATGTGCAAGTGTTATACTCCATAGTGTATAACAGTCGATTAACCTTATTCTGATAATTACATGCATAGCTATGTTTGCCACTGTTAAGCCTTGAAGGCATGTGTGAAGCCTATGCTAAATTTAACATTAATATGTTATGTTGCTGTTAAGCCACTTGGATTGCACATTTGAATGCAAATTTGTTGCTAAAGTGTTGCTGGCAGTTTATTTGTGGCAGTTGTGGCGGTTGCATGTTTGAAAAATCGTGTGAATTACGCTTCTTTTGATGTTGAACGGTCTGATGAGTATTCTAGATTCTCATTCTGGCAACGTGATTACAAACAGCAGACGCTGTGGAGCTGCAAAGAGAGAAAACGCTCGAATTCCTGCGAATTTTGACATTCGTTCTTTTGTTTTTGATCATATCCCTGTATCTATATCGTTTTGCATTTTAAACAAAAAACTGGCGTAGTATTTTGGGTAAGTTTCCACCCCATTTGGTCTATTGTGTAATATACTAAGTACCTTGATTTTAATATCATTTTCGGTCTCGTTTCTCTCTCTCTCTCTCTCTCTCTCTCTCTCTCTGACACACTTGTCTCTACTCGTATACCTATGTGCTCTGGCTGGGTGGACCTTGACGTCGTCTTTCTCGTGGTGGTGGTCTAATTAAAGCCGCAGCAAATATGCCCAAATTACCAGCAGTTGGCATTGATCTTGGTACAACATATTCGTGTGTCGGCGTCTTTCAGCATGGCAAAGTTGAGATCATTGCCAACGATCAGGGCAACCGGACCACGCCCAGCTATGTGGCCTTTACGGAGTCGGAGCGTCTCATTGGCGATGCGGCCAAAAATCAGGTGGCCATGAATCCAAATAATACAATTTTCGGTGAGTGCAGCAGCTTCTGCATTATCTTCGTTTACTTGCAACATTTTCATGAATGAAGCACGCGCAAATTTAGGATATCTCTTTCTTTCTTTTTTTTTTTTTTTAGATTTTATTTTGGGAATACTTGTAGATACACGGCTAGTTTGGCTGCTCTTGCATGCAGCCAGGCCAGCTAAGAGTAGTTGTTGGCCCAAATGTATTTTTTGCACATTTCACGCAACCCGCCCGCAACACCTCGACGCGCTCTCCCTTCCATTTAATGAGCCGCATTCACTTGTTGTGTCAGTTCTTTTGGCTACGCCGCCTGCCACCTTCCGCCTCCCTCCTCCCTCCTCCCTCCTGCCGCTGCATGTTTATTAGCATAATTTGTGTCAGCGCATTTCTGTGCTGAACATTTCATGGTTCCACCAACTGTGAGCCAAACAAAAATATATACAAATAGAATATATTTACATGACAATATTTACAATCCGAATTGAGGACAGACATGCGCCCGCTGCCATTGACTTTATGAGGAGCATAGAATTGAGGAGGTGAATTTATGAAGAAGTACTTAAGCTCAATTTGCCGGCAGATCTCTTCTAGACTAGGCTAGAATCGAGGAGGTTTATTTATGAAGAAGTAGCTAACCTCAGTTTCCTGCGTTGGTGCCTGGCAGATCTTTTCTAGACTAGATTTTCAACTAGATTGTATTACTTCTTACGGGCGAAAAGGGCTCCATTTTGGAAACTCAACATAAATGAAATGCTTATACTATAAAAAGGCCTAAAGCTCTTTCAGGAGCATTAACTAGAAACCAAAGTTGTCCCAGATAAATAATTTGTTGCATCTGAAAAACTATAGGATGTTGCCTTTTTGATGCTTGGTCCAATTATATTACCTCTATAGCTATAGTTGAAGCGAATGACTTCTGACGCTGAAACAGATTCTGTTTACAATTGTGAGGCTTACATCTTGCCTTGCTTCTATTATACTGAGTCGTAAGATTTGGCTTGTCTGTGAATTCTTTGGGTTACCTTCATCAATTGATTGCCTTGCTCAGATCTCTTAACTCGTTTCTCACATACCTTTTCTCCAGTGCTCCCTTGAGATTTGTGCAGGTCTAATGCAAGACATATTTTCTTTTTTGTACTTTCATTTCAGTCTCAGAGTCCACATAAATCTGCCCTGCCCCGAACCCGCCTAGCCTAAGCCTAGACCTGCGCCTAGATTCTCGAGTGTTGCTATAAGTTTAGTACAATTTGTTGAAACCCCGTCCATTTTGTTTGTTAGTTAATAAAGATAAAAACCCAATTGTGATATGTTCCTCTGTTCCGCCCGGGATTGTCTTACAGATGCCAAGCGGCTGATTGGACGCAAATTCGACGATGCAACGGTGCAGAGCGACATGAAGCATTGGCCTTTTGAGGTCATCTCGGAGAATGGCAAGCCGCGCATACGCGTCGAGTACAAGGGTGAGAAGAAGAGTTTCTATCCGGAGGAGGTGTCCTCCATGGTGCTGACCAAGATGAGAGAAACAGCCGAGGCGTATCTGGGCGGCACGGTTACCGATGCGGTGGTCACAGTTCCGGCCTATTTCAATGATTCGCAGAGGCAGGCGACCAAGGACGCGGGCACCATAGCCGGGCTCAATGTGCTGCGCATCATCAATGAGCCGACGGCGGCGGCGATTGCCTATGGCCTGGACAAGCAGGGCACCAGTGAGCGCAATGTGCTCATTTTCGATTTGGGTGGCGGCACCTTCGATGTCTCCGTGCTGACCATCGAGGACGGCATCTTCGAGGTGAAGGCCACGGCCGGCGATACCCATCTGGGCGGAGAGGACATTGACAATCGCATGGTCAACCACTTTGTGCAGGAGTTCCAGCGCAAGCACAAACGTGATCTCAGCCAAAGTAAGCGCGCCCTGCGACGTCTGCGCACTGCCTGTGAGCGCGCCAAGCGCACCCTGTCCTCCTCCAGCCAGGCCAACATCGAGATTGATTCGCTGTTCGAGGGCATCGACTTTTACACGTCCGTAACGCGCGCCCGCTTCGAGGAGCTTAACGGGGATCTGTTTCGCAGCACCATGGAGCCGGTGGCCAAGGCTCTGCGAGATGCCAAAATGGACAAGGGTCAGATACATGACATAGTGCTGGTGGGTGGTTCCACCAGGATACCCAAGGTGCAGCGTTTGCTGCAGGACTTCTTCAACGGCAAGGAGCTGAACAAGTCCATCAATCCGGATGAGGCTGTCGCCTACGGTGCTGCCGTCCAGGCAGCCATACTTCACGGCGACACATCAGAGGCTGTGCAGGATCTGCTCCTGCTCGATGTTACGCCACTCTCGCTGGGCATCGAGACGGCCGGCGGTGTTATGACCGCGTTGATTAAACGCAACTCGACCATACCCACAAAACAGACACAGATCTTCACCACCTATGCGGACAATCAGCCCGGCGTTCTGATACAGGTTTACGAGGGTGAGCGGGCCATGACCAAAGACAATAATATACTGGGCAAATTCGAGCTGACGGCCATTCCGCCAGCGCCGCGTGGTGTGCCCCAAATTGAGGTAACCTTTGACATAGACGCCAATGGCATACTCAATGTCAGCGCTGCTGAGAAGTCAACGGGCAAGGTGAATCGCATCACCATTACCAATGACAAGGGCCGGCTCTCCAAGGAGGACATTGAGCGCATGGTCAACGAGGCCGAATCGTACCGCCAGGCGGACGATCAGCAGCGCGCGCGTGTCGATGCCAAGAACCAATTGGAAAGCTATTGCTTTCACATTCGAGCCACGCTCGAGGATGAGCAGCTGCGCAGCCGCATCAGCGATGCGGACAGGGAGACGATCGCCCAGAAGTGCAACGACACCATCAGCTGGCTGGATGCCAATCAGCTGGCCGAGCAGCAGGAGTTCGAGCACAAGCAACAGGAGCTGGAGCGCATCTGTAATCCCATCATGACCAGACTCTACCAGGGCGCTGGCATGCCGCCGCCCACACAGAATTCCGGCGGCGGCGCCGGCGGTGCCGGTGGCCCGACCATCGAGGAAGTCGACTAATGGCTCAAATTATTCTTATTGTTGCAACTAATTTGTTAGCAACCCCCACCCCCCACCCCCCCCCCCCCCCCCTCCAATATACCCACCCCTAAGCAAAATTATAGAGTATCCAATTAAAAGTATCTTTACCAACCGAAAACTTGCGGCCTTTTCCTCTCAGTAATTAGATCTAAAAGACATTTGCAAATTTCTGTACAAACTTTTCTTTAATATACTTTATTTTCAAACTTATCAACTATTTCACAAAATTACGGAGTCTGTCTGCCATGTCACGTGCCAGTGTATATATGAATGATAGGGTATATCATTATTGATCTCACGATAAACTACACGTAATAATAATTAACATTTCAATCGTTGATCAACCGAGTTACTATTGGGTCAAGCGATTAGTTTCATTCATAACAGAACTAAGAACTACAAAATGAAAATCAAGAAAATAATATAAAGCACATAAACTCTATAGTATATACTATGTGGGGGAATTATATGAGTATTCCAGTTGCTTCTTTCACTCTTAGTTAAGCTGTATAAATTATAAAATAAATACACAATTTGCTCGATTTGGATATGTTTCTACTTCCCTCTATGGGTCAGAAGATATGTAACAAATGTCAAAGACATAGTTCCAACAAATCGAAACACAGATAATATTTTAACTTTGGTAGGGTCGAACATAAGTTTAAACAACCATTTAGGCAAATACTATAATATCAGTTAATGTGGTAGAAGTATAGTATTTGGATAGTGTATAGTCCATTTCGTTATTGTATTCAGTTTGAAACGCGTCTGTAGAGAATGCATAAATAAAAATTGATACTCTAAATCGAAGCAACATATCCCTATAAGGATATCCATGCGTTGTTAACACTAATATTTGTCTAGAACTGATGCTTGTATTATGTTCATTTGTTTAATAGTCAACTAGCTTAACCCTCACCTCTATATATAGAGTTCGCTTTCGTAAGTTCTAATTATTTGGTAGATAATACAGATATGATTTGTACAACAAACACTGCAAAAGCTTTCAATAACATACGAGACTCTTGTTTATTTGGAACCTAGTCTAAAACTAAAGAACTTTCAAAACTTTTGCAATGCTGGCAAGTGTCTCATTTAAGATCGACAAATATATATACACATTGGTTTTAACTTTATAGCTGAGTTCCGAATCTATCATATTCAGAATATATGAAACTCAAAATCAAATAGGAGTAGCATAATTTTGTTTTTGTTTTGTATTCAACAATTTTTGAAAATTTACTACACTTTCGATTTGGGTAAACAATATTCATATATCTTTAGATGTCGCCCATTTATTTCGCTACATTAATTCATAATTATTTTCATAGCTGTCGCCAGGTATATCATATCAATACCGATGTATAAATTGTATATAAACCGATTTTATAAATTCATTTGCGTATATTTAATCAGTACTAAACTTTAGGGTATGCACACTCCTAAACTCACTATCAACAATTAACTTTACACTATCATTAAATATTAATATTGCTTACAGTAAATTTTTGTTTTCTTTAAACACCAAGAAGAAATCATATATAGCTGCCGATTATTAATTAATTCATAATTCAAGTAATTAGTATAATGCTATTAAAAATAATACAATTATTACTAATTCAAGTAATTAGTATTACGTTCTTCAAAAGAAGAAAGTAATTAATATTTTTCCTTTAAACAGGAACTAATTATTAATTAGTCAAGTAATTAATATGTTGTTCTTTAAAAGATACGGAAACGGAAAATTCAAAATAAACTAATTGGGAATTTTTCAAATAATTAATATTTTGCTCTTTAAAAGAATCTAGTTAATAATTTTTCAAGTAATTCAGATTTTGTTCCTTAAAAGAAACGAGTTAATAATTTTTTCAGTAATAAATAATTTGCTTTTTAAAATAAATTAATTTTTGATTATTCAAGTAATTATTTTTTTTTAAAAGAAACTAATCATTAATTAGTCAAGTAATTAATATTTGTTTCTTTAAATAATTTCAGTAATTAATATTTTGTTCTTAAAAATAAGCCAATAATTAATTATTCTAATGAAGTAAATTAGAAATAACTCATTTGCTTTGTGACTTAAAATGAATATTTAATTTGCGTTGTTTTCAAAAATTCCACATGGAATGCTAAGCTTTCTGTACTTACATAAAATATCGAACATATAAACGATATATGTACGCTTAGTACATACAACTAGAAGATAACAACACGTAACTAATTCTTTATAGGGTAGCTCTTGTCCTTGAAAGGAGACACGCTCTTACTATGTTACACATAATCTAATTGGCTAAAACTAAACACGTTTGACGTTTAATTCAATGAACTAACAATTAAGCATTAACTTATATTTATTTAGTTCCATTTAAGGTGAATGGGAGAACGGGGTGGAGGAGGGGGGCGGGGGGCTAGATGTACAGGACTAGAGAGCTATTTAACTATAGCTACGATCGCTTTCAGAGAGCCTCAGTCGAGGAGCTGCAGGGACCGTTGTAACCATTTGCACGGCCGGAACCTGAGCCTGCGGCTTTAGTTGCTGTCATTGTTGTTGCCTGCGGCTGGACCAGCTGCTTGAATGTGTTCTCCAGCCTGGGTGGATACTAAAGCAATTGGATGTTAGGTGGGTTGAGTCTATGGCTACTCGATTATATATATTGCATTAAATCCACCTCCTGGTTCTCATCTAGCGATGGCAGCAGCTCGTCCAGCGAGTTGGGCGTCAGCGGACTGGGCGTGGCCATGGTAACACGACTGAGTGCGCCATGCTGCAGCAACGCCTCCCCAATGATAATCTGCGGCTTATTCTGTGTAAGATGCTGCTGCTGCTGTAGTCGCGCCAAACGCAGCTTCATCTCCTGCCTGATCTCCTTCTGCTGCACCTCCTTCTCGAACCGCATCATGCTGTAGCTGCGCACCGAGGAGCTTGTGCTATGCACAGATGCTAGACTTGGTCTTCGAGAACCTGCAAGCGGTAATAAATGTATTATTATCATTAAGTCTGTACTTTCAACTGGGCACTACTTATTTCTGGTAGCAGCATAGATATTATCGAAGCAGAGGCAGAAGCAGACAGATAGAGAAAGAGAGAGAGAGAGAGAAACAGGCAATTGGATAATAAGTTACAGAGAAAGCGACAGAAACAGAGAGAGAGAGAGAGAGAAGCCTTCAGCAAGCGGCTAAATTGCAGGCAAGGCAGACATGTCTATAGGAAGTATTACGAAAGATCTAAATATCTTTAAAGCGTTCAGTGTGCACAAATTAAGCAGGCTGTCGAAAAAGTATACAGAACGAGGTTGCTTGAAGTACTGGCTGATGGTTCTGAAATAAGCAAACATATTCTGTAAAATATTATCATTTAGTTAAAATATTGCATTTTGGTAGATTTGCTTGTAAAATTTGCCAAGCGAAATGCTGGAATGAAAAGTCAAGCATTCATTTTAGGTTAGCAACAGGCGGAAACGAAACACAAGCTGTGTAAGCCTTCAAAGAAACGCTGGAATGAAACATTTTTCAAAATGCTGTAATCTGGAACATTGCGAAAACTGAACATTCCGAATCTTTGCATTGCAGCTATGCAGTTAAAAATAAAAAACAAACTCTTAAATGTTAGGGATTATGTTCCGAAATCTTATGACAAAGCTTGATTAAATGCTAGAAATGAGTTTAGTTAGTTTGATATATAAACAAGAGCTCGATCCATATGCAATCAGTTTCATTCAGAAGATAGTCAGAGGCTTGCAGGACTTGAGAAAGAAGTCAAAAAAATCGCTTATCGAAATTGAATAATAATACTTGGGATTGGTTCGTGTGCATTTAAATATAATTGGAGTGTTCTCTCACTCACAGGACACATGCAATTTGGAATATTCAGTGTGGATATTTCTGTGTGTGTATCTGTACGTATACGTGTGTGTGTGTGTGTGTGAGTGTGTGCGTGTAGGTATCATAAGAATTTGCAATATTTGGTTTAAACAAGTAGATTATGGTGTTATAAAATTTTCTGGAAACAGGAACATAGTCACCGCCATATTGCTTCGATATCATATTGTCAAGCTGAAGTTGTATGTTATATATATATATAATTATATAATTAGCTGTGGCTCGGATGCGCTTAAATATTCCGTATTCATATTTGATTGCTGTTGGAATATGATAAATATATATTTTGTCTACAACATTCGCCGGCTGAACTGTAATTTTCGAAATATATATTTGTCGATTGAATTGTGTTAGTTTTCGTATGTAGGGTATATATATTTTTTTTTAAATATTTATTTATATACTACTAAAAATCGGATCTGGGCAACTTAACTTGGGTATCTGTTTGCTTTAATATCTCTCGAAGTACTCGGGTTTGTAATTTGATTTCTACAGTTGTGTGTGTGTATTATGTGTTTTTGTATATTGTATCTTTTTTTTTTTTTTTCAATTTTTGTAACGCAAATAAAAAAAAAAAAGAAACGAAACAACCAACTTTTAATTTGAAACAGAGATTTGAAAGCACATTAAACATCGATCATTTAGAACATAAGATTTGTTGTTGAAAGACCAAGAATTAGTATTTTCGACGGGGGGTTTTTATTTTTGTTGTTGTTTTTAATCTATTTATGGAAATGCGGCAAAAGAGAGATGATTTTTCAAAATGAGCCAATGAAATGATTGTTTATGTTGTGGATCTCAAACTACATAGATCTGAAGCAATATGTTTTGAAGCTGTATCAATCTATTCTCAATATTCTTCGCAATTACTCACATTGCAATTCTTTCCGATTCCAAAGTAATTGGGAGTAATTGGGAGCTCAAAGTAGTTTGAGAGTCCACATTATGAATATGGAAAGTGGTTTTATTAGTTAATGTGGAGAGCAGGAACCAAAACAGGAATCGAACAATATAACTTATAAACATAATATATATATATATAGAGTTGCTAGATGATGATATGATGTTGGCCAATTGTGATTGTTTGTGATTGATGCTGATGATTGACGCTGAATGACTGCTGACTGATGAGTTGATTTACCGCAAATCTTGGCGTTTCACTCGCCGGCGTCGGCAGGGCGCCAATTTGCAAATGATGCAGCTCGGCACCGCCACCGCCAGTGCCGCTGCCATAGTCGTAACCAACTCCACCGCCACCTCCACCGGTACCTAGTGCATCTATGCTATTGAACCCATCATCATCATTATTGGCATCATTGTCATCATCATAATTATGAATGCCATTCATGCCCAAGAGGGTCCTAAATCTATCCTGATTCTTTGTCTTCGCCGGCGACAGCTCGAAACTGAGCAGATGCCGTTGATGATTCAATTGCTTCTGCAGCTGGCGGTTCATTGAGAGTGTGCTCTCGCAACTGCGACAGCCGCCGGCGCTGCCGGAGCCGTTGTTCTCGTCAAGATTGTCGCGCGAATGCTGGCTGCAGCCGGCGCCAGATGTGTGACGCGATGAGGCGCGTGAATTTTGTTTGGACACGGCCGTTATGTGACACGATATAAGCAATATGGCGGCCGATCTAGCCGCACCTGTACGAGACGTCGACACAAGTATGCCTTTCGAGCCGCTTCCAGCGCCGCCACCGCCGCCGCCGCCACCGCCACCGCCACCGCTGCTGTTGCCGACGCCCCCGCCAGTGGCGCCGGCCAATCCGCCGGACGAGGCGCGACGATTCCCAAAGGAGCCTATCGAGCCCGTCGAACGTATGCTGGAGCGCGACGATGGACGTGCCGAGTGCACGGTCAACGGTATGCCTGAAGGAGTACACAAAAACCCGCATCAATTATGCAGCTCGCTTCACGCTCCCGCTCCCGCTTCAGCCCCCCTGCGCTTACCTGTATCGCTCGAGTAGAGTATGGGCGGCGGTATGTTGGCATCCGCAAAATTGCGATGCCTCGGATATTTCGTCTTGCTGAACAGATGCAGCACCATGCAGATGAGACCCGCCAGCACCGCAATGCCCGTAGAAACGCCCAGCAGAGTGGGCAAATCCGAGCCCAGCTCGCTGAGATCTGCAAGATGATGATGATATGAAAGGCTTGTCGATCGGGGTTCATGCTGCCCGGCTCACCTGGTGTACAGAAGACGCGCCTCGTTGGCTTCGTATAGCTGACCGAGTGGTAGCCGCTGGCGCACTGACACATCGCATTGTGTCGCACCTGAACACAGAGGGAGTTCTCGTCGTTGTAGATGCAGGTCTCGTCATAGAAACACTGATCGCCCAGTTTCTTGGCTAGTTATTGCAATTAAAATTTAACACAAATTAGCAACATAATTCACAGACACAATCGCAATTCTCTCACGTTTGGCGCAACCCTTTATCAGTCCCAGCTGCACGGGATAGTTGCGCTCGCAGTTGCACAGCTGCGTCTCCTTATCGCAGGTGACATGCAACAGCTTTGCATCACATTTCAGCTCGTTGCAGGGCGCTCCAATGTATTTACCTTTAGCTGCAATCAGAATCCGTTTTAAGCTCAACAATTTAAATTATATTTAAATTCAATTTATTGTATTTATTGTGTGCTAATAACTATAAGAATGCAGCTAAAGATGATAAACCTAAACCATAACGCAGCGTTCGTCTAGGCAGGGATTTGAACCAGCGTCTTTTCTTTGTTTATTGTGTGAATGCATACGATAATGTCTCATTTATATATGTTCTTTTAATATAGGAATACGGCTAAAGTTGATAAACTTAAACCCTAATAACCCCAACTGCTTGCGCCTTCGTCTAGGCAGTAATTCGAACCGGCGTCTTTTCTTTTAACTTGCCTGACTGACTCACATAGCAAATGTAAGAACTGAAGGCTGTTTTAAAGCTGGTTTTTACCATTAGCAATTATCTTAGTGAAGTGTGCATAACTAAGAGATACCCTGTAATTGGGGCTGAAGTTACAAACATTTAAACATTTATTTATTTATCTTAAAGCATACACTGATATCTCATTTAATATCAATATACCTTTCACTCAATTATAATTATTGCAGCTGTGAGCTTTAATTTTGATTTACACATAAGAACAATAACATGAAGTCCAATTATATTCTTTGCTATCACTCTATTAGCATTTGCATGCGCAAAAGGGTTAACTATATTTATGACATTGTGCTGACCTTTCCTTGACCTTTCAAACAGTTTGCGTTGCCAAATATTTTGGTTTTTGGCCAGGTTTGCGGTCTGCACACATAGCCAAAGCCGAGTCGGCGAGTTAATTCCCCACAGATCATAATTCTCATAAATTGCACAACAGCTGCCGACTGCCTGGCCTTTGTTGAGGTCCTTCGGCAACAACGTGGTAAGTGGGGTGGGGGGGGGAGGTAGCTGCCTGTATCTGCGCCGCATTACCAGATTTCGATGGCATTCGTTGTGCTGCACTCAGCCGCAATGATTCAGCGGCTTATTCAATTTATTTTGGGCCAACCTGCGGATTTTCATTTGGTCCACTTTGGAGGTCTTGCAATGCTAACAGCAAATACAATTTGCCTTTATTCAATGGAAGTGAGTTTCTAATCTATATATGTGTATATACTTATTTGTATGATTACGAAAGAGCACATCTAATGTTTAAGCTTACAGGCGCAAGGTCGTCTATTACAAGACATTTCTTCGAAACTTACACTAGTTGGGAATTACAACGCGGCAGGCGACAAAACACAGCAAATAAGGACTTTTATTCACCCACCTGCAATATGTTAGCTAATAAAGTGCTCAACTCACCTGACTTATTGTTAATCAAGGCCTCAAGGTCGTCTATATCATCTGGATAACTGGCATCGTAGTCATCGTCAGGCACATGGGCAACATCGCGTTTTGGCTTCTGTGCGTTTTCCTCTTGGCTTAAGCCTAATGTGCTTGTTGTCAGATTCGACACGGCCAGCATGGTCGTCGTTGTCGTCGTCGAGCTGGCAGAGGCGGCGGCAGAGGTGTGCAGCATTAGGTAACCATAGATGAGCACGGCCAGCGTCAGGTAGTGTCCATTACCATGGCACAAGTGCAGCCAGCCTAACAGAGCCATGCGCGTTCTATTGTTGTTGTTGTTACTGTTGTTGTTTTTGTTGTCGTTTGTGTTGTTGTTGTTGTTGTTGTTGTTGTCACTGAGTTGCTGCTGTCGCATTGATGTGGGCGTGTCACTGGCCAGCTGCAGCGCCGTCAGATGCAAACGCTGCAGTAGACGGTGCAATGTTAACTTCGCCATTCTGTCATCTTGTGGCACCTGCCTCAACACTTTTTCAAGTTTTTCACAACTTTTGTCATTTACAAATGCTAAAGGGTATATCCCGTACTCAATGTGTGCGCTCTATTTGTTTTGTTCTTGTCGCAGTTGTCGCCGAGCAGAGTTGAGTTGAGTTGTTTGTTTGCTTGGCAAATGGCCACAGCTAGCGCATATTACGTATATGTAATACGTATATTACGTATACGTCATGCAGTCCGCACGCAGCACCTCTGTTGCAGTTCAAGTTTAGCCTCCTTCTGGTAAATGTTGTTGTTCTTCTCGTTGTTGTTATTGTTGTTTTTGTTGCCGTTGAGTGGCCAACTTGGCCGCTGCCTGCGTTGCATGATAATTTTATATAATTTGCTCTCACGGCAAAATTGTTCGTGTTGCGGTCATCATCATCATTAGCATTATCATCATCGTCATCATCATCGTTGTCGTTATTATTATTACTTTTGGCACTACCTCCCGCAGCACGAGAGCGTACATAAGACCCAAAAATGCGTTGCATGCACTATTTTTATATTCTTGTTCTTTTTCGGCTTTAATTTCATGCAACTTAGAGATTTATTACACGAATTTTATCGTGTTGCTTTCGTCTTTTTGCTGGCCCATTTATCCAACTACAGTTGTACGATAGAAAAGGTCAACACAATAAATATATCAAATTTATCAATAAATCATAATTTGCTTGCGTTTTAACTACATATATGATTTGTAGCACAATATATTATTTGTTTTTGCATTTATGCTTTTCATAAAAAAAGAAGAACAAAATTATATGAATTGCAATCGTTCTTGAATATGGAAATATATATATTATATATTCTTAATATCCAAAGTCGATTTGGTCACGCCCACTAATTTTATTTGATGACTGTGGGACGAATTTATTTATCGCATAATTCGTATTGCTATAAATAAATATTCCCAAATTTGAATATTGCATGCGGGACGATAAGAAATTGAAACTCTTACTCACTTTTAAGTCTCAAGGGTATATAAAAGCGTGTGCAGACCCGCAAGCCTGCATTAGTTCTGGTTGGTCCCACAGCAAATCCCAGCATGAATGCAGTTTGTGTGATTCTTGTGCTCATCGGCAGCGTGCAGAGCATTGCATCTGACGCTGTGCTCGAGGCGCAGTGGAAGTCCTTTAAGGAGATGCACGGGAGAAGCTATGCTGGCGACAGCGAGGAGCTGCTGCGCAGGCAAATCTTCGAGGACAACAAGAAGCTGATTGACACGCACAATGCACGCTACGAAGCTGGCGAGGAGACCTACAAGATGGGCGTAAACGCGTTCACGGATTTGCTGCCTTCTGAATTCAAATCTAGGATGATGGGCAGCCTGAATAGGACGGCTGTGACTGCGGATTACATTTACGAGCCATCCGCGAACCTTAAGATTCCCGAGAGCATAGACTGGCGCACCAGGGGCGCGGTCAGTCCTGTCAAGATTCAGGGCACATGCGGCTCCTGCTGGGCCTTTGCCGCAGTAGGCACTTTGGAGGGTCAGAGCTTTTTAAGGACTAAAACAATGGTTGAGTTCTCCGAACAGAATCTGCTGGACTGCTCCTCTCACCCGCCCTACAGAAATCTCGGCTGCAAGAGCGGCTTTCCGAGTGATGCACTCAGATATGTTAAGGATAACCAAGGATTAGACACGCGCAGGTCGTATCCCTATCAGGGTGTCCAGGGACCATGTCGTTTCCGTAGGGAGCATGTCGGTGTCAGAATCAAAGGAGTTGCCACGGTCAGGTCTGGCGATGAACGCGCTTTGCAAGCGGCCGTCGCCGAGAAGGGGCCAATTGCTGTGGGCATCGATGCTCAGCATCTGCAGCTTTACCATTCTGGAATCTATAATCGGCCCTGCTTCGGTCCCGCATACTTCCATGCCGTTGTGCTGGTGGGCTACGGCAAGGACAGAGGCCACGATTACTGGCTCCTTAAGAACTCCTGGGGCAACTGGGGCGAAGCTGGCTATTTTCGCATGGCCCGCAACAGCCGTAATCTCTGCTATATTGCCAACGATGCAGTTTATCCGCTGATCTAACCGATGTATAAACATAGTTTTGCAATTTGTAAATGAGATTCACAGATCAAGTCGGTTTTTATTTGAAAATAAAATCTCTATGCCACATTGAAAACAATTGGAATATTCGAATATTATTGAATAATAACACTTTTTATTTTACATTTTATATTCGACTTTTAATATTTATTATTTCGATTATTGAGCGCGGCAACTTGTTTATTCTGATGCTTTACGACGAGTGAGACTAAACAATAGAAGCATTCCAGTTCTTGTTCAATCTCTTTGCCCTATAAAACTACTTGGTCAGTACTAATTGCAGTGTTGTTTAAACATTATTCAATCGTTATTCACAGCACAGTGTTGTGAAACGAACTTCACGACACAGTGCTGTAAAACCAATTCCCTTATTATTTCAACACACCTTATAATTGTTTTTCTGGGACCAGTTGATCAATTCAATCAATTAAATTAACTAACTAATTAATTGATTAATTTAACAAATAATGTATAAAATGAAAACGCATAGCTGGCACACCCGTGTGGTTGGCGGGCACTAGAATACCTCCACAGCATGTCCCAGCTTGTCGTAAGAGGCGACTAATAGAGACACTTGCCAGGCTTTTGGCCAAAACTGGTTACATTCGTGCTCCTGGTACAATTTGTCCAAAAGACACACTCGGCAGTTGCGCCAAATCCGAAGGCTGAGTAGTTGGCATTGGATGGGCCTACGTGTGCGAGGATCCTAACACATGTTGTGCTTAGTAAAGCTAAAAATGGAGTATTATATCTAAGGAGATTGTCTAATCGAGCTCTGAATAGTTTTAACCTTTAAGTATCATTAAGCGATAAAGAAGGGCTATCTTCGGCACGCAAGATAATGCTCATAGTGCTTTGCCCGTATCTAAGAAGCACTGGGAGAATAGCTAATGCCGGGTTTGGCCAAGATCTCTTGATATACAATAAGGTTTTTAATTAAAAACTCAGTTTACGACCTATCATTCCTATTGCAGCTATTTGAGATAGTGGTCCGATCTTAATAGGATTTTGCATATATATGACGAGCTTAGTAAAACTAATAAATGCCGAGTTTGGTCAACATATCCTGATAAACAAAAATGTTTTTCATACAACAACTTAACTTTCGACCGATCGTTGCTATGGTAGCTATATGATATAGGGGTCCGATCCAGCTGACTCTGACATATGTGCTGCTAGCAACAGAAAGAGGGATTTCTGCAAAGTTTCATAAAGATAGCTTTAAAACTGAGAGACTAGTTCGCATAGAAACAGACAGACGGACAGACGGTCAGACGGACAGACGGATATGGCTATATCGACTCGACTGTTGATGCTGATCAAGAATATATATACTTTATGGGGTCGGAGATGCTTCCTTTTGCCTGTTACATACATTTGGATTTTGCACAAATACAATATACCCTTATACCCATTTTTAATGGGTTCAGGGTATAAAAATAATCAAATTAAAGTTAAATGTTGCTCACTTTGAAGGCTTGTCCACTCACTCACAACATTGATGTCTGTTAGCACTACTTGAATTATTGAAAATCGCATAGAAAGGCGATGTCAACAAGCATGTCGTTGCGCCTTCTTTGGCATTTCAGCAGCACACAGGAAACGCGCGGGCTGCTCATGACCCTGATTTCTGACTGGTCAAGAACAAGTAGAGCGTCATCTGGGGTGACAGAGGCTATGAACAGATGTCACGCAATCAAACAAGGGATTGCTTTGAGTAGGTCTTAAGAGATTTATGCATCAAGTCCAACAGCTATCTAATTAAAGTACTACAGCTATCTAATTAATAATGAAAAAGGAAAAGCTTAAGGAAAACGACGGCTGAAAGATAGCAAACTAGAATTAAGAAAAAGACATTAATGGAAAAGGAATGTGAAGCGAAAACTGCCAAAACAATGGGACTAAGACAACAACTCTTAACAACTAAAAAGGCGCAAGAACAAGGAATATAAATCGATTAATTATCTAGGACAAATCAAGGATTTTTGTTAAAGAAAACAATTTCAGGATGAATGACTATCGACATAAAAACAAATGCTGGCTGAAACAGTAAAGAAAGTGTTTTAGAGAAATGCCAAAGGCCAAATACCCTTGCGAGTAGCTATTTAACAGCTGAAAGTTAGCTCAGCTGAGCTGAGAGCCTGGCTTGTAAAGAAACAGACTCGACTATCGATACGAATCGGGAACGTATATGCTGTATGATTTGTTGGGCCCACAGTTGTCAGGCTCATGAGTGCTGGCATTCATAAATAGCAACGGGTGATTATAATACCCCAAAGCCACCTACTGTCACCTACTGCCAGCTACGTCAGGCAATGCAATTGTTTAATGGCAACAACAACAACAACAACAAGAATGGATCCATTGTTTTGACTTCAAGCCCAACATCCTGACATTGCCAATGCCAAATGAAAATCCACACTGCGCTGCGGCAAACATAAAAGCCACATCGCATTCAAGTGTTTGTATGGCGTGTAGTGTTAGCCGTGCCACCACCACGCCCCAACCCCCCTATAGCCAGGATTCAGGACAGCACAAGCAATCGCATAGACACCTCGGCGCCGCCATCCACCACCCGCTGACGCAGGAGCTTAGTGTGGCAGAGTGTGGCAACAATCTGAATCATCGTTTTAGCTGATGCCCTGCCTAACCGTGCCCCTGCAGCCCCGCTCGGCAAATGTTAATATCTGTAACTGATGCCTTAAGAGGAAAATGCGATAATGTGCTCGAAACAATGAAAGTGCCGCATAAAAATAGCCTACTGTGTGTGCCAAGTGGGCTGTGTGTGTATCCTTTCTATCAAGAATCTGAAGAGCATGTTGTATAAAACAAAAGAGACAAAAAAAAAACACTTGTATAAGTGAAACTTGAAGCAGACAATTTGTATTGATCCCCAGCTTAATTAAATAGTGAACAATTAATGAACTTATGCCTAACTAATTTCCTTGGTCAAATACTTTACAAATAATCTAATAATCCAGAGAGACATAGGCCCATTTCCCAGAAGAAGATAAACTATATTAAGTTTTACTTATGTCTACCTTTAGTTTAAATATGCTTGTGCATAACTATTTTCGCAAGTCAAGTGGTTTATGATATGTTTACCCGGCTTTGCCCAGCCCAACGATCACATTTCCACCCTTTTTCCGACCGTAAACCAACATTTGATGTTTCCCATTTCTAAGCAGATGCCTTTGGCTAAGCAAAAACTATGTATACATATCTCTTAAGTTAAATACGCTTTCAAATATAATTAAGATTTTGCTGCTCAGAACATTATCATAATTTAAGTCGTATAGGCATATGTAATTAAGTTCGCCATAAACTGCAACAAAAGGACTTTTGGCTTATATGCAATATTTTAGTGCGTCTCGGCAAACCATTAAAAAGTCCGCACTCCAAAACACTTTGGGTGGAAATTCTAAACGCGTGGAAAAGCGGAAATTCAATGCAGCAGGCACAACAATAAGCAGGTTGGGCAAGGCAAGATTAGTCATGTGCAGGGCGAGCGGGCGTAGGGGCAGGGGCAGGCCTTTAGTGGACAATGCGCGCCCATAACACACGTATAATTGGCTACATATATATATATCTCCATATATATGCATGTGTGTGTGCGTTGGAGAGAGCGAGCGAATTTGTAACGGAAACGGCAGACGCAACGACTCGCTTCGTTTTTGGCGACTCTCGCGAGAGTGCGCGTCGTGCCCCTGAGAGCAGTGCTGGTTAACGGTATATAAGATTTTGTGATGCATGCATTTGTGCGTGTGTTGGTGTGTGTGCGTTTTTGGCCACTGATAAAAGCAAATTTACATGTGCCGCCGTCACAGCTAGACCCCCGCCTCCTTACAGTAACGCAGCGCCTACGACAACGACTGGGACTTCGGTCATGGATTTGACTTGTTATGTATGTATGCGTGTGTGTGTGTGTGTGTGCACATCTATGTGTCGTAGTTGTCGCTTAAAATGTAGGTTACACACAGGGAAACATCTTCTTACACACACATACTCATACACAGTACACATACTTGCATACATAAAATAGTTTCCTTCAAGTGCACTCGTCAAAGGCCTTTTCTGGAGTTTTTAATGCAGGCTTTTTCGTAGAAAACGATATTGTAGTCTGGCATAAACGAATTCTGGCTTAAAAGCATTTTCATGAGTACCTTTTACAATTGAGTAAACGCAATTAATCTTAAGAGAACTTTACCAAAAACCCATTTGTTACATTCGTAAACGTAGCACTGCCAATTAATACTAAATAACCAATTTTACATAATTAGTTGCATAAATGCATCAGAAGGATAATGTCTTTGATGTCCTTCGTAAACAGAAATATCTTATTTCCAATAGGCCAGCGGTTAATTGGTCTTGTGCATATGTAAAATTATTAGGTCAGATCAACTCGTTATTAAATCTCATGTGACACCAGCGTTAAATATGTATTGGCTATATTAAATTTTCATCGGAAACGTAACATCTATGGTAAGGGCACAAACGGTCAAGTATACAAGCCAGTATGTATATAAAATATGTATACACTTTTTATGCGTAGAACAAACAACAACAAACATTCGCTTACCAAAGACGTGAACAAAAACTTCAGTTTAAATTTGCGGCCTGGTGCCTAAACACTTCGCTTATGATTGTTAAGATTCGCAATAATTTCACAAAATTTTCACAACTTTTGAATTTATTTTATTAACACATTTCAGATGTCGTCGCAAAAACAATATGCAATTAAAACGTAATGCAATTGTTTTTGCTACACGCACTTGTACGGATACTTCATACCATACATCGCACGTACTTTTATTCACAATGCACACTTTCACGTCTAGCACGTCGGCTAATCGCACTAAATCATTTATAGCACACTTTTTGGGGCTACGGCAGTTTACATACATAGGTCTGTACGTATGTGTTAGTATGTATGAACTCTTTTATATAGCTGTGCACTTTTTACTCGTGTTGTGGGGACACTGACACTGCACGGACGGGCGAGACTGGGCTGACAGCAGTGCTGCTCGCTTGGTGGTTGTTTAGCGTCTGTTCGGGTCCTGTGCAGATAGCCCCTTAAGGTTTAGACCAAAACGGCCAGCATTGAGAGTGCGCCTAGAAAATTGAGAGTAACATAATAAAAACAGCATCTAACAGCTGTTGTCTGGGCGCGCAATTTAAATTAATTTCAAATGTTTTTACATTTTTAAATCACGCGCCATTTTTAATAGATTAATGCGAAAAAAAGTGATTTATTAATTTGCACTAGCTGGTCACACATTGCATTAGCAGCTCTGTTACTATGATCAAGTTTCTCTTTAACAGCGGTTATCTTTTACTGAGTGGGCTGTCTCGCTCGCACGCTGTGCTGATAACAATGCTGGTCATGCACTCTATTAGCGATATGTTAATATGATCTGCCTACCGCTTAACAGCTGTTGTGTTTAACAGAGCAATCCGTCTCTCTCTCTCTGCTCATGCGAGCTTTCGTCGTTTGATGCGCCATAGCAGCAGTTCAATAGGCTCCCTACTTTCAATGTAAACGCATTTACTTTTAAGCAGAGTGCAAGTGCAATAGTAAACACAGGAATAGAAAACAGATTTAAAATGCGATTGTGGTTGAATTTAGCGCTGCTGGCATGCTTAGCACTGGCAGGTGAGTAATATTAAATGAATGCTATAATTAAAATTTCTGTGCGTCAGTGTGAGTGTGAGTGTGTCTAAGCGGCTTTTTCTTTTGGTATGTGTTCAGCTTTTATATGTATATATGCATGTATGTGTGCGTGTTTCTGTTTATTGAAAGCGTGGCGTGAGCTCAGTATGTACATGTGTATGTACTGCAATGGCTGCCGGTAACCGCTATAGTTTGCTAAAGTGCCGTTTGCTTTTCCAGCTCATGGCACAAAGCCGCCTCGTTGGGATGCCAATTACATAGTGAAGGGAACTCTTTATATACCCTATGCAGAGATAGCGGAGCCGTTTTACGCCTGGTATGACAAGAACACGAAACGCTCCCGCATTGATTATTATGGAGGCATGGTCAAGACATATCAGCTTGCCGGCGAGGGCCAATATGGAACAGCTCTGAAACTGGCGCCCGTCTCGACACGGGATGAGCTCAATAAGCTGAGCTGCCTGCAAGTGAACGGCACCGCCGAGCAGGCTGTGGAAATCCAAAGCATTTTGCCTGATGCGAAACCCTTTGAACTGATAGGCACCGAAACGTTCATGGGTTTTACGTGCGACAAGTTCCGCTTGGAGCAGACCATTGGTCAGAAGAAGAACGTGTATACGCTGTGGGTGCGCTACAAGAAGTCACCGCATTATCCGTCGAGTCGCATGCCGATTCCGGTGCGCTACGAGATGCGCGGCTACAATACGCTGCTTGGCTCCCATTATGATAATTATTATCTGGAATACGATAGTTACGAGCATGATGACATACCGAATGAAGTCTTTGAGATCGATGAGAGCCTCACATGCACTGGCTTCCCGGGCCCAGGCACCGGACATTTCGCCACCTTCAATCCCATGCAAGAGTTTATCTCCGGCAGCGATGAGCATGTGGACAAGGCATTCCACCATTTTAAGCGCAAGCATGGCGTCGACTATCGCAACGAGAAGGAGCACGAGCATCGCAAGAACATTTTCCGCCAGAACTTACGCTATATCCACTCCAAGAATCGCGCCAAACTAACCTACAAACTGGCTGTCAATCATTTGGCCGACAAGACTGATGAGGAGCTGAAAGCGCGACGTGGTTACAAGTCTTCCGGCGCTTACAACACTGGCAAGCCTTTCCCCTATGATGTGAACGAGCACAAGGATGAAATACCCCCGCAACATGATTGGCGTCTCTTTGGAGCTGTCACTCCCGTTAAAGGTGGGTGGAGTCCACGTCCAACAACCAATTTTTTTCAATACCAATAATCTTTTGTTCGTAGATCAATCGGTTTGTGGCTCGTGCTGGTCCTTTGGCACCATTGGCCATTTGGAGGGCGCGTATTTCCTTAAGAACGGTGGCAATTTGGTGCGTCTTTCGACGCAGGCGTTGATCGACTGCTCCTGGGGCTATGGCAACAATGGCTGCGATGGTGGCGAGGACTTCCGCGTCTATCAATGGGTGATGCAAGTGGGCGGCGTGCCAACAGAGGAGCAGTATGGCCCCTACTTGGGCCAGGATGGTTACTGCCACGTTAACAATGTAACGCTAGTCGCACCCATCAAGGGCTTTGTCAATGTCACCTCCAATGATCCGAACGCCTTCAAGTTGGCCCTACTCAAGCACGGCCCGCTCTCGGTAGCCATTGATGCCTCGCCCAAGACCTTTAGCTTCTACTCGCATGGTGTCTACTATGAGCCCGAGTGCAAGAACGATGTCGATGGTCTCGATCATGCCGTGCTGGCCGTTGGCTACGGCACCATTAATGGCGAGGACTACTGGCTGGTGAAGAACTCCTGGTCCACTTACTGGGGCAACGATGGTTATATTTTGATGTCTGCACGCAAAAACAACTGCGGCGTTATGACCATGCCCACCTATGTGGAAATGTAAAGCCTTAGCCCTTATATTAAACCATTTCATTTTGTACTTTTTATTCTGTCACGCCCCCAAGGGCTTTAAAAGGAAAATGCAATAAACCATATGTCAATACTCTTTTGTAATCCAAGTCTGATGCTTCTTATCGCGCCACAACACAGCTATATACATGTAGTTCTAAATATAATATGCCTTCTACGATGCCACAGCTACTATAGCTATGTCTTTCTGGCTTTCTCTCTGACCCCAACTACTCTGCAGCGATAAGTTTAGATGACAATGACCAGCCGTGCGCTGCACTTTGATCTGCTACTGAACATTATCTGGTAATTGTACACAATGGGCTAATATTACGTTCCGTCTGCAACAGCTATTCGCCTTATAGAAATGTGAGATTGGCCAAGTACAATTTGTATGGCGTAATATATGTTTATGATATATGACATGTTCTCTGGCAGTATGAAAACGATACGAATCAATTCACGTTAAATTCAAGACAAAGGAAAAAGGTGTTAAGTGATAGGGCTAGTACCTCATAAAAGAAAGGGAGTAATACACGGATGGAAGCTAAGCCCCGCACTTAAATAAAGTGCGTAAAGTCGGGTATCCAAAATGTTTGAATTGTTTACAATATAAAAATATATAAAGGAACTATTACGTCCTCTTTATAAAAACAACTCCACACAATCAAAAAAAAAACAGCATATTTGTATAATTTTATTTTCGTTTTATTTGTGTTTTTCGATTTTCTGTTTATTGTTAAAGAATCTTACGAATCCAATTTTTTAATGTATTTTACAGACGGAAGTGTTATGCTAACATTCGCGCTTGTTTTGCGTGTTTTTTTTTTTTTGTTTGTTTGTTTTTGTTTTTAGTAAATAATTAACATATTTAATGTACATCAGTTAAACCAAATGTTAAGGCTAAAAACTCTACTCTTATTATTCAAAAATTCGCACTTAAAAGTTATGCAAAATACTTAATTTACAGTAAAAATGATTACATTGAAATTTCCTTCAAATAATTTATACGTAATTTCTTGTGTAATTCTGTAAAACTAATTTTCTTTAATTTTTTTTTCCATTTTCTTTACGAAATTTATTTAAATGTATATTGTATCTAAATGTATTTTAGTATTATACAGCTCTTAAATAAATTAACAATATATATTTTTTGTTTTTATATAAAATCGTTTTCTTAAATTAGCATTTTGTATTTTACACTTTCTTACAAAAATCGTTCTTGTGTTTGTTTTCTATGTACATAAAGAATAACCCAAAGAAAAAACAACAAATTCTTAAAGTAAATATAATATAATTGTTATCCTTCTACCTCCAAAAGCATTTAAATATATTAGAAAACTTTTAAAAAAAATCGTGTTTTTTAAGATGGCTTCCAATCTAAAACTCAATTATTTTTTAAAGCATTTTTCTCAAATACTTCGAAGAAGTAAAAAGAAAATGTTCTGGCCATACTTCAAGGGAATTAATTTATATTTTGCTTTGTTTTAAAGAGAAGTCTAAAATTTCCGAAGCGAAATTTATGAACAAAGAACATTTAAGATTGAGTTTAAGCAATATTAATATTCTCGAAGTAGTCCCAAAAAGTATTTAATTGTCAGACCAAATTAATTTAACCATGCGACCTCAATAAAATATGAAACTTTCATTTTAGAAGAGACAATTTGGAACCAGCTTAAACAGCGAAAACTTTCGAATTTTGAAATAATTCTAGCATTAAATTAAATACTATAAAATAATTCTGCAAATCCAAATGATTTTAACTGCCTGTAAAATTGGTTAAATACAAAAATAAAATAAATTTGTTTTTATTTATTTTGGATTTGTAATTCTTAAATATTAAATTAGTTATGACATATTCACAGGGTTAGGTGACTTTCTTATTTTGCTGGTATTTCTCGGAGACAACCTTGAGTAAATTGTTTTTAAAAACGAGAAAATAATAAATCAATCCATAAATAAGAAAGTATATTTTGTTTTAAGGGATTCTGAAGTTTTAAATGAAATATCTGTGCTGGGAGTGGAAAGGGATGGATGCTTACAAGCTAATTACGCGACGGCCTAGTTTAGAGCCTGTTATATACATTGTTTTAATTTTAAATTTGTTGTTTTTAGGCATTTGCTTAAGTTTAATTACGTTCAATTAACTCGCGTTTTGTACTCTTTTTTTCAATGTTTTAGCTTACATACTAAAGTAGCATTTGTTTTTTCTTTTCTTTTTCGTTTTTTTTTTCTTTTCGGTTTTCTTTTTTTTTTGTGTTAAAACTAACAATTAAAATATTTTTTTGTGAATTTTATGTACAAATATTTAACAATATGCGATTCGCTCTTACGTGTTTGCAAATTTATATATTTACAGTTTAGTTCCATTTATTTTGGTTTATAGTATTGCTTGCGTTTTAAGCCTGGTTATGTTGTTATCAATTTCCGTTTTAATAAGATTTGGGGGGTAGTTCATATTTTTTTCTCTTCTCTTATAAACTTTACAACTATTTTAGGTTAATGAATAGAGCAAAAAAAAAAAAAAAAAAATCAATAATTATATATATTGTGTACTCGTATTTTCTTTTGCATATTTCAATTAGTATAAATAAAAGTAAAAATTCTTGAAACTCTACGCAACTAAAAATGTATAATAATAAAAAATGATTTGTATATTAATGCATATATGCATTTAAATTAGTTTAAAACAAAAGGGAATTTAATGTTAACTAACAAGTTGCTTAATTTGTTTTTTTTTTTTTTTTTTTTTTTGTTGTTTTTCAATTAGTTTGTTTCTTCTGTATTACTAAGCATTTTATACGTTTTATATCGATTATACCTATTTATATATACTACTATATAAAGATATATCTATGGAGTAGAATTACATAAGTTGCTCGACTGTTACGAAAAGAAAAAAAAACAAAAACGCGACGACTTTAACTACTAGTTAGTTTAGCAGAAGGTATTTCTTATTTTTCGTTTTTCGTTTTAGTTTTCTTGAAAATTACATTGCTGCTGTCTATTACATATAAACATATAGAGATATATGTATTCAAGTAGTATTAATTATAGCGAGTTATAGCGTTTACAACAAAAATAATAAGGATTTAATTTTTGTGACTGCCGCTGCGTTTCTTCCGGGATCCTCTGTACATTTGCATAAATAAGGAAAAATCGCGCTTGGCATATGTTATATATAGATTATCCAGTGGATACGCCAGCAATTGGTTAGCAATACAGATTCGGATTGTATTTAACTGGGCTTCATTTTTGGTTTATCCTGGTTTTAAGTCCATCAATTGGAGATTGCTGTGGAAGAAAAATGTTTGTCATTATAAATTTGAGCATGTTGAGTTATTTGTTACAACTATCTTATAAAAATAGTTTCATGTTTCACCTACCCATCAACTGCTCAGCCTATGGCCTTGCGCCTAGGCACCATCTCGCCTGGAGCCCGCTGCAGCTGCCTTATCCACTATGCTACCGGCAGCTGTTGTGCTGGCGCCCAGGCGCTCGATGACACGCGAATCACAGGAAATGGTGCGCTGCAGGCAACGTGAACGTTCGCTCATCTTCTCCTGCTGCTGCTCCAGCAACGTGGGCGCCGCATTAAAGTGGCCACCTGCGATAGAAGAGCGTACATTGGATAAGCTATGGATATATACTTGGCAATTAAGAGCTTACCCTTGGGCTTGTCGTCGAACATGTGCAACTTGTGGGCGGTACTCAGGATGCTGTTGACCGTGCTCAGCGTAGCTGCCGCTGAGTTTACCACAGAGTTCTTTGTGTTGCTCTTGGCCGCCGAAGATTGCTGTTGCTGCTGTGACAACTGCTGCTGCTGCTGCTGGTAGTGGTGATTGTTGCTGTTGTTGTTCTGGTTTTGGTGAACGCTTATGGAATTGCGACGCTCACGCATCGCCTGAAAGCGTTCCGGTGACTGCAGCGAACATTTGTTGATGGTCTGCGGCTTGGCAAAGCAGCGCTCCGTTGGCGGCGTTGTAGGCGTCGTTGGCGTTGTCGGCGCCGTATCTACAGAGGGCCGATGCCGCATGCGATACTCACTAATGGACAGCTTGCGCTTGGGCATTGGCGCCGGCTCTGGCACTGTCAGCATAGGGTTCAGGCGCGGATCATGGCTGGCAGTTCGTGTGTACAGCTTAAGCGGTGTTGTTGCCGGCGGCGGCATGCTCTCCAGCGCCGAAATAGCTATACTGTTGGCAGCAGCTGCTGCTGCTGCTGGCGTGATAATTGCTGCAGCTGTTGATGGTGATGCAACAACAACAGCTGGTACTGCCGCCGCCGTCGCCGCCGCCGCTTTCGTTTTGGTGGCCTCCAAATACTCGGCCAAACTGGGCATGCTGCTGATGCTGCTGCTGCTGTTGATTTTGGCCATCGGCGAGGACACCAAAGCTGCGCTCGATGGCAACGCGGGTGGCTCTTGCAGTTTGCCATAAATCGTATTGTAAAACGGCAATTGCTTAGCTGCCGAGCAGGCGCTACCGGCAACCACAAGGGGCACCGACATCGACATGGGCATGGACATGGCGGCTGGCGTTGCGAGTGTGGGTTGTGTTATCAGCACGGGTATTGGGGCTGCTGATATGGGTACGGGTTGTACAGTGGGCGTGATTGGCTTAGTTAGAGCTGCCTTAATGAGTGCCGGCTTAGACATCGCTGCATTTATAGCGCTTGGTGGTTGTGGCTGTTGCTGTTGCACCTTCTGTTTATTGTTGCCCTTGGTCTTGGTCGACACCTTGTCTTTATCCTTGTCCTTTTGCTTCTTCTCACGATCCTTCTTCTTGCTCTTTTTCTTTTCCTTCTTCTCCTTTTTGATCGCTGCCGCTATAAGCGCCGCCTGCTGGCGACTTCCGCACATTGACTCCCGCCGCCGACTGATGGGCGTCAACTTACCGCTGGCTATGGCCGCCGCCAGGCTCATCGAACCCACTGCCTCCTGCTGCTGCTGATGATGATGGTGATGATGGTGGTTGTTTTCCTTGCGATGCTGCTGCTGTGCTGTTGGAGTCGTGGCAACTGGAGCTGCTACTGCTGCTGTTGTTGTTGCTTGTACATGTTGCTGCGGTGCTTTGCTGCTGTTGAGCAATAAGCTGCTGCTGAGTATTTGGCTGTTGGGTTTGGTTAGCTCCTGCTCAAAGTTGGTTTGACGCTTCTTCGTTGTGGCAAGTATTGCTGATGTGGGCACTATAGCTGTTGGGGGCGTGGCAGGTGTTATGCACATGGACATGGTGCGACGGCGCAGCGCCGATTGTTGCTGCTGCTGTTGCTCGAGCGTGTTGCTGTTATGCTTCGTCTTGCCATTGGCTGTTGCTGTTGCTGCTGTAATAGTCGTCGCCGCCGCTGCCACTGCTGCTGCAGGTGTTGCAGCTGCAACTATTGCTGACAATTGCTGCTGCTGTTTGCTCTCTTTGGGCTGCTTCTTTTTGGGCTCAGGCGGCGCCGCCGCCACCAAAGCGGCAATGGCAGCTGCCTTCAGCTTGTCCTTCTCCTTGGACTTCTTTTTATCCTTTTTCGACTTCTTCAGCTGCTTGTCGCGCTCGCGCTTCTCATCTTTCTCCTTGCTCGACTTCTTGGCGGGCAGATCTACGCCAGCAGTGTTGCTGCTGTTGCCCTTGCTGGAGGAGTTGCTGCTGCTGCTGGTCGCCTTCTTGTTGCGCGATTGCAAGTAGGATATATTCTCTGCATGGAAAGATAACAAGCGCTCTTGTATATCCAGTTCGGTCAGATTTTTGCTGCTTGCTGCAGGCGTTTCCATCGCTAGCGTTGCTGTTGCTGATGTGGGTGTTGCTATTGCTTTAGTAGCTGCTGCTGTTGCTGCCGCTGGTGTTGAGTTCACTTCCAGTTTAGGCTTCTTTTTGAGTGGTTCCTCTTCTTCTTTCACAGGTGCTATGCGCGCCTTGATAGCAGGCTTTACCGAATCCACAATGGCTGCAGTTGTTATTGTTGTTGTTGCTGTTGCTGATGGCGTTGCTGCTGCTGCTGCTGCCGCTGTGCGCAGCAGCGATTCACCCGGTTTGGGCTCCGGAATTGGCGCGACTTTGCTGGCAATCGGTTGAGCTGCTGGCTCTGGTTTAATCTCTACCTTCGGCTCCATTTTGGCCACCCGTTGTTTCTCCTCTGTCAAAGTCTCTGGCTTGGGTTGCTGTTGTTGTTGTTGTTGTTGGTGATCTTGTTGCTGTTGCTGCTGCTCCTGCTGTTGTTCCTCCTGCTCGCGCTTGACCTTCAGCAGCTCCTCGAACTTATCGCACGCCTGACTCTCCTCACGCTCCACATCAATCTTGACATCCTCCGCTGCGGCACTCGTGTCCTCTGGCTCGATCTTAACCAGATTGTCCTCGGCCACAATTTGCTGTGCGCCTGGACTGGGTGAGCGCAAGATGTCCACATCGTCATCCTGCTCAAAGTGCTGCTGTGTCTCGACTTTCAAGTGCTCCGTTTTCGGTTCCAATTGCTCCACCTTATTCTCCTCCTCGCCGGCGCTGCCAATGACATCGATATGCGGCTCCTCGGCTGCCGTCGCCTCAAGTCCACCATTGCTGATGACCACCAAACGTCGCTTCTTAAGCGGCGTGCTAAAACCATTGGACAGCAGCGGCGAAGTCTGCTGCTGCTGTTGTGGCGATATGCTGGGCGTGGGCGTAACCGGTGCCTGGGTCTGAATCTCATCGGTGGTCTCCTCGCTAATGGCCTGTCGCAGCCAGCGCTTCTTAACCGACGAATTGTTCTGCACCGAAGGCATCTGTGAGCGCTCTGTGGCCTCCACTTGATGTATAAACTGTTCCACCTTGAGGAGAGCTGGAGCTGGCGTATCCAATTGCATTTGCTGTTGGGGAATGTGCTGCACCTGCTGTTGCTGTTGCAGTTGCTCCCTGGAGCCGTTTATTTCGCTCATGGCCGCCTGCACCAGGCTGTCTAGGCCGGATTGTTGCTGGTGCTCGCATTGCTCCGATTGAAACCAGCTGGACATGAGCGTTTTCTTGGTCTTCGCGCCACTGGGCGGATACTTGAACTCGCCAACTGAAGGTGACTGCAACGGATTCACTAGCGACTGCATCTGATGCTGCTGCTGCTGCTGTGGCGGCGGTTGTTGCTCAAGTGGACCCATCGCAGCCTCAATTAGCAAACAGGCGCTGCTAACAGCAGATGTTGCTGCTGTCGGCGGCGGCTTGAAGGGCTCGCAGTTATTGTGCGCCAGCGCCAGCAGCAAGTCGGCATCTTGATCCGTCGATTGTTGCTGTTGCTGCTGCTGCTGAAGGATGTTGCTGCTGTTGTTATGCTGCTGCTGTAAGGCTGGCGAGGCAAGCTCCGATTCGGTATGCGATTCAGCATCCGATTCGCTCAGGCTTTTTCTGCGCTTGCTGTTATTGTTGTTGTTGTTGTAGCTGCGACTTACTTTGCGCTTCTTTTTGTTGCGCTTTGCTTTGCTGCTGTTGTTGTTGCTGGTGGTGGGCGTGCCCATGCCCATTACGCTGGAGTCGGCCGACTCGCTAATGGAATTGCTGCTCGCATTGCGTTTGCGTGGCGATGCGGGCGAATTACTGGCACGCTGCTTGCCGCCCAACTGGCGACTGTCCGCGCCGGCAGCTGCTCCGCCTGCCTTCTTACCGCGCGCCTCCTGCTTCTCCATTTTATCAATGGCACGCAATATGGCCTCCAGCTTGCGTTCCTCGCGAGATTTTGGTTTGTCCTTTTTGGCGGCGGGCGTCGATGTTGCTGGTGTGCTGGCTGTTGATGCGGACGTGGTCTCCTCCTCCTTGGCATCCTGTGAGGGGCTGCTGATTGTTGTTGGTGTTGTTATTGCCGCTTTCGCGGGCGTTTTGCGTGCGGCTGGCGTTGCATTATTATTATTGTTGTTGTTATTGCTGCTGCAGTTGTTGTTGTTGTTGTTGTTAGGCTGTAAGGACGCTTTCGTAGGCGTTTTTGTGGGCGATACTGCTGGCTGATATAGCTGTGCTTGTGACGGTTGCTGCTGTGGCGACAACTGTTGCTGCTGTGCTTGATTCAACGACTGCGTTGCTGCTGCTACCTTAATAGGGGTAACAATGTGTGCTGTGGGCGTAGCATGCAACGTTTGCAGCGCACTAACCGCCATCCGTGCCTCATCAGCCAACTGTTGCTGCTGCTGTGCGTAATGTTGCAGCTGCTGCTGCTGTTGTTGTTGCTGCTGCTGTTGTTGCTGCGCTTGTTGCTGCGCTTGTTGCTGCTGTTGTTGTTGCTGCTGCGCTTGTTGCTGTTGCTGTTGCTGCACATTGGCCTGCTGCTGCTGCTGCGGCTGCAGATAGTACGTGGTCATCGGCTGCTGTGCCGCTGCTGCGGCTGCAATTACCGCCAGCGGCTCCTGTTGCTGTTGTGTCTGCAACAGCGAAGGTGTCTGCTGTGTCGGCTTCTGCAGCAGTTGTGGAGATAGCAACATGGGCGTGGGTAGCGCTGCGAGTATTTGCTGCTGTTGCTGTGTCGGACTGCGCTGCAGCAGCGATGTCTGTTGCTGCTGTTGTTGTTGTTGCTGCTGTTGCTGATGCTGCAGCTGCAATGTAGGCGACTGCAACTGCGTCGGTGTGGGCGATGGAATGGACACCGATGGCGACGAGGAGGATGTACAGATTCCGGAATCATGCAGGACACTGGACATAGAAACTGAGCACGAGTTGTTGCTGTTGCCGCCATTGCTGTTGCTACTGCAGAGCATTGCAGCAGCAGCTGTTGCAGTTGCTGTCGCTGATGCCGTCGCCGTTGCACCGGTGCCAACTGTTGCCGTCACCAAGGCCGCCGAACTAGGCTTAAAGCCCAAGTTCAACTGGCTCAGCTGCGGACTATTGAGGCCCATATGGCTGCTGCTCTCACCGCTCGAGGAGGTGGAACGATTGCGTGCTGTTGCCGCTGCCGCTGCAGCTGCTGCCGCCACCGTGCTGCTGCCCAGGCCCATGGTGAGCTGTATGGCTGCCGCGCTGTTGGCAGCTGTTGCCGCTGCCGCTGCAGCAGCGGCCGCCTTGTTACGATGACTGCTGCGCGGCTGGGCGGGCGGGGCCTGCAGCTGCTGTTGGACAGCGAGCGGCAGGGCGAACAGGCAATCGCTGCCCAGATCACAGGCGCAGCGCGTGCTCGTCGGCTGTATGACCGCCGAATGGCATTTCTTCTGTTCGACGGCGGCCAAATCGTGCGGTTCATGCCGCACCGTTATCTCCGTCTGTGCCCGGATGTGCGTCAGCGCCACAATATACAGATGCAGTGTGCCCTTCTCGAAATAATGCTGCAGTTCGGCGTTGGGACGGCAGGAGCGGCGTACGAAGCGCGCATCGTTGCCATAGGTGCGCGTATCGACACAGACTTCTGGTCCCTTGAGGTAGGCGGGCAGCGGTGGTGGCGGATGCTGATGTGCCATCTGGGGATGCGTTTGCATGGGCGCCTCGACTCCGGGCAGCTGATAGAAGAACACAAACTGTCCAGGCGTCTTGTGCACCTTGAAGCTGTTCAAATAGTTGCTCGGCGGCGGCGTATTCATGTTCACGGTGGGATTCTGGGTGCGAAACTGTGTGGTCAGCATGTATTTACCGCGTAGCTCATGAATGGGCGCATGCGGCGCCAGGTCAATGCTGCTGATCAACACCTTGGCACCCGCATAGGGTATCAGTTGGGCGCGCTTCTCCAGTTCGCTGGCACAGCCGCCGGCAATCAGACGCAACGCCTTATTCTCCGTATTCTGTATGCTCTGCAGCAGGCTGGGCTGCTTCTGTATGGCGTGCAGGCGGGCGCGCAGCTCCGGCGAATAATGATTTGTGACCGCGTATTCATAGTGTTCGATCCATTGACGCAAATTGGCCGCATGCTTCTCGGCAGCGGTAAGGGCGGGACTGCTGCCGCTGCCGCTACCATCGCCATTGGATTTGCTCTTGCGCTTGCTGCTCTTCTTTGCCGACTTGGTGCTGGCTGTGCCGCCGCCGGCCGTGCCGCCACTGGCATTCAGTTTATCGCCGCTCTTCTTGCTCTTCTTGAGCGTAGCGGCGGCGCCATCTTTGGTTTTCTTCGATTTCTTGTTTAGACCTGCGACAGCGCCCGTACCAAAGCCGCCATTGGGGCCGGCTCCCAGCCGCTGCTGTTGCTGTTGCTGCTGATGTTGGTGTTGCTGCAGCTCTTGGCTGTTGTACAGTAGTCCACCAGCCGCTGCTGTTGCTCCGGCGCCCAGTGAATTGGCTGCTGCCGCAGCTGAAGCGGCGGCGGCGGCCGCAGCGGCCACTGTCGATGTGGGCGCACCACTTGCCGCCTGTGTGGCCACCAGCAGCATATGCTCCCGTCGCTTTTGACGCTGTAGCGCACGTGCTCTGGCCTTGTCGACGGGTCGCGGCTGGCACAGCTCGCACTGATACTCTTCGGGTATGTTGAGACGGTCAATGCCCATGCAGTCCACGTGCTGCCAGGCGCTGTTGAAGCAAATATTTTGGATTAGTTAGCGTCACATCTTGGCCAGTTCTGGAATACTTACGAGCACTTGTCGCAGCATATCATATAGCCATCATCGTGGGTTAGTTCACATATGCAGCGCGTAACTGAATCATCCTCAGCTTCCGCTTCGGGCGCCGTTTCCGTCTCCTCGCCGGGATCGATGTCGGCACCCGCAAGACGCGAGCTGCCGCTTATAGCCGAGTGAGCATCATCATCGGGCACATGACGTCCAACTGTTCAGATAAATTACCAAATTTAGTTTAGCGCTTGGCCAAGAGCAGAATTCACATTTAGTAGAACTTACGCTGCTGCCCAAAGTAACTGCTATAGCTGCCTGGAGCTGGTGCGGCGCCTGCCACCGTTACGCCAATGCCGCCAAGGGACCATTGCTGTGGCTGCTGTTGCTGCGCGGATGTGGATCCAGTTCCAGTTGCTGCCTGCTGCTGCTGCTGTTGTTGCTGCTGCTGCTGCTGGGAGGCGTACGTGTGATCCTGCATTATAGCATGCAATTGCTGCAAACGCAAATCCTGCGTGTGCACGGGCACTGGTCGCACCTCCTCAATGTACAGCTCCTCCTCGTTTGCACTTAACTGCGACTGCTGCGAATGTGGTTGTTGCTGCTGCTGCTGCTGGGACTTCAGCATTAGCGTCGTTGCCTCCACGTGAACTGGCGGCAAATGTGTCGCCGCTGGCGAACCCAACGTTAACGCCGTGTGCAGACTCGTATTGGAATTGGTGCGCAGACTGCTGGTCAGATTGTTAATGCTGCTGCTGCTGTGGCTCAGGCTGCACAGGCGATCCAAGAAAATAAATATATAAATATTTGTTAGTTGTGCGCGTTGACAATATTAAAAGACACGATGACTCTTTTTTTTTAACAAAAACCTTTCCGTTCTGATGCCGGCACAGAAGTAAACAGAGCTCGATATCGATAGCTCGAGATGAATCTGTATACAGTAGGTGGGGGTAACACAGCAGCTGCATGCTGCTCAGAATTCAGTTGAACTTTTCCGTATCGAAATTTTCTTCGCTAACAACAAAAACTTTTGTCTAGCTTGAGACAATTTCTATTTTCATATTCAACACAACTGTCAAATGGCAAACAAACTAGATCAAAATTGTATTATAAATGCGCACCTTGACTAATTACTTGAATTGGAAATATTTTTCAATTTTATGCTTCAGTTCGGAATCTAGAACTCGTTTGCAATACTCTATTTACAATTTGACAGCAAATGTGCTGACAATTTCGACTCTTCAAGAACTGCAAATCTGTTTTTGATTACAATATTTATAATATATTTTCGATTCTTATGATCGCGTCGATATAAAAAAAAAACTACTAGAGCTTAAGAAAATACATTTCGTATAAAGGTATCTCTCTTTGATATATTCTCTAGCTATCACAATTTAATATTTCGAATGGATTTTACGACTTTTGCTAAACTGTATTCATCAGATTCAGAGACGTTTTCTGAACAGTTCAAATATCGTAATTCATCGCAAATTAACCATGTCTATATAAAAGAGAATGTTGCTTTAGCAAAACTAATTATTCACCTGTGCTTATAATACTCGACCACATTGGGTGGCGGCTTGCGGATGGTTGCTGCCGTGAGAGCCTCGTGTTGCAGGTGTTGCTGTTTGCGCTCCAGCGATGCGGCCCGACTGCTTGGCGCACTGGCCGATTGGCGACGCGCCGCCGTTGCCGACATGTACGAGGACATTGCGGCACTGCCGCTGGCAAAGCCATGCGAGGAGATGCTCACCGACGGTGTGCTGCAGGAGGTTACCGTGAGATATGTTGCGGTTGATGCGGCTGTTGCTGATGGCGATGGCGACGAGGCTGGTGTCAATGTTGCTGCTGACGAGCTGGGCGACATGGCTGCTGCGGCCGCCTGGTAGTGGGTCAGCAACAGATTACCCGACGATGCTGCAACTGCGTTGCTGCCGCTGCTGCTGTTGTTGTTATTGTTATTGTTGTTGCTGCTGCCGCCGTATATTATTTGCGTGGGCGTTGTTGTTGGCTGCGGCGGCGGCATGCTTGTATTTGTTGTTGCTGCTGTTGGTGTTGTTGGTGTTGTCTGCTGCTGATAGCGCTGCTGCTGCTGACTAAACGACTTTTGGGCCATGCTCTGCAAAATGCGTGCCGACAACTCGTCTGTCATCTGTGTGCCATTCACAATCATCACATCATCGGTGATCAGCGACGATTGATGCTGATGCTGCTGCTGTTGCTGCTGTTGCTGATGATCGGTGCTGCTGCTGTCGCTGCTGCTGCTGCTGTTGTAGTGTATGCGCTTGGGCTGGCCCTGCGGCTGATGCTGCTGTATGACGGTGCCGTGCGAATTGACAAATTTAATGGCGCCCGGCGTGGACTGCTGCAGCATGTAGCCGCCCGTGGCCGATGTTGTCTTCTGCTGCAGCTGCGTGCCCTGCGGCAAATTGGCGGCCAGCTGTTGAAGTGGCTGCTGTTGCAGGACATACTTTGTGTTGCTGCCAGCAGTCAGTTTGCCAAGCTTGTTGGGCGTCAGCTGCTGCTGCTGCTGCTGCTGTTTGCCGTAGACATTCTGCTGCTGCTGCTGCTGCTGAGGGACGGCAGCAATGGACAGTCCGGTAGCTGCGCTGCCAATGCTGTTGTATTGCTTGACAAATTTGGTTTTGACTCCTGCTTTGTGTGTTGCCTGTTGTGACGAGATAAAAGCTTTAAACTGCTGTTGTTGTTGTTGCTGCTGTTGCTGCTGCTGCTGTTGTTGTGGGTGATGTTGCTGCAACATATTGCCAACACTTTTAACAGTTATCTTTTGATTGGCCTTCTTGAGCAGCGCCGCAGCTGCGCCACCCGCTGCTGTCGTTATCGCCGGCCGATTGGCCACAGCATTCACATATTTCTGCTGCGACGCTGCTGCTGGCTGTACAATTATCTGCGGCGGCTGCTGCTGTTGCTGCTGCGGTGGCACATACGATTGCAGTCGCGTTACAACACGTGAGCCCAACGTCACCTTTTGCATTAGCGGCGTTGTTGTTGATGTTGTCTGTTGCGTTGCCTGCGCATAGCCTTGCAATTGTTTTGTATTGGCGCCAGCAGCCACGGTTTTGTAGGCGCTGACAGTGCCAAACTTTTGCTGTTGCTGCTGCTGCTTGATTGCGGGCGTGGCTGTCACATAGGGCAAATTCTTGGCGTTGACATAGTTAAGCTGCTGCTGCTGCTGGGAGGACATAGATGGCGCCTGCTTGGACAGCACCGTGAGATTACTAAGCAAAAGCTTGGAGTTATGTGGCGGCGCCGCGGCGGAGGTATCGATGATGACATTGCTGGTGCTGCCATCGGTAGTGACAATCTTGTAAATTTGCGGATTAAGCAGTTCATGCTGATGCTGCTGCTGCTGCTGGTGATGTGGCATATGCTGCTGTTGCGTGGCTGTCGTACGCACCGCGTACTTTTGAGCGGGCTGCGCTTGAATGGACATGCGCCGCTGCATCGTGCGCTTCAGCTGCGCCTGCGTTGTGAGGCTGCTCCCATCGATGACAATGTGCGGCGGATGCTGCTGCTGCTGCTGCTGTGGCCCACTGATGCCAATTCTGCTGCTGATGCTGTTGTTGCTGCTGCTGTTGCTGTTGCTGCCGCTGCTGACGACAGGTTCCACAAAGACCGTGTCGTGCGTGGACATGGGCATTTTTACAAATTTTTTTGCTCACCAAATAATATTTGTAATATTTGTATATTTTTTTTATATATTTATATGCGGTATATTGTTTTAAAACTAAATTTTTATGCTTTAGACGGGAGCGGGGGCGGGGGATGCTTTTTACTGGTGCTAAGTTTTTGTTGCTCTTTTGCTTCTTATGTTGCTGCTTCTGCTGCTGCTTTTTAACTTTTGGCATTTCACAACACTACTTCACTAGACATCTTTTTCACAAGAAGCTTTTGCCTCTGCGGCCGCCGCAGTTGTTGCTGTTGCTGTTGTTGTTCTTGTAGTTCTTGATCTTGTGACTTTGGCCGCGTTGCGGTGTTGTCCCAGTTGCTGCTGCTTCTATTGGTGATGGTGCCCCCAAACCTTTGGGGGCCTAATGCATAACCAGAAATGCTCTTTTCGGCGGCGTTTGCCTGACCGCTGCTGGCGGCTGCTAATTGTAGGCGGCGCGCATTCAAATTGCAAAAACGATTTCCAACACTGTGCCACATTACATTGTTAGCCATTACAAACATAACGGTGCGTATTGTTCCTTCTACTTCTCTGCTCTGCTGAGTCGACGCTTCCTATTGGCGCGCCTACTGTTACTCTTCCTATTGCAGTTGTATTCTAACACTCGTTGTTCTTGTTCTCGGCGTGTCGTTGTTTTGTTTTGTATTTTGTTCTTCTTGTTTTTGTTATTGTTGTTGTTGTCCAGCACAACGAAACTGCTTAAAATTTAACTCATCAAACGATCTTTCGTTGTATGTTCCATTTGCTGCAAAGAAAAAACATAGAAAACAATTTTAATACAAATGCAAATTAAACTGGGTTTTATTTTTTAGTTATTAAATCCGCTCGCAGTTCAATACATAAACAAAGTTCAAATTTCAACAATCGGTAATCGATAAGTAGCTTCATTTGCTAATCTATCGGACAGTGTTGCCAGATGTTAGTTTAAGGCTTATGTAATTCAAACAACAATAAAAACCAAACGCATGCGCGTCACAAACTTTTGGTATGTACTTTTTTCGTGTGCCAGCCGCGAAGGCTGCATTTGTGCAGCGAGCATAAGCTTAAAGCGAGTAGCTAACAACACATCAACTCGTTAATAGAGAGCCAACAAAAAAGCCGCACACATCAAAGCTCTGCCAAAGCAGACCAAAGTGATACGTTATAAGCCTGCATTGTTTACACACACACTTGCTTGCGTGCGCGTAAGCACAGTGGGGCGGGGACCTTTTGCCATCTAAACCAATCACCCCCCCCCCCCCCCCCCCCCCACACACACACACACACACACACACATCTGTCACTACCTTGTTACGAGTGCATTTAACTTAAAGAAAAAAACCTGTTCTTCTGACTCTTAGTCAGTCATCATTTTAATGGACGACGCAAGTCAAAACCCGCGATGCCATCTAATACATTCTGTAGGGTTCGTTCTGTAATATGCGAAAATAATGTGATTTATATGTGCACCATTGTTTATTCATGTAGACAGTAATCTTGATTAATGTTACTTAAATATATATTCAAAATGGTTAATCTCAATCTTCCTTTCGTGGACCAATTCTCCTATTCAGATTGTGCCTTCCTTTTCTTCTTCTTCTTCTACGCCCAGCCTCAAAGCACAGTGTTTGTTATTTGGCATTTCTGCTATGTACATGTTTATCTAATTTTATAGTATTTCTTTCGCAGTTGCTCTCCACCTAGCTATTCGCATTTACAATTTACATAAGTATATATGTATGTGCGTGTGTGTGTAAGTACGTTGCCAAAGCCAAAGCAAAAAGTGAATGCACTAATTTTGCCTTGGCACCCGGCGCGGCATTCACGGCAGTCGACGACATCGTCGTCTTACTCGCCGCTGCGTTGTTGCTGTTGCAGTTGTTGTTGTTGTTGTTGTTGTTGCTCTTTTAAGTATCTATTGGCAGTTGTAGTTGTTGTCTCCTCTCTTGGCATGCACTTGGTTCTCGTAGCTTCTGAGTGCGCGCCTATTGAAATTTCATTTCGAATTGTAATAAGACTGCCTGCCGGAGGAAGCGAGGGCAACGCATTTACATCCAACTGCTGCTCAATTGAATGCAGCATTTGATGTGTTTGTTTTGTTTTGCTTTTCGGTTTTACATTGCCATCAATTTGAATAGAAATGAGGAAAATATATGTATATAAAAAGCGAATAAGCTGCACACAATTAAATAGACTTGCGAAATGCTAATTGCACAGTCAATGTGTTTATGTAACCCCATGATAGGGTGTAATAAATATGCATGTATGTAAATGCCAAATGAATAACAGATCAATGTATAACAGCTATATTTGGTCAGTTATGTAACGGTATGCATTTCACTGTTATACATATGCAGCAAATGCAAAAGTTCTAGCTCAAAGCCATTTCCATGCCATTCGATGTATGATTCCTCTATATATACATATGTACATATGTAACTGTGAGCACATGTACTATTTCCGTTTCATGATGTATTTCCCAATAGCAGCGTCAAACATAAGCATAGCTCGTCTAGCCCCAAGATAAGAGCAGCAAAAATACATATGTATGTATTTGATTTAGTGTGTGTGCGCGTATAAAAAGCTAGTGTTGTGAAATTAAACGACCCAATTAAAAAAATAAACAAGCATAGATACATGTCTGAATAAATGGGCAGATATGTTAAAGCACGTCATAAGTGTTAATGCGCGAAACAACTGTTTAGCAAAAGCTTTAACCCTACCCCAACCTTCTTTCAAAATGCGCGCCATAAACAATTTGCATTCATGTGTGTGTGTGTGTGTGTGCGGCGTTCAGATGCGAGAGAGCATGTTTGAATGCACATTGCAACTGATTGACACACGTTTACCGCGAATGACCTGTGCCGTGCTGTGCTTTTTAGTAAGCTTTATTGGCGTTAAATACAGAAGGAAAAACTCACTGTGTTTGAAAACGCCAAAACGCCAGAAACGGCATCACAAGCAAAGCTTCCAAAACGGAGAATATCTAATCGGCACACAAACGATCGATAACAATATCTAACACTGAGACTGTCTATCGACTAGCCGTACTCGTTGTAGATGCATCACACTGGGCCTGTGTGGCCAATGACATTACAACAATACGGCTAATATCAGCATTGCCAGTGGGTAATTATATATAGACATACACATACATATGTATGTATGTATGTATGTATGTATGTATGTTTGTTTGTATGTATGTATGTACATCATGGGCAGACACCCACACACCTGCAATTTGGGTGTTGCACACTATCCGCATTTGTTTGTATTTAATGATGCCAGCCCAAGTTGCTAGTGTCAACTAATTGCGTCTTAGTTTTGTTATTCTCGCGCGTATTTAATACGCTTGGAATTGCTTGGATAATTTGTTTGGGGTTTTATCGGATAAGCTTTTAACAGACTAACATTTGCACATATGTTTAATGCATTGTCATTACTGAGTAATTTTTTAAAAAATATATACGTATAATATACATATTAATGCATATGTATGTATGTATGTAATCTAATAGGTTACATATTTAGAAAACTTCTTGCACATCCTCTTTCGCCCATTATACCTACACACAAATCAATGCATGTGTGTGACTGCATGTGTATTAGTACGTACATACACTTGGGTACACATGCATATTTTTGGCGGGGGTGTATGCGCGGCAAATACTGGCATCCCTTGAATTATTGAACATTTTTTTCTGATTTTCGCTTGCATCGGTCATGTTGGGGAGTGTGTGCATATAAGTTTCGTATGCGCCAAAGCATTATATACATATTAAAAACTTGTCCATCAACTTTTGCTTTCATTTTTGCCCATACCACAGAAAGTAGCGAAAAATCGTACAGGGCAGGCGAGGCAAAAATCACGTATGCGTAAAGAGTAGCATTGGCGACGAGTAGAATGGACCATGCGCAAGACAGAGACAAATAGATGAAACACATACCAGTAAAGTGTACAACAGCGGCCAACTTAATGGCGTACAAGCGTGTAAGCGCTAGAATTGGAAATAAATCATTTGACGAAAACATAACACACGCTTGGAGTGTACAGCAAAAATGGAAAAGCAAAGGAAATTGAAAAGAAAAAATATCAAAGCGACGGCGGTGCTGTTCTAGCATATGAAATTTGAATGAAACGCAATTTCAACATGGCGGAAACATCGCAAATTATTTTAATGCATAAAACTGCATGTTTAAAACAAATGTTTTGTATATTAAAACATTGCCAATTAATTTAATGTTGTTTCGATATTTCTGCGCATGTCAAAACAATGCAGCGCGCAAGAAACACACATATAGTGGTGGTAAATCAGAATAAAAAGTACGTGCATAACTTCATTAACATTTTAAAGATTCGAAGTAGACGTATTACAACGAATTGTATGGGCATTTGATTTCATATATTTCACGCACAAATTAACTAAAAACAATAATTCAGTTTCTGTAAATATAAACTTTGCATAGCTGGCAACTCTACGGAGCTCAATTATGCACAACTAACTTCACGTTGCACAAAAGAAAATAGCAAGCAAAACAAATGAACGCGCAAGCTATATGCCAAACACGCGAGTAGGAGCGAGAGCAATATATGCTTGCTTTGGGGGAAAAGTACGAAATTAAATATGGCGACCCACTGTGCGAAAAAAAAAGCTCGAAAATGGCAATATCAGTTATTGTAAACATATAATTTGACAATATGAATGCTTATGACAGTTCACATTATTTGCAGCACAAAGACAACTCGATTGCTGGCAATGTCAAGTGGCAAAGAAATTATTAAACTAAGATTACTATCAATACTGCATGGTTTGCGCGCGCGTTAACTTTTGCTTTGTTTACCAGTATAATTTACTCACCGTGTATGATTATTTTGTTTCACTTAATTGTACACAACACGAGATTTATATGGCATGCTCCGAATTCGGTTTAATATGTAGCATTTGCTTTTTTCGGCACTTGAATTTCGTTTTGCATGCACTTGCTTGTTTTGGTGTTTTTTTTTCACATTTTCACAAATTCGAAACGAACGCGCTGTAATTTGCCTTGCAGGTTTGGTAGTTGTGAAACGCGGCGTTGTTTAAACGTTTGCTGCCTGCTTAAATAAACGTTTCCACTTTGATTAATCAATTTTATTATTAATACGTATGGCATAAGAAACAACGAAAATGCGCACGAAAACACGTACTGAGCGTGTGTCAGAGCGAGATGACAATACTGTGCTATGCTGCGCGCGCACTTGTATTATGAAAGCAACATATAGTGTGGCCGTTTTAGCGTGCATGCCAACTAGCACAAATCCTACCTATTATCGGCTATTTTATTTTGTTCGCGCTGCTGCTTCTTCTACCTTGTCTTTCTTTAGCCTATTACTACTGCGCCTGCCATTCCGCAGTGTACTTTATAGTGCTGTACGTACATTCGTTTTGTCTTTCTGTCTGTTCGTCTATACATACATATATGCATGCATGTACACACACGGCGCCACCGAAATATGTACCTACGTACATATATAAAAATCTATACGCGGATGTTGCCGCTCATATACACAAAATTTGTTATATTCTAATATTGAAAAACTACACGCTCATAAAGGGTAAACATGCCCGCCAACTGGAAAACAAACGAATGCACTTAATTTGTACATATAAGGTAACTGTTTTATAGCAGACAACATATGTACATAGAATTATCCATATGTATGCGCCAATACAATTAATCACATTGTTAAAATAAGTACAACTATAATATGACAAAAAAAAAATAACTACATTCGTACAATTCTTCTTTACATTTTGTACCTCGTTTCGTAGTCACACACAAACACACGCTTAAAAATATACAATGTATGTATGTATTTAGACCGCTGCTACAACACTTTAATGGCATCTCGCTTACACTAACGCTTCGTACGCATTTTACCTTTCACGTCCTATGTGTTTTCCATTTTTACCAACACGCTAATAAGATAAATTTTAAAACTACATTTTAAGCTATAACTAACACGTTTCACCATTACATTTTAGGATATTGCGTAAGCTGCACTTGAGAACAGTGCACAAAACAATTTTTTTACAATTTATTTGTTGTTTTAACACCTTTAAACGCGTTTCACACTGCGCGTTACTCCGACTCTTCTTCTTCATCTAGTGTAAGCGCAAGAATGTTAATTTATGATAATGTTAACCCACCGAATTACTCAATTGAGACTGCTATACTGTTAACAGCGCAACGAGTCCATATACGTAATAAATTAAGCATAGTGTTGTAAAGGCTAAAAATATAACCATGAAAGCAACGATTTCTTACTGTAATCGAAATATTTGGCGCTGCCACACTGTCATTTAGACAATTTCGACCATCAGCTGATAATCTTTTAGCCTAATAGAAAATAAATAAATAATGATGCCATGGAGGTAAACCCATTGGCCGTCATACTTGTCTATTTCGACAGCAAGGGTGATCGCCTGCTGTATCGCTATCCCTACCAGACGCTCGGCCAAACGCTCAAACTAGAGGAACCGCGCGAGGAGCTGGTCAACAAGAAGCGCAATCCCTTTGCCGTCGCCCACACAGATGATCTGCTGCAAACGGCCACACACCAAACGCAGACCCAGAGCCAGGGCCCCGGCCAGCTGCAGGGCTTTGCGGACGATGTGCTCTCCGCGTTGTTTGCCGTCAAGCCGCAGTTGTGCAATCAAAAATTTGAGCTAAAACTGAACGATGTCCGCTTCGTTAGCCACCCCACGCTGATCAGTGTGGTCCCCACGCCCGTGGCCAGTGCTCCGGTAAGTGGGGGCAGCAACTTATCTTCGGCTGCCGGCGTTGCCGCCACTACGGCTGTGGCTGTGGCGAAGAAACAACAAATGCTGATCAACATTGTGTTTGCACTGCACGCCCAGGCCAGCTACTCGATTGTCAAGTGCTACCATGAGCTGAGCAAGCGGCTGGGACTGGCGCTCAAATTCGAGGAGCAGCGCAGCGGCTACCTAACCGAGCAGACGGCTCTAATGGCCCGAACACACGACGAACAGCAACAGCAGCCGCTGGAGCGCACGCTGGAGCTAATCGCGGAGCGCTGCAGCTTGGCGCAGGCACTAAAATCCATTTGCAATGATCTGTGCACCACGGGACTGCTGAGCACCACGCTGAATCAGAATCTAACGTTGACCTTTTGCCTGCCGGCCAAGGCGCATCAGCTGCACAAGAAGGGCAGCATGGTGGATCCGGAGACCATAGATCGTTGTCTGCGCGCGCTGAAGCCCTATCATGGCATGCTGCTGCTGGTGGACTTTGCAGAGCTGCTGGACTGTGTGCCGCCGACTGGGGCACGCATGCTCTGGCAGCTGGTGGACGCTTATAATCCGCTGATCAGCCTGCAGAGCATGGCATCCAATGCGGATCTGAGCATTGAGCATGTGTACAAGCTGGTCTCGCATCTGGTCTATTGGGCCAAGGCGACCATCATTTATCCGCTCTGTGAGACAAATGTGTATGTGATAGCACCGGATGCGCCGCTGCACACCAGATCGCATCTGGTTGAGAAGTTCTCGACACGCTTCGCGGGCATGTCTCTGTTTGAGGTCATTTCGGACTTCTCGCTGCCGACATCGATTGGACATCTGACGACGCCGTTGCAGCAGCCGGCCCGCCAGGGCATACTCGCCCAGATGGTGCTCTGGATGCTGCAGCATCATTTGCTAATGCAGCTGCACACCTATGTCCAGTTTATGCCCAGCGATGCCGACGATGAATTCGGCGACTCGGCGTCCTGTGCCCAGGCTGGCAGCAATGTCACCGAGGAGGAACAGGACAGCAATCACACCGAGGACGAGCCGAATCGCGAGCGGGATGATGATCCGTTGCATGGCGGCTCCATGCTGAGCATGTCCAGTCAACCGCTGCCCATGCCCGTGAACGCACATCGACGCAGCGTGCCGGATGATCACTATTCCCTGGCGTCGGACAACATTGCTGTGCAGCCATCGTCGAGCCACAAGTCCAACTTCAGCATGACGGCCTCGCTGAGCACGGACAATTGCGATAGCCTCGACTCCATGGAGGACGAGCAGAAGCTCAAGGAGCTGCTGCAGGTCTTCAACGATGCGGATCGCGCCGCCATTCGCCGTATACCCGCCTCCCTCAACGTCGATGACCTATCGCTGCTGGTCAAGCTCTATCAGATGGGCTACTTTAAGAGCGAGCATCATCTGGAGGAGATTATGTACTTTGAGAATTTGCGTCGTTCCCAGCTGCTGCAGCTGCTCGACAAATTTCGCGACGTCCTGATCATATACGAAACAGAAGATCCGGCCATTGCATCCATGTACAACAATAAATAGATTTATAATAAAAAGCATTCCAAATGCAACTTGAGTGTAATTCGCACACTTTCGCGCATAATCCACCCATACAGGTGGAAAGTGGGTGATAAATTCGAAAAGCTTACGTTTTAAAGAACCTTTGAGAACTCATCAACCGATCAAAGATCAGGAAATGAATGTCTATTCAGTTGCCTCCAAAGAAACCTATCTATATGTATTTCTGAATAAATTCACACAAATGGATGGAAACTATTGTGAATTGATTAATATTAAAAATAAACCTATTTAAATGAAAAAATCCAAATAGACAAATAGTTTTAACAATTCCACTCACATGGGTGGTAAACTCTCAAATTAATTTTTGAAGAGAAGAAAAATCGACTCCAAGTCCGCACGTTAAATTTAAAATTTTCACTTCACTTCACTAATCCATGGAAACGGGTGGAAATTATGTCTAATCTGAGCAATTAAAATGCGTTTTAGCCCGGAGAGATCCCATTAAAACCAGCTGGTATTCACATATATAACATAAGCTTTATTTGTTGAGTATACCTAGCTAATATTTAGGGGATTTGGACAATGGACTATATCCAAATAGAAATGTGCTTAAAATTCTAATAGCCAGCCGATTAAAATTTCTGTGAAACGTTTCGTATACTCTATTGAATTATAAATACTTATTTACATCTAGATAATGAGTTTATAAAAATATATATATATATATTTATAAAAATGTACTTTTTGCTTATAATTAGTTGCAACTATCTACTATATATAGATGTGATAGATCGCTTGAATGACTCGATCTGCAGTTTATCGGCAAACCATTTGTTGATGCGTGTAAAAATAGCTGTAGCAAAGGGCTTTATCAATCGTTTTGATAACACGATCCAGCTAGCTCTATATGGGATTGTGATATATATATATATAACCGATTAGTTACCCAATTTTCATCAGTTTCAATGTGGACTAGATTCGCATTCACAGCTCACAGGCTCGATGAAAATGGGATGGGATTCTTAACATACATACGTACATAGATACATAACAAAGTTTATAAAATTTCCTGAATGTGCCTCAAGCTTTAAGCAACAAGAAGTAGAGAACAGCTTGTCGCTAGGATTTGTTGTTACTGCTGCTGCTGTTGGAAATGTTATTGTTGTACAAATATGGTATCAAATTGGGCTCAATTTCCAGCTGTTGCCGCAATATGGAGCTCATCACAAACTCCGTAGAGACAATATGGCACTTGGGATTGCCATGTCGCGTCAGATCCGCGCACAAATGCATATCCGTTGGGCAGGTAACAATGATATATGAGTCGGGCGCCTGGACATGCGCCTCTGCAACGGCGGCACCGCTGCGTCGTTTCGCCTCCACCTTGCCGCCCGAAGATTCGATCATGCGTATGATTTCATCGCGTGCCGGAAATACGTCGGGTGTTACATAGAAGTATCTGCCCGCAAATAGTGTGGAACGTGTCGGCGCACACAGCACAGCATCCAAATCGAACTGCAGATTCTCATCGACGGGTATGTGCCGGATGCGATACTCATCCGGCGGCACAAATTTGCCGGCCTTGGCGCTGTCCACCAGCCAGGTGGACTTGAGCACATAGTCCACATGGCAGCAGGCCTGAATCAGTTTGCAGGTGCGGCTCTCACGCGTCATGACCAAATGTGTTGCATCCATGGGACTGTCCACCACAATGCCGCCCAGAAGTCTGCAGAGAATTGAAATTAAAATGTGTCAATTATATTTATGCCATTTAAATCAATTGTCATCGACTCACTCGACAGCCTTTTTGAGCGCCTCCGCATCGGCGACCTGCGAGAAAATGACCTTGGGCGGTTTTGTAGTCTGCGGATATTCGATGCAAACGATTTGCTCGGGCAGCTGCTCCTGATAGACGCACAGTTTCTGCCGCTTAATCTTCTGCTCATTCGCATACGGATCAGAAAGATGACGCTTGACACGCTCGTGTGCTTCCTGGGTGAGATTAATGGGCGCTTTCCAGGCGGCTAAAGGTAAAAGTAGAAGGTCAAACAATCAATCGGCTGGCATGGATAATGAATAGATGCATTACTTACCCAGCAAATGCTGCACCAGATTGCATTCGATGCGGAATGGCGCTACCAGATTGTACTGCTGATATTTGGGATTCTCGTACTGGGTGAGCCCGCTCAGATTTCCTATGCACACATCGCTGAGCCACAGGGCATTGACCATAGGTATGTTCCACTCTTTGGCCGCATTGAATTTATTGCCCTCCAGTTGTTTGCAGACGACCAGCGTGTTCACCTTGGACAGGTACGATGTGTAAATGGCGCCACATTCCTCGGCCATTTGCTGCAGCCGCACAACTTCCTCGCCCTCAAAGCCCTCCGATGTGATAATGTAGCGCTCCAGCGGCTTGCGATAGCCAAATTGGCTGGGGAAGGGCAAATGCAGTGGCTGCCACGGTGGCATTAGCTGTCGCTTCAAACAGATGTCGCTTAGCCAGTAGGCGGTCACGCAGCGCTTGGCGTCGCGCAGTGCCTGCATCACCATGCCGTGCCGCTGGGTGCGGCAGATGACGTGCGTCACACGGGCGCAATAGACACGCTCGATATCGCCGCCAAACTGGCGTATGGTGTCCAGCCAAATGGGCAGCTCATCGCTGTCCGTCTCGTCGTATTCAACTATGTAAAAGGTGCAGCCGACTAGGAATAGATCAGCCGGCAGCTTTAAGTTCGGATTGTGGCCATAGAACTGGGGACGCGGTGGCATCGGTATGGGCGGCTGGCCGGGACGCACTTGCATGTAGACATGAGGCGGGCCGCCTGCTACTTGCACTGGAACGCCCACTGGCAACTGTTGTTGCTGTATGCTCGCCTGCGGCGCGACCACAATTTGTTGTTGCACCAAATGCTGTTGTGGCAACTGTTGCTGCGGCACGCCGACAACACGTCGCATTTGCTGCGGATGCTGCTGTAGCAATTGCTGCTGCTGCTGTTGTTGCTGCTGCTGTTGCAACAGAACTAGCTCCTGCTGTGTCCGTGGTGGACCAGGCACGCCTACAGCAGCATTATGCTGCTGACCCATCATGCGCAGTGCACCAGCGGCAGATGGTGTCTCCACATGTTGCTGTGGGCCCGGTGCCAATTGCTGTTGCTGCGCTGCAACCAGCTGTTGTTGTTGCTGCTGCTGCTGTTGTTGCAGTAGCAACTGTTGCTGCTGCTGGTGTGTGGCACCGCTAACAACAACCTGTTGCACAATTTGCTGCTGTTGTTGTTGCTGCTGCTGCTGCTGGACATCGCTCATGGAGAGCAGTTGCTGCTGTTGCGGCGGCACCTGTGCTCCATTGTTGCCCAGGCGATTGCTCAGCATGTTGGCCAAAGCGGTTTTCGTTTTCAGATTCATCTGCTGCGGAGTCTGTTGCTGCTGTTGACCATCGGGCGCTGCAGAATAAGGAGAAGCTGCATGGGTAAATTAATTCTGACAAGAAATATGCTGACAGCTGACTTACCTGCTGCGGGCATGACCAGCGTTTGCGTCATAATATTGCCGCCTGCGGCGCCACCAACAACCACGCCAGTTCCAGGTGTGGTGGGCGTGCCTGGTGTGGGCGGCTGCTGCTGCTGTTGCTGGGCCTGCTGCTGAACAATGGTTTGCTGTTCGATTAGCTGGCCATTGGGACCGGTAATGAGCTGCACGGTCTGCTTGCCCAGCTGCGGCGCCGGCGCCTGTTGCATGGGTATTTGCTGCACGCGCAGCTGTTGGCGTTGCAGCAACATTTGCTGACTGGGATCATTAGGATTAAATTGTTGCTGCTGCTGCTGTTGCTGCTGAGGTAGCTGTTGAGGTGCTCCGCCAGGCTGTTGTTGTTGTTGCTGCGTTATGGGACTGAGTCCAGGCGCACCGCCCGCACGCACTACCACCTGACGTGTGCCCTGCTGCTGCAGCCAGAGCATTTGCTCCTGCTGCGTAAGTCCACCTGGCATTTGGCTCTGCACAATAATGTGCGAAGTGCCTGGTCCAGGCACCGGCACTGGGCCCGGTGCACGTGTGGCCACCACGTTACCGGGCGCACCGGGGCGTGGCTGATAGGCCACCTGCTGGCGCAGCATGACACGTGGCTTGTTTTGATTCAGTTTCGTAATGTACTCGGCACGTTTGTGTGCATCTAGCGACATAAAATGCGCATGCGTCTTCTCGTCCAGATGTATTAGTTGCCGCTGCTGCTGTTGCTGCTGCGGCGGTGGCAGCACAAGCTGTTGTTGTTGTTGTTGCTGCTGCTGCGGTTGTTGTTGTTGCTGCTGTGACGGTGGGGGCTGCTGTTGTGCGGGCCAAGGTGTTTGCGGACGCAGTCCGCGCGGCGCGAATTGCTGTGGCGCCTGCTGTTGCTGCTGCGGAGTTGTGGGCGTGCCAGGCAACGGTGATTGCATGCCCATGCTTGTGGTGGGCGTGCCAGGCGTTGTGGGAGGTAACTGATTTGTCACAGGACTCTGCGGGGACCAGTGCGCCTGCTGCTGTTGCAGCTGTGCGTGATGCTGTGGCGATTGCTGCTGCAGCATCAACTGTTGCTGTTGCTGCTGTGGCGATTGCGGCGGTGGCGTGCGTTGTGGCAAATGTTGTTGCTTTATGAGCACCTGTTGCATGATTTGCTGTGGCGGCTGCTGCTGTTGCTGCTGTGCCACTGGTTGTTGCTGTTGTATCAGAATTTGCTGCTGTTGTTGCTGTTGTGGCGGCCCAACGAGTTGTTGTTGCTGCTGCTGTTGTTGTTGTTGCTGCTGTTTTTGCTGCAGCAATTGTTGTTGCTGCTGCAAATATTGCAATCGCTGCGGATCGCTGATGACTTGCTGATTTATCACAATTTGTTGCTGCGGTTGTTGTTGTTGCATTTGCAATCGTTGCTGTTGTTGCTGCTGTGTTATTAGTTGCTGTTGCATTTGTGGCGGTGCCTGTTGCTGCTGCGGCGATTGCTGCTGCGGCAACATCATCTGATTCGGTGGCAACTGTTGCTGCTGCTGCTGTTGCAATAGTTGTCGCTGCTGCACAAGTTGTTGCTGCTGCTGCTGTTGTTGCTGTGACAGATTTGTGGAATTCACAATGTACACATTTTGGTTTTGCTGATTCTGCGCTAATATTTGCTGCTGCTGCTGCGCGCTGAGCTGACTGAATTGCTGCTGACTGATGATGAATTTTTTGGTCTGCATGGCTGGTGGTGGTTGTTGTTGTTGTTGCATTGGCTAAAGGTAAATTGAGGATAAATTAATGAAATATTTTTATTTATATTTAATAAATTAATATACATACATGTTGCTGCGGCTGCTGTGGCAATACCTGTTGCTGTTGTTGTGGTGCTTGTTGTTGCTGCGGCGCAAACTGTTGTCCCAGCAGCTGTTGCTGTTGTTGCGGTGGTTGAATGGTCTGCTGTATGATGCGCACCTGACCGCCTGTGCCCAATGCAATGTTTTGTTGCTGCGTAAACTGCACTTGTTGCTGTTGTTGTTGTTGCTGCTGCTGCTGCTGAGGTGGTAGCTGTTGTTGCTGCTGCTGTGGCAGTTGCTGCTGTTGTGGCTGCTGCTGCTGAGGTATCATTTGCTGTTGCTGCTGCTGTTGCAGCTGCAACATTTGCTGCTGCTTTTGCTGTTGCTGCTGTATGCTCATCATATGACTCTGTATTAGTTGCTGTCCCTGGGCCGTTGAAGTGTTTATCACGTGTCGCTGGGTTATGACCTGTTGCTGCTGCTGTCCAGGTCCAAGTTGCTGTGCCATTTGTGGCGGCTGTTGCTGCTGTTGTGGCTGCAGCTGCTGTAAGGGCTAAGGCAGAAAAACAGATAGGTTAGCATTTTGTGTAACATAACAGACATCAGGCAGACATATGAATATTTCCCAAAGTTTGAAAAACTAACAAGTTGTTATACGACAAATATGCTTCCTTTCTTATTGTGTTAAACACTCTTTAGAAATATAATTGGGTAAATGCATATAACTGAAGAATAATGATGCACTCTCCTGTTGCCCCAAATGCGAGTCTGCTACACAGTTATGTAAGCGTTGCAACAGAGTACAGGGTATTTCGCAGTCGTGCAGCTTAAGATTTGTATACTTTGCATAGCTTTTAGTACATACCCTCTCTGGTTGTTGTGGTGTTGATTGCTGTTGCTGCAAAGGCGACTGTCTTGGCGAGGGCGTATGTTGTTGTGGCATTTGTTGCTGCTGCTGCTGTTGTTGTTGCTGCTGTTGTTGTTGTTGCTGCTGTTGTTGTTGTTGCTGTTGTTGTTGTTGTTGCAGCTGTTGTTGCTTTAATTGCTGCTGGCGCATAATCAGTGAATCCTGATTGCTGCTCAGTGTAGAACGACTGAGCACTTGAGCAACTTGCACGGGATCCGTAGGATCGATGGGCTGCACAAAGGATTGCTGTTGCTGCTGCTGCTGCGGATGCTGAGCTGGTTGCTGCTGCTGTTGTTTGCTAGCCATGGGAGGCGTTTGTGAAATCTGAGGTGATTGCGGCGCTGAAATGTGCTGCGGACTTTGTTGCTGCTGCTGCTGTGCAAGCTGTTGTTGTTGCTGCTGCAGCTGCATGCGTTGTTGCTGATGCACTGGCTGCTGGAATGGTTGCTGTTGTGGTGACATCATGGCCGTAGGCGGCTGTTGTTGCGGGGAGCCCATCATGTGCTGCTGCTGCTGCTGGCGACTCTGTTGCAATTGTTGCTGCTGCTGGCGCAAGTGCTGCTGTGCGCTCTGTGGCGAGGGCGGCGGAGGCGGCGTCATTTGTGGCGCTGGCGATTGCAGTTGTCGCGGTGACTGAGGAGGCAACATGTTGCTGCTGCTCGCAACCAAGTGCTGCTGCTGCTGCAGCGAAGGCGAGGGCGTGCCGGGTGGCATGACTGGCGAACGATTTTGCACCATGCGTGGTGATTGCTGCTGTGGTTGTTGCTGTTGTTGCATCTGCATTTGCTGCTGAAACAGTTGCTGCTGTTGCTGTAACTGGCGCTGCAACGCCTGTTGTTGTGGTGTCAGGCTCTGGCCATTTTGTATGTGCTGATGCAGTTGCATTTGCTGCTGCTGCAACATTTGCTGCTTGTTCATTATGTGCTGATGCAGCATTTGGGGCGAGACTGACACGGACGGTTGCTGTTGTTGTTGTTGCGGCACTTGTTGCTGTTGTCCCACTTGCTGCTGCGGTGATTGCACGGGCTGTGGTGTTGTTGCCGGCTGTGGCGTGCGCGGCGTTTGTCGTCCACTTGGCATGGGTGGTTGTGGCATGGTGGGTGTTGTAGGCAGACGCTGCTGCTGTTGTTGTTGTTGTTGTTGCTGCTGCTGGAGTAATAATTGCTGCTGCTGCTGCTGTTGTTGTTGTTGCTGCTGTTGTTGTTGCTGCTGCTGCTGTTGCTCCTGTTGCTGCAAAAGTTGCAGTTGCTGCTGTTGTTGCTGTTGTGTGTTCTTTATTTGTCGCTGCTGCTGCAAAATGTTTTTGATCTGTTGTTGTTGTTGCTGCTGTTGCTGCAGATTAGCTGGTATGATTTTTTGTTGCTGTATTATAATTTGCTGTTGTTGCTGCTGCTGCTGTGGCGTGGGTGGCGGCGGTGGTGTCGGCGCCTGTGGTGCGCCCTGCTGCTGCAATTGTTGTTGCTGCTGCATGTTGCGTGGCCGCACAAAGACCACTTGCTGTTGCGCTGGCTGTGGCAGCTGTTGCTGCTGCAACTGCTGCTGTTCAGCTGCAGCACGCTCTGCCGATGCCTGCAGTTGGGATTTAATGCTAGCGATACTCTGGGCAGCGCTATCGTCCCCAAAGCCTAGTATGTCAGATAGCTGTGTAGCAGCTGGTTGTTGTTGTTGTTGCTGCTGTGGCAATTGTTGGACTAAATGTTGCTGCTGCTGCTGTTGTTGTTGTTGATGCTGCTGCTGTTGTGCCAATTGCTGTTGCAATTGCTGCTGCTGTTGTTGATGCTGCTGCTGTTGCTGCTGCAGATTTTGTTGTTGCTGCTGTTGTTGTTGTTGTTGTTGTTGTTGTTGCTGCTGCTGTTGCTGCTTTTGGGTGCGCTGCTTCTCGATGGGCTTTAGCAATCTGGGATGATAGGGCTCACAGGGCAGACAGCTCTTGAATTTGAGGCAATCAGTGACCCAGTCGGGCGTGACAATGTTCATGGCATTTTTGGGCAGCGCCAGCGCTTTATTATAAATGTTGCCGGTGGCAGCGCCGCATACCAGATGCGTATTGGTGGCTCCATGCGTGTGGGTGACCACGGCACCATGGAAGGTGAGCATCGCATAGAGACGCCGGCGATCGCTGGCCACCACATTGGTGATGGCGACACGTATGCCGCGCAAGAAACGCGGCTGGCTTGGATCGAAGGCACGCGTGGAGGCCATGCGACCCAGTTTGGCGCTGTGCGAGATCCATTGCTCGCTCACAGGTATCACATTGTAGAGGTCCAGATTCATGGAGAGCTCCTCTTCGGAGTAGTTGCTGGCACATATTAAATGCGTGATTTGGTCCGAAAGGTAAAGCTTCGACTGTGCGCCGCCGTTCTTAAGCAATCTCTCGCTCTGTAAGGGTCATAGGAAAAAACGAATAATCAGTTGAGCTTTCTCCATATGATTTGCACACACTCGCCTATGCCTGCGCTAGAGATGAGCAATATTTAACAGTGCTGTACCAGTGACAACTTGAACTGTTACTTTGTCTACATTTTGCCAATATATATATATAGGCTGTAGTCTAGCAACAATTGGCAGCTCAATTAAATGCCTTAAATAGTTACATAAATTGAAAGCAATTAAAAAACAAACAATGATATCTATTCATACGATTTTTTCTGCTAGTCACAGGTACTATCATATGGCTCATCTCTACGTAAACACATAGACACACACACACACGCGCGCGCAAACACCTAGAAATTAGCCGGCAACATTTTATGGCGCGAATTTTTACATGTTAAACCTGAAACGCCCTGTGCTGCCAGCACTGGCAAATTCGCACACATGTAATTGAGAAATTAATTTAGAGTTAATGCACACTGTTTGTTGCTAAACGAATGCGTTAAATGCATATTTGTTAGTTGCATTTATTTAATTTCATCCTATGGCCTGTGCAGCTGCAACAGCACCAGCACACACACACACACACACATGCACATCACACGCGCGCACACATGCACTTCACACAATGCCAATAATACAGCAGCGGGCACGTACAGCCCTAGGTCGAGCCCGTCAGGGAATCTCAATGTTTACCTCATCATCCAAGCTGCCGAGCACATAATATATCACATCCTCGAATAACTTTTCACTGATTTTCAAATTTTCCATTTCTTTGTTGTTTGACTAGCATGCGCTATTCCTTTTGCTCAAATTTCACTTTTCTTTCGTTTCGCTTTTGTTGTTGCTGCGGCTGCCGCGGACATGGAAATGGAAATGCATCCAGCTTTACTTTCACTGGGCTCCCATCGATCGCGATCGGTAAAAATTTGAAACTATCACAACGTATAACAGAATAACCGCTTGAATTGTTAAAATTCATCGAATTAAAGGCTTAATTTTTCGTATTCTTGTATACTTTACGGGACCCATCCGTCTTTTGTATGCAACAAAAACCAACGCTAGCGATGTGAGCCAAATCGATTGTAGTGATGCTTAACATCGATACCCAAAGAAAACCAATCGATAGTATGACACCAGTTACACCAGCCGTGCTCGATAACATAGGAGTTAACAGAATGGACTGTTAACGATTTTTTCTATAAAAGGAGCGCGTAAAAGTATACGTTTTTCATTTGCCTTTCAGAGCCAGGTGAGAGCGGAACGGGCCGGTAGGACTTCAGAAAGGGTCCAGAACAAAGATCAAAGCGGTAAGTGTAATTTGACCAAGTCTTGCATGAGGTCTCAGAGCTATTTATGTGGAAAACATTCGCCACAAGACGAGTTTTACAACATGCTGATCAAATAATACTCAAAAAATCTCTAATTTAAAATGTTTTAATATATTGATTTGTTGTTGTTTTCTTTTTTTTTTTTTATACAAATACACGTTGGCCTATACATATTAGCTTATTTTTCATAATTTGTTTCTTAACACATTTAAGACATACAGATCTTGATAGTGATTCCTTAACAAAGGTAATTTTTCTGTTTCGCTTAAATTTAACTGTTTTTTTTTTTTGTTTAAGTTCTTTTTTTTTTAATGTTTTTAAATTTGTTGTAAAACATCTACAGAGTGTGGAAACTTTCTTTTAAAAGCATAGAAAATCTCGTGTAAGTAAATTGTTTTGTATTGCAATAGCTTAATTGTGGATAGTTTGGATTATTATTTTTTTTTTCTAACGATGCGGTTGTTGAATGTTGTGAATGATGCCTCTCCCGCTCATAACTGGGCTAGGAGAGAGACAGCAGCAGCCGATGATGATGATGATGATAATGATAATATTGATGATGATGATGATGCAGCAGCTCCAGCAACTTGTTCGAGTTTCTTGTCATGCACGACGGCGTTCTTCATCAGGATAAATCATGAGGCGCTGTTCGATTCGCCGTTGCTCTCGTGGAAATTGGTGCCATTCACAATGAACGAGGTGCCCAGACCGTATAAGTGTCCCGAATATTTGGCATGATCGATATTATCTTCAAAGAACATCTGCAATTGGGCAAAACGGCATATTTCAGTAAGGCAATATGGATTTAAATCAATTACATTTGGCAAAGCAGCAGCCGAGTTTACGGGATTAGTATACGTGTTAGGCGTTAGTTAGTTAGTTAGTTAGTAAAGCGTGTGGTAAGCGACATGGACATGGACAAGCTGTATGGAATGTGAAGTATGTGAACTAGTTCAAAATTGAGTTCAGTTCAGTTCAGTTTCAAGATACGTGAAATAGGTGTTAAATAAATTTCAAGTTACATACCATTTACCAATTTGTGTTGTCTTTTTTCGATTCGATATTATTAATTTTTTGTAATTTTGCTTCGGGTGGGTTTTTTTTTTGGTTTTTTGTTTTTTAATTAGTTAACGGGTTAAACACTTGCTATACTCAACATTCATAATGCAGTGGAATCTGCACGGAAGCATTTTTCCATATCGCTTAAAATTATAGAAACAAAAAATACGCTTAGGTATTAGAAACAAAAAAAAAATTACCAGCTTAAAACTAAAACACTTTGCGTGCAAATCTTACATAGTTAGAAAATATATATATATATTAAGAATTGGACCATATCAAATAGGAGCTTGTCCAACAAAATAGGTTGCGACTAGGAAGGTAAAAAAAAAAATTAGATATACATATACAAGACTTTTCAGACAAACTATAATGAATATTTATATAGAGAGATGTTCAATAATAATCAATCATTTTATCAAAAATAAAAAAAATATATATATATTGTTAAGTCTGAGCAAGCAAATATTAAAGCAAATGAGTGGAAGCAGCTTGTGATTAAAAAATTATATAACAATTCATTATTAGGCAGGTAAATGTGAGCAATACAGAAAAGTGTGTGTGTGTGATAGGATGCGTAATAAAGCCCAGAAACCAGAAATGACAAATCAACAATAATGAAAAAGAAAATTGAATTTCAATTCATTTAATTTTCCATTCAAATTCCAGCAAATTTTTTGGTTATTTCTTTGGGTTTTTGCTTTTTGTTTCAAAATTAACAAATTAAAGACATGTTTCACATGATTTCAACAACGGTTACTAATTAGAAAACGTTTTTCAGTACGGTTTTTTTTTAGTTTAGTTTAGTTTTTAGTTTTCCATCATCCAATTTTGGATTTTACAAAATGTGTTGTGGGGTTAGGATTAGCCGATGAAAATGCGTTGCATGCAGCATAACAAATAAAATGCATTTCGTATGTGTCCAGCGGCGTCTAAAAGCTAATTAGGAGTATTATAAGTACATAAAAAAAAAGTAAGGAAACTATGTACATAATGAGAATGAAATGAGAAAACATTTAACCTTAAAAACTGATAAATGTATAAGTAATGTAATAATGGGGCAAAAGCGGGTTAGTTGCAATCGTACAGCAGCAGCAGCAGCAGCAGCAGTAGCAACAACAACAACACACAGGATTGCAACAGCAGCAACAGGAGGCGCATCAATGATGCTCGTTGTTGATGCTGCTGTTGCCAGGACCCAGCATGCTCTGTGCTGCAGTCGTGGGCGGTGGCGTTACGGTGCGCGTGTAGACCGTTATGGAAAAGCGCAGCGACTGTGCGCGAGAGGACAATAGTTGACTCATGGTCAGATCGTTGCTGTCGCCGTTTGTTGTTTTTGTTGTTGCTGCTGTGCTGGGATTGCTGCAGCTGCTGTTGTCGCTGTCGTCGTAGCTGCCACTGGTGATGGTAACATTGTTGCTACGCAAGCTGACCGTGACAACCGACTTAAGGTGCATGGCGTGCTCAAGCACATGGGGAAAGAATGCGCAAGGCTCTTCAATGTCAAAGTGTATACCAAATGTGTGTTGTACCTCACGCATTTTGAAGAAGGCCATGCCCGTTAGCAGCGCATCCGAGCCGGCCTGATGCTGTGGCCCGACGCGTCGCAGCTCCAGCTGATCGGCGACTTCCTGCAGGCCGCCCTTTAGATTCTTGCACGACTTCATCAGATATTTGATATCAAAGATGTTGGGAAAATAGATGTGCAACAGCTCAAAAAAGTCACTCTCATCCGCGGGCAGATTCTGATCGGTGAGCAGCTTTAGCAGATAGCCAAAATCGTAGCCGGAATGAAAGCACAGCCATTTGATATTATCCATTAGCACAATGCCGGAGCTCATTAGAAGCTCGGCAAAATCAATGGGATCAATGCCGTCCTCTTCATGCTTCTTGAACTGTATGCCCGAGTTTTGCAGTAAATCAATCGAATCCTGCGCATACATATCCTCGCTGCAATGCCACAAAATCAGAAAATTACCAAATTGTACCAATTATATCCTGTTGCCTAGGCTATACACACAGACAGAGACAGAGGCAGCTCACCTGAGATTGAACTTGAAATTGAATTGCCATGTGGAGTAGCCCGGGGGCGTTTTGCCATCGTCATCCATGAATGTCAGTCCCAGCTGTATGATCCTCAGCAAATCCACATTGCAGCGCAGTAATTGATAATGATAATCGGCCGTTGAACGAAATTCGCCAACGGGTCGCGCCACAACGCCTGGAAATTCCGTATCCATTGCAACAAAATGATATTTTTGCACAATCTTTCGTATGGTGCGAAATTCCTCCTCAAGATTATGTTTCCATACGTCTCGTATGCCGCACTCCTCATTGCTGGGTATATGCACTTGCCCATGCGCGCCGCCACTGATGGCCGAGGGCATTGTCTGTAAATTGGGTCGCAAATTTTTGATTAGCTTTGAATAACACCTACTGAAAAATATATATATTTGTGAGAATATGTGAATGTTGTTTGTGTTGCGGTTGTTGGAGCCCATTTGAATGATTCGAATATGATTAGCAACTATTCATAGCCATTCGTATTCATTCGAATTTTATTTTTTCGTTCTAGAATATTATATTTTCGAATTTCTAGACAAAGATATCTCCGGCCCCATAACATAATATATACAAATAAACTCTTAAAGCCGACTCGATCTAGCCGTTTCGACGTTCTGTTTCTTCGTCCAACTATTCTCGCACAGCTCGATCCAAATTTGGCTGAGATTTTGCGTCATTTCTGCACATCTGACGGAGCACTAATCGGATACGGTTTAGCTGTCATGTCTTGTATGAAAAACTAGTTTGTTTCTCAAGATATTTTTGTATCTCGACCAAGATATGTATCTTGCTTTTTACACATGAGCAAAGAATGGGTCGAAGAATTGATTTTTACTTAAAAGAGATTCATTTCTTAAGATATCTTCATCAAAATCAATCTTACAATTGGTTTTTTCTTAAGATATCTCAACCTAAATCAATCTTAGTATTTGTTTTTACTTAAAACAGATTCATTTCTTAAGATGTCTTAACCAAAAACAATCTTAGAATTGGTTTTTCCTTAAGATATTTTAATCAAAATCAATCGAAGAATTGTTTTTTGCTTAAAACAGATTAATTTCTTAAGATATCTCAACCAAAATCAATCTTAGAATTGGTTTTTCTTAAGATATCTTAATCAAAATCAATCTTAGAATTGGTTTTTACTTAAAATAGATTCATTTCTTAAGATATCTCAACCAAAATCAATCTTAGAATTGGTTTTTCTTAAGATATCTCAACCAAAATCTCAATTCCAAAGATATTATTGATCAACATCGGACCACTATATCATGGAATCAATTGTGCCTTGGACCGTGCCGATAATCTGTTCAAAATATTGGATTTTCAGGGCTCCATTTGAGTGTGTATCGAGTCTTGATGTCTGCTATATAGTGTATTATATAAAATGGGATGTTAGCAACATAAAGAAATACGAAGTAGCCAGGCCAATTGGTTAAGACAGAAAATTTGGTTTTTGTTTAAATTTTTTTGTGTTGTGCAATTATTTGTTGATATATTTTTTTAGCCAATTCTGAGGTGAAGATGTGCTCAAAATTTTGCCAGCTGCCAAAGAAAACAAATACACGTAAAAACAAATAGGGCAATATATAAATATATATATATGGAAATTGTATATATAGCAATATATAATTGTTGGATTGGTGGTTGACTTTGTGATTGGGAGGAGTTACGGGCGCTACTTACATCGTCGACGGTCGCCGCCTGTTGCTGCCGCTGCAGAGCTGCTTCAGCCACCTTCTCACCAAAGTTAACCTTAAGCTATGTATGAGTTTTTGTGTGTGTGTGTGTGTGTGTGTGTTTTTGTTTTTATAATTTGTTTTTAATGTGCATTGCCTGCAAGAGAACGTTGAGTAACGTTGACTTCAAGGCTAGCGAAATTTTGTATTTTCAATCAATTTAATATCGACCGTTAGTTGAAGTCAACGGAAACTGGTTAAAAAGAATCGTATTATATAAAAATCCTAGCAAAATAGGGATACATCAAACAGATTGACTTGTCTTATCATGCTATCTCGCTTTAATGTGACAGTTCTCTTGGCGAGAGAAAGGAATAACTCACAAGTGTCATTACACTATCAGAGATGACACTCACACATACATATATGCATACATATGTATGCATGTTAAGCCTTTTGAGCAGTGGGGGTGTGGTTAAAGGTCATGCGAAGTGCAAATTAATAGCGATACCTGAAATTGCACTAACACTAGCTAAATTTGTCTTTTAATGTTAAGTAAATACATAACATAAGACGATTGGCAGCACACTTTTTAACTGGGTCACGGCTAATTCCAGCGACCACATTTTGCCGCGCTTCGGAACGACAACAAAAGTTCTGTTAAAACTGCAACCGCTCTGTTTCTATATGGATGCAACTGTATGCGTGAGACAGCCATTCGCTACACATATAGAGTGTGTGTATGTGTGCAACACACGCATATGGAAAATGTGTGCAGTTTAATAAAAAAAAAAAAAAAACAAATCGAAGGCCGCCACCGCTGAAACAAGGAAGCCCTTATGCCTGCCAAATGGCCTAAAAAATATACATATGAATTGGCATTGCCTTGCCTCTGGAAACTTACCCATTTCATAGTATGCTTGTTGTTTTACAAAATGCTTTTTTGGCTGCTGTTGCCGAATGAGTTTCACTTTTCCGATTTCTGGTTTTATTTTTATGGCTGCAATTAACGTTTGTGGTGCGTTTTCAAGAATGACAACAGAAATGAAGTCCGGTGTTTGAGCGATGACTGTGGCGTTAAATAAATTAGTTGGCGTGAATTGTTGTTTATGTTAAATTGCCATAATGAAAGAAATGAATCTTTGTTAGTGTTAAAAAGTGCGCAATGTTTCTAGTGTTGCACAACGAGAAACCGAGAGACAAAACCTGGGGCTGCACAATAACTTGTGGCTCTATTTTTGGAATTTTGTATAGCTATGTATAACTGTGAATGTGTATTTAAAATAAACAAGCAAAAATATTTTCATAATCAATGACTTACTGGGTTTAATTTTACAATATGCTTATTACTTTGTTTTAAAAGCTGTACATTTAAATTCATATCAGATAGATGGCGCTGCTGCTAATGGTGTTGAGCTGGCAATGCCTAACTAACAGCTGTTGTAGTTTTAACGCGCGGTATGCAGCTCAAAATGACAAATTCTCTAAAACTTACACATTTTGCTTAATTTGTTTGAGAAAAAGCCTTAGCATATTAAAAATGTGCATTGCTGCTAAATTTACGGTCACTTGATTTTCGCAAAATATTTGTTATAGCTATACTCGAAAGACAAATTGCTTATGTTATTTACATTCGGCGAAATGAACAGCGTACTGTTTTGAATACAAACATTTAGTACGGCTGTCAACATCGATGGACGCTGTTGCCGGCGGCTGTTGTGCCAGTTTTAATTTATTTTTAGAGCAATAAGTGATATTTTACTACAACAAAGTTGAAGAGCTGTGGAGCTAAAGAGTGACTTGTTAATATTAATATATATAATTTAGCTGCGCTGCTGCGTCCTCTGCCAGCGTCATAAGTGAGTTATTTCTGAGCCTCTTTCACTTGGCCTATTTAACATGTACTCATTATGTTATGTTATTCGTAATGTTATTTTTGATGCTCCGTTGCGGCGCATTGATTGATTTTTGGTTTTTGTTAACGAAAACTAGTTTTCTCTTATCTTGCCAATTTCCAGTCAATCAATTGGCCATTGACATGCGAGTGAGAGCTTTGGCCGTTCAAAAAGGCGGGCTCCAGACAAACAAACCCATTTACATGCAGATGTTCAATTAACTTTCTGTTGAGACGTTGTCTGTCAACAATTAGAACCGATCTACCCGTCGGGGCATATGCTAAAGTTAGCCTATCCCCTTTGTCCCGTTGAGTAATAAATATATTTATTATATATTATATTATACGGAAATATATATATATATTCTTTTTATTTATAACTCAAAGCTAATCGAACCTGCTTCAGTTTTAAAAGGGTAATAAAAGCTCGGACTGACTTTTCAACTCTGTCTGTTTGAACTTTTTCGTAACTTAATATGGGCTTATAGGGCATCGTTCATCTAAAATTCAGATGTTTTTACATTCATTTTTTGTTCAGATACATATAAATAAAATCTCAAATGAGTTATTTTGTGTACAGAGAACTTCATCATCTTAAAGATTGTTTGAAAATGGAGTTTTTTTTATGAACAACTCTTTTGTTTTTAAGATCTCTTATTTCCAAATTCTCGAATTACGCGCTATAGAATGCTCTGCCTATATAAGCAAAATCTAGTTTATATATTTTTCGGTAGTCCAAAGAAAACACTTCTCTCTTGTTATTATTGTAAAAGTTCGCTTGATAAGGCCACTTTAATTCAAAAGGCACACAAGTCTGAATAATTATATTGAGCATATAAGTTTCTTATCGTGCGGTTTTGATTATGAATTGGCATAGTTTCCTCCTGATATAACATAAGCTATTCATTCAAGTTCAACAAGCAAGAGGTTCTAGTCGGGAGCTCCCGACTAGGGGATACCCTAAACCCTCTTCTTCCAACATCAAATGCATATATATATATTCTATTTTAGAAGCTATATGTCAAGTTTGGTGACTCTAGCTCTTATTATTTACCAAAATTGCCCAAAAAACAGGATATCGATATCGATTTTTATCGATTGCTTGGAAACGGAGCAATTTATCGATTATCGGAAACAAACTCGATCTGCGCGGGAACTAGGAGCATCTACATCTAAAATTTCTCCAGCTCTTATAGGTTCTGAGATCCTTGCGTTCATACATACGGACGGATGGACGGACGGACGGACGGACGGACGGACGGACAGACGGACATGGCTAGATCGACTCGGCTATTGATGCTGATCAAGAATATATATACTTAATGGGGTAGGAGAAGCTTCCTTCTGCCTGTTACATACATTTGGATTTTGCACAAATACAATATACCCTTATACCCATTTTAAATGGGTTCAGGGTATAAAAATTGCCCACATTTGAATTCTTTGTTATTATCGGGCAGCTATTTGCGTAATTTTAGTTGTAGTTTACAGAATTCAATCTCAATTGTTAATATTAGCTTGCGACAGTTGGCTCAACAAATTTTGTTTACGTAGTTGAATGATAATGGGAATTGATCGGAGCATGATCACGTTTTGTGTCGCACTCTTATTAAACTAATTGAATCGACGTCGTGTGACTAAAAAGCATCTTCGGCACGCGACCGATGAGATCGCATTGAATTCTGTCAGTCTTTGTGCGGCTCTCGACGAGTTCTGATCGGGAGTCGAATCGTTTTTATAATATTTGAAAAGAAATTGACATTTAAAATTCATCTAAGCTGGTGAAACGTGTTTTTGTGTCGCAAGGTTAGAGACATTTGTGCAAATATTTCTATGTTTTGTGAGTTTAGGTATACAAAATTGGGGTTAGGGGAAAAAAACACATTGTAAATATTACTGTAACTCAATCCGTACCCTTGTTGCTTGGAAATAATTCAAAGTGTTGTTTTTTTTTTGTTTTGTTTATTGTAATTTGACTTATTATATATACTTTTTGTACTTAAGCTAGACAGTTCTTATCGCCGATTTGCGAGAGTCAGCAAGAATGCCGGTTTAATTAATTACTAAAATATAGATATTAAGATATCAATCATTAAAAAACATGACAGTCTGTGGTAATGCTTACAAAGCATTATTTTGAATTTTGAAAATCGCATAGAAAGGCGGTGTTTTAGAAGCGGCGAAGAGGGAAGAGAGAGAGAGAGAGAGAGAGTGAGAGAGAGAGAGAGAGAGAGAGAGAGAGAGAGAGAGAGAGAGAGAGAGAGGGAGAGAGAGAGAGAGAGAGAGAGAGAGAGAGGGAGTAGACTAACAAAGATCGATTGGGCAAGGTGGGAGAGAGGCTGAAAAGGAAAGATGAAGCGGGACAGAAGTAATTGCCTATATTATATTTATTATTGTAACATCTTAAAGATGCTTCATGCCATGAGAATCGCATAGAAAGACGATCCGCATTTTAGAAAATTTCATCATTTATTTACACTAAGAACTTCACAATTAACAATTTTGAAAACATTTACTACAGTTACCTGAATATGCCGCCGAAGAGCTTAACTGTTCTGCTGCCGGGGCTCAAGTGGCTGCAGGGCTACACGGCGCAGGATGCGGTGGCGGATCTGATAGCGGGCATTACCGTTGGCCTAACGGTGCTGCCGCAGGGCTTGGCCTATGCAACGCTGGCGGGCCTGGAGCCGCAGTATGGCCTGTACTCATCGTTTGTGGGCGGCATTGTGTATGCGCTGCTGGGCAGCTGTCGCCAGGTGACAATTGGTCCGACAGCGCTGCTGGCGCTAATGACCAGCAGGCATACGAGTTTCGGGCTGGACTCGGGCCCAGCATATGGCATACTGCTGTGTCTCATCTCCGGCGTTGTGGAGCTGGCAATGGCTGTTCTTAAGCTGGGCGCATTAGTGGATCTCATTTCGTTGCCCGTCACCGTGGGCTTCACCTCGGCCACAGCTGTCATCATTGGCACCTCACAGCTGAAAGGTCTGTTGGGTTTGCGCGGCGGCTCTGGCTCGGATTTTATAAATACCATGCGGAGCGTATTTGGCAATCTGCATCAGGTGCGTCGTGGAGATCTGACACTGGGACTAGTCTCAATCCTTGTGCTTCTGCTCCTGCGCGTGAGTCAACTAAATAACTATGTGAAAATCTTTGTTAACATTCAATCTTATGCCACGCAGAGACTGAAGAGCGTCAACCTGGCGAACCGTGTGCACAATTTGCGGGCTCAGCAGCTTCTAAGCGGCAGCATTTGGGTCGCCTCCACCGGACGCAATGCTCTCGTGGTGCTCATCTCCAGTGGCCTGGCTTATAGCCAGTGCAAGCATTTAGACGTCTGCCCCTTCATACTCACGGGCAAGGTGAAGAGCGGCTTGCCGACCTTGGCGCTGCCCAAATTCGAGACCAGGATACTGGGCACAAACGGCACCGAGGAGCAACAGGACTTTCAGCAAATGGTGTGTAACGAGCAGATGATTATAGTTAAATCATATAGTTAAATCATTTCAACTTTAATTGGCAGCTCTCGGAACTGGGACCGTCCATGCTGATATTGCCCGTTATTGCGGTGCTTGGCAATGTGGCCATTTCCAAGGCATTCGGCGGCGCCGGCCTAAGTCCGACACGAGAGCTGGTTGCGCTCTCCTTGAGCAACATTTGCGGCTCCTTCTGCAGCTCCATGCCTGTAACGGGCTCCTTTTCGCGCAGCGCCGTCAATCATGCGAGTGGTGTTCGCACGCCCATCGGCGGCTGCTACACCAGCCTGTTGGTGCTGCTGGCTCTGGGTCTGCTGGCGCCATACTTTCAGTATATTCCGAAGGCAGCGTTGAGTGCTGTCATCATTTCGGCTGTGATATTTATGATTGAGTTTGAGGTCATCCGGCCGCTGTGGCGCTGCAGTCGGCGTGAATTGTTGCCCGGCGCCATTACCTTTGTGATGAGCCTGGCTGTTGGCGTTGAGATTGGCCTGCTGTTGGGCGTCGGCACGGATGTGGCCTTTCTCGTTTACCGTGCGGCGCGACCCGTGCTTAGCGTGTCCAAGCTGCAGACAATCAATGGCATTAGCTACATTCTGATACGGCCCAAGCATAGTTCGCTGTATTTTCCGGCCATTGAGTGGGTTCGTTCTGGCATCTCCAAGGCGATCTTCACGCACGGCACTGCACCCGTTGTCCTCGACTGCGCCCATGTGCATGGTAAGCAGTATTTCCATATTCCTCGAATGCGCTTGATTTTAATGTATCCTTATAGATGTCGATTTTACCGCCGCACGCGGCATGGGCAGTCTGCAAAAGGAGCTGGCCAAGGCGAATGTCCCGCTGTTCCTAATGAGCGCTCACAAGGATATTAGCGTCATACTGAAGGAGTCCACAAACATTGATTTTCCCACAATAGATTGCGCAAACGATTTGGAGTGCATACTGGAGCAAAGTGAGCCAGGCCCAAGCAATAATATCTGTGTATTTTAGATGTCAACTTTTTCACTCTTTCAGCGCCTGACTATGAGCTGCATTTGCAAATGACAGTACCGCTCGTGGAGTCGAAAATACTGCAGAACACCGAAGAAAAACCAACTGAACTAAGTAAACTGACTTCAAAAATTACGTGAATATATCGCTGCATTTCATATAGAACTATCGAAACGGAATTGTATACGAGAATATCGCTTCAATGCACAAAGAACTAATACTTTTAATAATGTAAAATCAAACTGCTTTTGTACCTATTCCTAAGAATTGTGTTTTTTTCTGTTAATCATCATAACCCACTTGTTCAATGTCATTCCTAATTATTCCTTAAAACAATTTCAAAGTCGAATAACCTATTGTTAATTGTGTATATAAGATATTTTGTAATGCAAATATGCAGAGTTAGTTTAAGCAACGTTTATTTATACATGTTCTAATGCTTTAAGTAACTACTCATGATACTCATGGGTTCACAAAAGATATCCATCTTATTTCATATATATATATTGTTATTGTTATTGAATAGATTCTTTATACCTGTATATTAAAAGTGTATACATCGTTAGATGAATCGCTTTGGTTCGTCTATATCGGAAACACGGCATAGCTAGCCACATGGCAGAGATTGCCTTGGTTGCGTGCCAAGCGCATGTAGCCTTGCTCTCCCCAGCCACCCCAGGAGTTCTTGATTAACCAAAAGTCGCCGCCGCGATGATCGTAACCGTAGCCAACGACAAGCATGGCATGATTCGCCTGCTGGCGACAGCGATGTGTATAGACGCCTCCACGATAGTGCTGGAAATAGGTTGCATCGACTGCCACCGAAACTGGACCCCTTTTGGCGACGGCGTTGGCCAATGCGCCTTCATCCTGTCGCACCTGCATCACCTGTGTGACAGTTGCGCTAACACTATCGCGACGGAAACGGCAGCGTCCAACATGGCCTTCATACGGATAGGCCCTGTCATTATCCATGCCTCTATTGTCCCGAACATACATCAGAGCGGCGACGGGCCATCCACCGCCACAGCCATGGTTGTTATAGCGACTAGAACAGTCCAGCAAATTCTGCTCGGAGAGCGGAATCAATTGCTTCGTTTGGATAAAATGCTGTCCCTCCAGAGCGCCCGCTGCCGAAAAGGCCCAGCAAGATCCGCAGCGGCCCTGATTCTTCACCGGCGTAACTGCGCCCTCGTTACGCCAGTCAACTACGCTGGGAATCTTATCATTTGCTGGCGAATAGATGTACTCAATGCTGGAGGTAAAATCACTGGTGTTGAGATTTGATAGCATAATTTTCCGGAATTCCGTTGCCAGCATGTCCGTGAATTGGTTCACGCCCATTTCGTAGGTCTCTTCGCCTGCGGCATAGCGCTCGTTGTGCCTATCGATCAGCTCCTTGTTGTCCTTGAATATCTGCATGCGCAGCTGCTCCTCGCCGTCATCCTCGTAACTCTTCTCGTACTCCACTTTAAAGGATTCGAACTCTGATGCCAGCACATCCTCGTAGCTGAGCGCCTGGATGCAGCCGACGCCAACAACGATTAACAAAAGAGCGACTACCTTCATCTTAAGCCTTGCACTTGGCACTGAAACAAGCTTCCAGAACTGCCCTTTTTATATAGAGCAGCTAAGTATATCCCGCATAAATCCTTAAACCTCGTATTACATCGAAAATATTATTGATTCGCCTCGCTGTGGTCAGCCTGTAATCAATGTAAACCTCTATATTTAAAAATATATATTTAAATTAAATTTGCATTATTCATAAACGATTGGGAATTTTTGGTTAGAGTTTTGGGTTATACAAAAGACGAAGTCACGTATACTTTATCAATGCTGGTGCTTTTCCCGTGACAAATATATTATTTATAACATATGATTTTATATTATTTATAAGCATTTTTATATAGCATTTTTATTTGTTTATTTATATTATATTCATGATTATAGTTCTTTATATATTTATATTATTCAATAACTTTTCTACCGAGGACATATTGTTTTTTTTTTTTTAGCAACATAACAAAAAACGAAAATGAAGAGAGATCTAATACCCCTGCAGAAGCAAACCTGCAGCTATATGATGTAGTGGTCCGATCTTAATAGGATTTTGCATATATATGAGGTATATAGTAAAACTAATAAATGTCTAGTTCGGTCAAAAACAACAATTTTCATACATGATATAGTAGTCCAATCCAGCTGATTCCGACATATGTACTGCGTGCAACAGAAAGAGGGACTTCTGCAAAGTTTAATTAAGATTGCTTTGAAATTGAATAGAAACAGACAGACGGACAGACGATCAGACGGGCATGGCTATATCGACTCGGCTGTTTATACTTATCAAGAATATATATACTTTATGAAAGGGTATAATTATTAGAAATCCCTGTCCTCGGTAGATCAGATGTTTTAGTCATCCGGCTTATGATGCAAGCCCCTTAACAAAGGGAATACAGTCTAATGTATATATATATAGTAATCGTTAAGTATATATAGAAATGTATATATATTTTATTCTTATTAAGCTCACGACTAACTAAAATTGGCAGCTTACAAATTAGTCTCAGGTGTATAAGGTTAAGGCTATAAGGCGAAAAGTTTTTTACTCTGCTGATTATTATATTATATAGTCTATCAATGAGGTTTGTCTCCTCTGAGGTAGATCCAGTAGATGGCATCGCTTAAGTCTTCTCTTTTTTTGCCCTAGAGAGACAGACTCCTGTAATGAAGCACCTTAATCTTGTTCCTCTAGGAGAAGCCAGGCGCTCAAAGTAGCTCCATGTGTCTCAAGGTATCCGAATCGGAACCCGATATCATATAGCCGCCATAGGACAGATTAGTTATCATGGAACTTCTTTTTTAACAACCTTTTTTGATTTTAAAGATATCTGGACCAAACATGGCATATACGAGATTCACTATGCTCACTCTCTCTCTCTCTCTCTTAACAATATCGGACTTCTAAATCATATATCATAGAAACATCTTGATATCTCAGCATCTATGGACTACTAAATCGCGCATCATGGAAACATCGTAGGAAAATGACTTATTAAATGAAAAACTTTAATGTTTTTCAAGACAATATCTTAGCATCTACGGATTATAGTTGTCCGTACATCATGGAACCTTTCTTTCTTTTCAAAAGATATATAAATTAAATGTTATATATTATAATATGATATGACTCCTATTGTAACAATCGCCTGAAAACAAACCAACTTCTTCTTAAAGCTTTGTAGTTTTGTCTTTTTCATATTTTTGTATAGGTTGTGGTGCGTGGTACAGGGTATTTACTACTCGGTGACGCTTGATTAGATTACCCTAGTACCATATACTACACGTGTTTCTTGTGCCCTAATGATGAATGGTAAAAGTAATTAGAGCAACCACTTTAATAAATGCTTAATTTTAGCCTGCATTGCAAAGGAAATCAAATAGGTAATTACAATCGAATATCGTACTCAGCTATATAAGAAACCCAAATTGAACAGGCTTGAGCGCAGTTTTCATATCAAAATGATATTACAGGAACGTCTGGTCGAGAGATTGTGGAAATGTTTTGAGAGGAAAACCAAGGAATTTCTGCGCAGCACATCTTTGCAGGGCCTGAAATATGTGTGGGACAATGATTTGCCAGGTTGGGTGCAGTTATTTTTCGCCAAGGTGTTTGTTATCGTTGTATGCCTGGCCGTAAACCTGGCCGTGAACGTGTTCAACAAATGGCAAAGCACGCCAGTTATCATTGGCATCAGTTCGACCATGACACCGATACAGGATATACCCTTCCCGGCGATAACCGTGTGCAGCATGAACAAGGCGAAGAACTCAAAAGTGGCCAACTTTCGACCGTAAGTAAATCAATCTATGCGTACACATCTGTATATATATACCCTGAACCCATTAAAAATGGGTATAAGGGTATATTGTATTTGTGCAAAATGCAAATGTATGTTACAGGCAGAAGGAAGCATTTCCGACCTCATAAAGTATATATATTCTTGATCAGCATCAATAGCCGAGTCGATCTAGCCATGTCCGTCTGTCTGTCCGTCTGTCTGTCCGTCCGTCCGTCCGTCTGTCCGTATGGATCTCAGAACCTATAAGAGTTAGAGACCCTTTAGATGTAGGACTTCCTAGTGCCTGCGCAGATCGAGTTTGTTTTCCGATAATCGATAACTTACTTCGTTTCCAAGCAATCGATAAAAATCGATATCGATATCCTGTTTTTTGGGCAATTTTGGTAAATAATAAGAGCTAGAGTCAAGCAACTTGACATATAGCTTCTAAAATAGAATATATATATGCATTTGATGTTGGAAGAAGAGGGTTTAGGGTATCCCCTAGTCGAGAGCTCCCGACTAGAACCTCTTACTTGTTTTTTTTTTTGTTTTTAGAGGAACCTTAGAGTATGCGATGCTGCAGAAGACTTGCAATCAGGATTTCAATTTTACGGATTATAAATCATTGAGACCTCGCTCCAAGAGCGATACGTACGCGAAGTTCATCGTTAACGTGTCCCACAAATGCGAGGAGCTGATCGTTTCGTGTATTTTCGGACAGAAGAGCCTGCCCTGCACCGATCTCTTCCGAGAGTTTTTCGTTGACGAGGGCCTATGCTGCGTGTTCAACTTCCTCCATCCGTACTATATATACAAGCATAGGTGAACCTCTTAATTAATAGCCATATGCATAAATATATGAAGAGGCGTATGTTTAAGTGCATCCTCTATACGGGACTACACGTCATCCAGGGGCCTCACAGACATTGCCGTGGACTGGAACCCCATTAGCGGCTATCCAAAGCATCTGCCAGCGGGCTTCTATCCTCGTCGGGGCATTGGCATAGGCCTGGCCAATGGTCTTCAAATTGTGCTCAACGGGCACACGGATGATTATTACTGTTCATCCACAAATGGGCAAGGATTCAAGGTATGACCTATACAAAATTGCATAATAATAATAAATAAATAATCTCTTCTCTACTCTAGGTGCTCTTGTACAATTCGATTGATCAGCCGCGTCTCAAGGAATCCGGCCTGCCGATAATGCTCGGCCACGAGACGAACTATAGGATCGTGCCGAATAGCTATGAGGCTGTGCCCAGCATACGTAGCATCGATCGGAGCAGGCGCCAATGCATTTTCAGCGACGAACAGGATCAGGAGCTGCTCTTTTACAAGTACTACACACGCCGGAACTGTGAGGCCGAGTGCGATGCGATGTACTTCTTGAGGCTCTGCAACTGTATACCATATCATCTGCCGTTGATCTATCGGAATGCCACCGTCTGCCATGTGAGGCACTTTGACTGCCTGAACCGTGCGGAATTGGAGAATGTGGATGGCGAGAGTACGGCGTGCAAGGAGCATTGCCTGACCAGCTGCCACGATGTCACATATTTTCCGAATCCATTCGCCATACCCACAATGCCCTTTAACCAGCAGGGTGCTCGGGTTAAGAACGAGTACTTCAGCAATTTCTCAACGGATTTCATTCTCAAGAACCTGGCCATTGTCAACTTCTACCACGATGACAACTACTTTCGCAGCTATGTGCGTTCCTCGTACACAGGCCCCACAGAATATATGTGTAAGTGCGCCAACCAAAAAGATTTCTTCATATGAGTAGCATATCATTTTTTTTCTATCTACAGCATTAACCGGCGGCATTATGAGTCTAATGTTTGGTTTCAGTGTAGTTTTCATGTCGGAACTGTTCTATTTCATATTTCTGCGCTCACTCTTCGAGTACATCCAGCTTTGGTGTACGGCTCGTCGTAATAGAGTCAACATATTAGACGCAAATCAATAAAGTATGCACTCTTATGGTTTCAAGATCGGGCAAATCACGAAATGAATAATTCCCAACGAAAAGAACAATAAAGTCTCGAGAACAAATGCTGAGATAATTAGTAACTAGTTATAAGGGAATCAAATGTTGGTTTTTATACCCTTGCTGAGGGCATTGTAATTCTGTCTCGAATAGAAGGAATCATCTCTGATCTCATAAGGTTTGTATATATATTCTTGATCAGTATCAACAGTATAATCGATCTAGCCACGCCTGTCTGTTCGTATTTCGGCCGTATACTCCTAAAAGAGTTAGGGACTTGAAACTTAACATAAATTCCTATAAGGGCTCGCGTAGTTTGAGTTTGTTTCCGTTCATTGATAAATTTCCTCGTTTTCCCATAATCTTTCTATTTTGTTGAGACTCAAATATTTGGTAGTAATATAATATAAAAGTTTTCAATAAATATATTTTGTTTATATTTATCTATTTTTATTATTTATATCTCTATATATAAAAATGTTTGTCCTGACTAACTTAATGACAGAAATGTTTCTTAAGAAATGCGATACTAAGGTTAAATGAACGAAAGTTTATTTTTCGAATTCATAATTTTCACTTTTGGAGACCAAAAATGTTTTCTGTTTCAGATCTCAAAATTATTGAGTTATGAGAAGACATTTTTTTAGTTATTTCATTACCTTTTGGCAGCATATTTCACGTCTATGAAAAAATGATCCAAAGGTTCTTAAATACTTATCTATAAAGTTGGATTGAAACTGCTCAAAAAAAAAAATTGAAGGGAAATATGTTGCATACTTTCGGGCGCTTCAAAAAACCCTTTAATATTGAAAAACTATAACCACCTGGCTTAAGAAAAGAGGCTTTCTTTTTTAAAAACATTAATTTTATGAATATAATTTGTAAAAATCCTTGGAGACATAGCACGCTATATTTGCCGGATATTGATGCAATTTATCAAATTCTATACAATGCCATCTTCTTAATTATGCTATCTTTAAATAGAACTAAAAGCTGATTTAACTCACAAAATCAAAATTGCATGAGAAACTATTGAAGACATAAATACATATTTTTCCCACAATAATTAATCATAAAGATAGCTTGATGGAATATCTCATCTGAATAGATCTGGGAATGTGTCACAAATCATTCGCCCCAGACCCAACCCCGAACAGGCGCACAGCCACCTTTTGGGGAAAGTGAAAAGTGGAAATGGAAATGCCGTGGATAAATAGCGAGCAACAGAAATTGAAACAGTTGCTTTGAAAAATCAAACGGCAAGAGCAAGAACAAATCGAGTTGCACTCAAAAAAAAAAAAACACATCCACTGAAGCGAAAACTTGGTCTCTTGTAATACAATCCGTGCGTAACTACAATTACTTAGTTCGTGTACACCGTATGTATCTATGTATCTATGTATCTTACGGATGCAGGCGCCAAAGGTGAACAAACTCTGCTGCGCATGCGTCGCCCTGTCGCTGTCATCGTGGTTTCTCGGCTGCGCTCTCCACTCCCGGTCGTTGTCATCCAATTTCAAAACATGAAATATATTTGTCAATTTCCCGTCCGTGCCAGAACTCCTGTCTCCGGGTTGAATGAACTTGCACACAAATCCTGCAGCTCGGAGAGAGACATGGTTCATTCGAACCACGGTACAGTTGCTGGGCGGGATGAAAGGTAAGTTCTGGGATGGATTGGAATAGATTAAGTGCTTGTCTAAAAGCTGTATTGCTTAATATTTACTTAGTTTAAGAAAGGGTTTTGATAAAGGTTTGACTAAAAGCTGTACTGCTTAATAGATCTATTGATCTTTTCTATATTGTATTCCAATTGGATTGGAAGCTGCCTTTAGCTTTTTCCTATATTCAATACCTTTATCTTCTGCATAGCTCAAGTTCTATATAATTTCTATTATAAACTGGGATTTGCATATTGTCGAACTGTTCGCGGGGTGCTAGGGTGTCAGACACATCGTCTGCTGGGGAAAGGAATCTAACGGATCCGCGTCCGATTCGTCTGGCACTATTTTTAGATGCCTCTCCTCCTCCTCCTCCACCTCCTCTTCATTGTCTAGTTAGTAGCCGACGGGACCGAGCGCTGCTCTTGTTGCCGAGGGCTGTTGCCATTGGGGCTGACTGTGCCACAGCTCGAGCAGCATTTCAATTGCATTCCAACGCGCGCTCGGTACGGAGTTACGGCCACAAATCGAACGGATAAGATATAGATACGTATAGTATATCAAATATATTCAGTGCCGGATTCAGGATTATCAGTGAATGTGCATATCGAATGAATTTGATTAATTAGTGATAAACAATTCTACACAGTTCCTAACTGCCCGCCCAAACATACCAAAACGGATTACTCGCATTAATGTAGAAGAAGGAGAAGAATAAACCAAATTTTTCTTAAATATTATAAAAATTGATTGATAATCAAATTTATTCAATTACTAAAAACAAAAAAGAATTAAAACATATTTCAATAAAATACACAAAAAATAATTTTTAAAAAAAATTTAATTATTTATAACTAAACCCAACAAAAAGGTGTGTATAAAATATTTAAAAAAAATTATTATTAAAATCAATTCAATTATTTAAACATTTTTTTTACGTTATTTAAAAGTATTCGAGTGTGTAAATTACTTAAAACAAAATCCAAATTCTTTTGGCTTTGTTCCATCCGGACAAGAGAAAGTGCTTGGATCAGTGAAAATTGCCAATTGATCTTAAGTATGCACTAGCCAAAAATGAGTAATGCGAATGTAATTTGATGTCTGGGCCAGTTGACAGAATTAGCATGCCTCTTCCATGTTGCATCAAATGCTGGATGCCAGACCAAATATAGCGCCCATGAGTGCTCGAGGCTAAAGTGACCACATCCCAATGCATTTAAGTGCCAATGTGTGGAACGCGGCGCACAAATAAAGAAAATAATGAGTGAGAAAGATTGTCTTCGGCGCGCCGAAGCACAAATACCCTAACAGGTATGTGGCGAGAAATTTTGAAGCTAGTTCGTTTTTCAAGACAGAAAAGTCGTCGTATATCGGCTATATATACTTTATAGGGTCTATTCTACGTGACAGAATTGTAATACCCTGTTCCAGTGTATAACAGCGCAGAAGAGCTTCAATTTAAATTGGAAAGATACTGAAATATTTGTCGCATGCCCGAGCTAAAACGACGCTCCCTCCACTTTTCATTTTACTTTCCAACTCAACAAATACACGAAAAAAACGCTGGAAAAACCTAGGAAAAAACGTAAACAACAGGAGAAAAATAAGAAAAAGAGTGAACGCGGCACAAGTTCAAGATTCTCACAGATACAGTCAGACAACCCCGAGCCCATAGCTAAAAGTAGAAACGCACGAGACCGAGGCAATAAACTGAGAGACGAAAGTAGTTTAATGCAGTTTGCTGGGGATCCTTGACTTCTGCTTCGCCAACTGTTCCCCGATGCATTTTCCCGCTTTGGCGCACGACAACAACAACAACACGAACAACAACAACAACAACAACAACACGAACAACAACAAAGTAACGACATCGCCTGCGTTTAGTTCCTCTGCCTATCCCGATCCCGAAGCGATAGTTTGCTTGATCTATTTTTGGCCTAGCCAAGCCAGCATTGTCTTGTCGCCTCGAGTAATTTGTTTGTGGCGTTAGTTTCGTGTTAAATCTACACTGAACAAATTTATACAGTACCAATATTACAGTTATATGAGCAATTCAATGAAAATAGCGTCTATAAGTCTATTTAATTCTTTTCAAATTGGTAAAAATAATAAAATTGACTTTTGTAAAGTAGGAAAAATATGCGACAATTTGCAAGCGTTTTATATATTTCATTAATTTTTTCCACATTCTTTAGAGACTGTATTGTCGTTGGCTTGGTTCGCGGTTCAAACCAACTGCCTACATTCAGGTTCCGCGAACCAGGTTTTGGTTGCAAAAGTGATTTTTTTTATATATACAAATTTTATTTATTATTTGTTCATAAAAGTAGTACATATTTTCTCTATTTAAAATCTAGCTAAATATAAATGTAATGGTTGGGAAGCTTGCAGCCTGGATGCAAAAGAATAACAGTTAACCGTGTATAAGTTCGATATATAAACTAGTTCAAAGTTTTAAAGCAATTTGGCATTTTGAACCAGTTGCAAGAACTTGCAAGCGAGTTAACTAGTTCAAAAGTGACAATTTGAACCAGTTGCAAAAACTTGCAAGCCAGTTAGCTAGTTCAATTTGTTAAAAAAGTCACAATTGGAATCAGTTGCAAAAACTTGCATGTGAGCTGGTCACACGTTTTGGCTAATTTGCAAATTGTGCGCTCGTTTTGAGCAATTTTTTCATTAATAGACTTTGTGCCATTTGGACAGGTGTTTTCAGGTGTTTTAGCTGGCGCACAGTGTAAGCATTATAAATAGACAGTTGCTGGAAGTGACAACAAGCGCAAACAAATAAAGTGGCAGATCAGCAGCAAAGCCGCTGGCATCGATACTTTTGAGATCGGCATCGATAACAAACATAAACTGCCGAAATGTTTATTTAAGGCAAATGTTACGCAGTTACTTTACGGCCTCCAAACAGCACAACAAACATAAGATCCGTTTCCAAACTGCAACTGCAACTGCGACGCTGTCTTTGTGTAAGTTGTACCCCAATGGGCCGCAAATTAAAAATAGTGAGCATTAGACGAGCGCAACAACAACAACTGCAACAACAGCAACAACAGCAGCAGCAGCAGCAGCAGCAAAAGGCGCAGCGTCTGGAAATGTCAAGAGTGCGTCGACATTGCATGTTGACAGTGGAAATGCAACGGCAAACGTCAACGCTGACGTCGGCAGAACTATTACGAGTTCCATGTAACGTCCACACCTCCCCCGCACCCCAGACAGACGCACACGGAATCGTTGCAGGGGGGCCAACAAATGGAGTTGCCCATAAATGGGGGAAGTTGCGTGCGCATCTATCGTTTGGGGTCCACTTCCGTC